GTATAACAACCACTTAAGATAAATTGAACGATTAATTATTAAAATATATAAAAAAAACATTAATATTAGCCACACTTAAATGCATGGGTATTTTCTCTTCAATTTCCAAAATAAGTATTTTACTAATAAAAATTTTTGCAATAACATTGTTAAAATTTAAAGTTTAGAAAATCAATTTAATAAAAAATAATAGTATTACTGTTAATTAAATATGAGTTGAGAATATATTATTTTGTGAATATTAGAATATATTGACTCTCAAGATATACGAAGATTAGAAAACTTAGAAATGATAAATGCTGAAAGATTTAGTTGTAGAATCTACTTTATAAATCTTATACAATTCACTTTCTAAATATAAATTGAGAGAAAATGCTTGGTTAGGATAAGAATAATACCAAAAAAACAGAACCCAAAGATTTAAGATATTATTGCATTCATGCAACTAAAAGTTCTATTTCATAATATTTTAAAATGTGCTAATTTACCATACTAAAAATCTTAAACCTTTTAAGAAAGAAGGATCAAATATGAATATTTTTAAAGAGGGACATAGATTAATATAAGATTACAAAGAAGTTCCACATCATAATATAGATCACTTATTAAAGATCTTAAAATAAGATCCAAAACATGATGATCCCAATTTTTTTACTATAAATTGAACTTTTAAATATGAGGTAGAGGAAGAAAAATGGTGAGGTATGAATAGAAAACAATATCTTTTGATTAATGGAGCTAGTTTGGATTATAAATTTTATAAAAAAAAAAGGATGGGAAATTTTTTAAACTAATTTGGTAGCTTAAATACTTATTCTCAATAAGATTGGTACCTTTGAATAAAGCTCATCCTTTAATTCCTACAATTGAATAATTTAGACCAATAAGGTTTAAAGTCATTTAATTAAGTTAATTGAGGTCTTTTTTATTCCAAAATTTAGGCAAATCTCAACAAAGAAAATCCAGAACAAATTGTTTTTGTAAATAAGATGGTTGCTAGTATCATGTAGGATAAGTAATTGAGTAATTGAAGAAAAATATTCCATAAGAAGTATGTAGCATATAATTGCGTTGATGGAGATAGATTCTTTTAAATCATTAGATAAAAGTATAGGCAATAAGTTTTTGAAAGGAACTAAGAGAATATGGAATTAATCCATAAATAATTTGATATTTATGATCAAATTAGAAAAGAAAGATACATCTTTAAAATGGTGTGTATTAAGACTCCTTATTAGCACCCTTCTTATTTGACATTCATTTTAATGAGCTTATTTAAGATTTTTTACATTTCACAAAGGAATAAGAGTAAAAAAATAAAAAATTTTAAATATAGCATGCTTTATTATCATTGATTGAATATGCTGATGACTTAACAGTTGTATTCAATAACCTAATACTAGATTAGATAACTAATTTCTTTATTTAGTAGGCATAGACATATAATTTTAGCGTCAATCTTGGTAAAACGAGAATACACATGAAGGCTAGTTAATACAGAAGTCCATATGGGAAAATTCTTGTGGAAAAAACTTGATAAAATTTTTGGATGTTAGAGGTGGAATTAAATAATAATTAATACAAGCTATTGTAAATCATATACTTTAGGCATAATTTCTAATATTTATCGGCAATTTTGTATCCATAATAATAGAAATATGAGAGATTAAGAAGACCTTCATTTAAAATGCTATAAGGATTATCTAATTCATTATTGGCGAAAGTAATTGATTCTAAATAAAAAAGTTGATGTTAATACACCTTTTTCAAACTTTTTACAGAGGTACTAAGAGGAAATGAAAGGAAGAGAATCATAAAAAAAAATTCCTCAATTAATAATATGAAAGTGATGATGTTAAAAAAGTAAAGAATACTTTACTTCCCCTGATAAGGGTATTTGATAGGTATAAATATTTTTTGGTTAAATGAAAAATATGTGAAAATGGTTAGAGATGGAAAATTGAACATATTTTAGTTCATGATGCTTCTCTTTATGATTATTAGGAGAAACTGGAAAAGTAAATAGGTGAGAGAATAGAACTGGAAGATACTTAGTTTTGCTCATGGTTTTCTTAGGCAAACAATCAGTTAATAAAATTCGTGTTTTTCCATGGCTATATTGGTTTAAAATGGTGAATGAAGTAATTAAATGACGATATTAAAATATTTAATTTAATAATTTATTTGATAATATCAGATTCTTAAATAATTAGATTTTTAATTTCTGATAATTAAACTCTTTTTCTTTTTTTTATTAATGGTTTTTGTTATTAATAATCTTTAGTTTTATTCTCAATTTTAATTTTATCCAATTAATCAGCTAATTCACTATTAATCATATTTAGGGTAGGTTTAATCTAATCATACGATCCTTAGGAAATTAATTCTCCATTGCTTATTACTGCAATTTTCTCACATTTAATTGCATATTAAATTTAGTGAGTTGCTAGGATTACTATAGGTTTTTATTTTTTTGGATAAAGAGCAATTTGATAATTAAAAATAAATTCCTAAATAGCAACCGTAAATATTTTCTCAGCAACACTTGCATCAACAGCTGATAAGGGATCATCAAATAAATATAAGTCAGCTGTTTAATATAAAGCTCTTGCTAACGATATTCTGGTTTTTTTCCTCCTGAAAGTGTAACACCCCTTTCACCAATTTCAGTGTAATCTTTAAATTTCATTAATTCAAAATCTGATTCCAATTATGCAACTTGAATTACTTTTTTATATAAAGCATGATTATACACTTTTCCAAACAGAATGTTTTTTCTTATAGTGTCAGGAAATAAATAAGGTTCTTATTCAACATATGCAATTTTTAATTTGTTCATTATTGGATCTTAACCATTAATCAACATGATTCCATTATAAGATGGAATTTACCCTAATAATGAATTCAAGAGTGTTGATTTTCCACTTCCGACTCTTCCAATAATAGCCCATAATTCTCCTTCTTTAAAATTTATGGTCAGATTCTTTAAAATTGGTTCATCATTTTCAGATACTGAATGCTACCTATATGCGCAGAAATTATTTAATTCTATAGTACTTTTTTCAGTTTCTTTTTCTATTTTTTTATTATTTTCTTTTTTATTATCTTCTAGTTTAAGCATTACAAAGTTTTATAGATTAAGTAAATTTGTAATTCTTTCAAAAGTGACTTTAATTTAAATGTATGCTTGAATTCCATTTGAAACTACATATACGCATGATAATTTCAATATAGAAATCATTTCAGCTACTTAAATTTCATTTTAAAACTCTCCATAATATAAGATTATAAAATACAACAAGCTCGACCAAAGATGTGAAGTTTAGGTCAGCAATCTATCAACTACTGTTCTTAAAAGTATTTTTAATAAATATAGAAATTCTTTTTGTCTGATAGTCATTATTATTTTTTAGAATGCTTTATCCCAAGCTTAAATTTTAATTAATCTGATTCCTTCTACCAATTCATTTGTAATCCTCAATCTTTTATCCTAACTAATTTTAGCTAACTTTAAGGTTTCTTAATTAAATTAGGATATTAAGACCTATATAGGGTAAGTAATAAATAATAATAAGACAGCCAATAAACCAATTATACCATCAAATCTTACCCATAAAATAAGACAAGCAAAAAACAATGAAAAAATAACAACAATACTTGGAAATATTATACTAAACATTTGCTCCAAAGTGTTAATGTCCCCAGATATTAGATTCAAGATTTTTCCTATATTAGCTTACTTAAAAGAATAAGAATTCAACCCAATTAATTTGATGTATACTAAATTGATCAAATTAAGGCAAGCTTTTGTGGAAAATATCATTGAATAATTAGCTGCGTGATGTCTACTCTAAAGACAAATGAAATTTAATGTTATTAGAATTATTCCATAAAAATGAGAATTTTTTAAATCATTTTACTAAACACTGGCTATGACTAAATTCATTATAAACGAAATCCCATTTTTAGAAATTGATTCTATAATATAGGCAAATATGCATTTTCCAGTTATCCATTTCAATTCTCCAAAAAATATAAGTTTCATTAATGTAATAAAAGTTATTTCTTGGACCTCTAAAATTTGATTTTAAGATTTTGATATTAATTGTTTTAAATCGTCATCTGGAGATAAAATAGGAAGATGCTTATCTGTAATTTTATGGTTTTTATCCAGTACTTGATTTTTTAGTCTTAAAGCATAAGATGTGTACTATAAAAAAAATAATTTTGAAATCCTAGAATGATTTTATCCAATAAAACTTGGAAAAAATTTATGAGAGTCTTCTTCTGGTAGATCAATAGATTCATGAGACTACTCGGAAGGATTGTTGGAATTATGTAAGTGTTCGGATTCTTGATTTTCATCTGGATAAGTCTGCAATCTTATATTTTTTAGAGTTGACATCTCTGGGTTTTCAAAATTTGAAACTTAATTTCTCTTTAATCTGGACATCTATTGACCAGTTTCATTAATGTAATTAAAATTCATATATTTAATATTTTATTCCTTCATGATAATTATATTAGCCTTTATGTTCCAAATTTTGTAAAAAATTATTCAAATTTTATATCGGTGTATAAGAAACCATCAATGATATTTTATTGAATTCTATTAGGTTTTATTTGAGAATGTTTTGATGAAGAGTCTTCATAATGACACATTAAAAATTAACCAAACAACATTGTAATTATATTGTATCTTAATATTAAAAATATATAGATTTCTTCCTTAAGAAATCGAAAATATTCAAACTAATTTTGATTTATAATGAAGATTTTATGAAGAATCACAAATTCAATTATCTCTTTTTCTATATTCTTTTTTTGTTAAAAGAGAATGTTAACTTGTAAGAATAACAACAATATTGTTAAAACTATTCAAGAATTAAGTATTTAATTGACTTAATTGTAAATCCTATATTGATTGAGAGTATTTTTTATGTTATTGAAAATTGATCATTAAATAATTAGGGCATAAATTTATTTATTTCGTATATTTTATGGCATCATAAGTAGTACCTTTGCAATCTCAAGAAATTGAATATCTCCAAACCGAGATGAATCAATCTGCTATGTCTAGAGAGATTGTTCCTAAATCTGGACATTCCTCACATTAAAAAAGAGGAACTGTTTAATTATTTAACGAAAAAGATGAGGAAGTTAATTCAATAGTAGATTTAACAATAATAATGATTGGAATCATGAGTGGAAGTTTTACATTTGGATATGCAATAACTTATTTAACTCTTTCATTTGACACAGTTTTTGATCAAATGTAAAATGATTGTTCTAATATTTTATAGAGAATTGAAAGGTACTATAAATGAAGAGCAAGGTTTGTTCAGTGCAATTTTACCTATTGGATGTATAGTTGGAGCAGTTTCTTCACACTTTCTAATGTAGGTTTTAACTAGGAATTAGACACTCATAATAGCAGATATTTGTGGAATGTTAAGTATTTTATCTTTGGTTCCAATAAGAGAGATGATCTTAGCCTTTAGATTTATGTATGGAGTCTGTAATGGGATTTCATGTATTGTCATGCCAATATACATAAAGGAGTTGTGTCCTTAAAAATATTATGAACGATTTTCTGTTATGGCAGGCTTTTTGATTGGAATAGGAGTTTTGACGGCTTATATAATGGGTTTGGGATATTTGAATCCAGATTTGAGAGGACCAAATACCTACTGGTGGTAACTTATGTTTGCTTTACCTCCTGTAGTTTTTTTCTTTCGGCAATTAATTGTAACTGTCATTTACCAAATGGACAGTCCAATATCGTTACTTGAAAAAGGATTGCAATTATAAGCTAAAAATGTAGTGGAAAGGCTTTATACAAAAAATTCTGTAGAATAGGCATTTTTGAAGGCTCAACTTAGAGTTCAATATAATGAAGAACATAAAGAGGGATTAATCAAAATATTTTCAAAAAAACATTGTACAACAGTGTCAATAGGTTGTGTTTTAATGTTTATTTATACTTGGTGCGGAATTTTTGCTGTGTTTTCTTATAGTTCATAATTTTTTGCATCGATGGGAGATGATGATTTAACTTTGAATACAATATTTTCCTTAGTTTTAGGAATTTCATAGTAGTTGCCAGCCTATGTGTCCAAATTTTTTTATAGTAAATGGGGAAAGAGGTCTTTACTAATTTTTGGTCTTATTTTCATTATCTGTTGTTAAATAATAGTGATAGGATTAAGTTATACTGAGAATGAGGCTGCAGTGATCATTAGATTTGTAGTTCTATGCTTATTCGCATTTGTTTATGCTTTGACAATCTCCCCCATATGTTGGGTAATTTATTTATATCATGTAATAGTCAATGACACCAGAAATTAATTCATCAGAAGGAACCTACTTTTGTATTATTTCAGTGTTTGTATGGTAATTGTTCATGCTTTACGTATTTCCATTTATGTTGGAGGGTATGTCCATGACAGGATCTTTTATTTTATTTACCATTTTGACTTTCTTATGTTTGATATTTAGTTACTTTTTCGTAAAAGAAACTAAGGGTCTTAATCATAGAGAAATAGATATTTTATATGGTAAAGGAGAATGATAATATATTCAAATTTTGCTTATTATAAAAGAGATTAATATAAAATTTTTTTTTTCCTTTAATATTTAAACCAACTTAATAATTTTTATTAGAGTAATTTAGAGAATGGATATTTACTATTATTATAATGCCATCTTAAAAGGAGAATCATCAATTAAGAGTTATGTCTTTGAGTGATCTACCATAAGAAAAATTGACTTTTGTTAACAATTATGAAGATACTTTAAATCTGAGATTGATTCGATTATAATTAATTGAGAAGAGAAGGGAATATAAAGAAAGTTTTTCAATTTTAGGGAGAAATTTTGTAGGAGAGAGTTCTTTTTACTAAAATGATATATCTATAGAAGGAGAATCCTGAGGTTTTCCTAAATATCAATATAAGAATTTGATTGAATGATTAAAAAATTAAACTGAAAAGATCTATTAAATATAGTGTTTTAAATTAAATAAGCATTTGGAGAAAGGGAATATCTCATATTTTATATATTTTATTTTTGATATATTAAAGATTAAACTCTAAAACACAAAATCTTTATCGGATTGATCAATGCACTATACAGATATTATTTATTTATTTTGTGTATATATTTATATTATAGTTGGATTATTAAAATATTTTTTTGGCTTTATGAATCATTATTTAATTGATCCTAAGATTTTCTTTCATCTAGAGTAAGAATTGAAATATAATTAATTTATTTACTAAATAAACATTTATATTTATTTATATTATGAAAGATCATACAATTTCGTTGAAGTCTCTAAATAATAATAGAACTATGACATCTATGAGAACAAGGACTAGAGATATTTCCCATCTGACAGACAGTCAAAATAGTGCTAGAGTCTAAGAACAAATTAAATAAAAATAGTTGGTTGCTGAAATTCATTTATAACAATATGTATAATAATAGAGAATGAGAAAATAAAATCAGGCTTATTTTAGTAATTAATTGAGAGTTAAAACTGAAGAAAAATCTGATCAAACATCAGAATAAATCAATGAAAATGAAATTCTACCTATATTAGAATAGATATCAGAACTAAATTTTGAACAAATCACTTCAGGATTGTCATAAGAAAAAGATCATAGTCATATTTTGACTTCTTTAAAATAATCATTATTTAAAGCAATCAATTGCACTCCTACATTGGTTTCCCTTAAATAATAGTCTAATAGTTTTTTTTCAGCTTAACCTACTGGTAGAAGAGATGCAATCATACTTAAATAATGGTTTGTAAACTTCATGGAATAAACTCAGTAATCAAATAAGGATTTCAAAGATAAACTAATTTCTTTATCTGAAGCCCTTCATTTATGTTTGTTGGAGATTGTCCGACAAGTATCATATTAATGTGCTGAAAGAGGTTAACTGCTTCATTCATTAGTTAAAGGTTATATATTAGTATTCCATAAGCATTTCATGATAAAAGAGGAAGAAAAAAGAAAATTAAAATTTTAGTTATTTGAAAAAGATATTAATGAATCCAAGTAAAAAGAAGAAATGGAAAATCGTTAATAATAATACATAAATTAATTAAAGAAAGAATTGAATCAATTAAAATAAAAAGAAAATATTTTTAATTCAGAACTTATTAGTTATTAATAAACTATTAAGTAATTGTAGAATAAAATTAATTTACAACAAACCATATAAAAAAGTGCAGCAAATATGATTGGCAATTTATAAAGGGAAATAGATTAATTAAAGCATTAATTATCGAAAAAGAATCAAAACAAACACTCTTCTATGAATAAATCAGATGATGTAATAGAGGAACAAGATTTATCATTATCTTAAGTACTTAAGGAATTGAATTAACAGAATAAATTTGAATAAAATTAGGATGTAATTGTTAAAGATGTGATTGAAGTATTGCCTGTTGTCTGTCATAGTGTTGGTGTTTAAACATTCTAAAAATGTTTATGTGTTATTGAAACATAAACAGATCTTCAGTTAATGGCTCCTTAATATGATAAATTTTTGTCTATTTCTGAAATAGAAAATACATTAAGAGAATTTGAATTAAAACAACAATTAGAATAGTAGAGCTGGTTGGATGGTCTATGTGATCAAATGAATATGCATCCTGATGAACCATCAATACAGGATTATGATATTAAAGGCATTACAAAAATAGATTTAATATATGAGGCGCCAGAAAATGATGAAGGGTCACCTGATATATTAAGTAGAAGAAAAAATGAATATATGTAAGAAAGAAGACTCTAGATAGACAGATCTGAAACATCTGAGAAGTTAATTAGAGAATTAGATAAATATGGTTCAGACAGATTATTGAATGTCAAATCAATATAATTAGGGACAGGTTCTAATAATACTTAATAAAATTCATAGTAATCTTCATAAAAATTAATTAAATTATCACCATAAGCCAATTCATAAGTGAATTAAACAAATGTATGCAAAACTGATCCAGTTAAATAAAATTAAAAACAATAAGTTCAATAATAATAATAATAATAATAATAGGTATCAATAAATACATAGAGATATTTTCCAGCGAATGAAAATTTAGATAAAAAGAATATAAATACATAAGAAAAGTAAGCATAAAAGAAAAAAAAGATGAGTATATCATAATAATAATAATAATAATAATAATAATCATTATAACAATAATAATAATAATTATAACAATAATATATTATTTAATTAAATGATTAAAATGAAAAAATTGAATCTTTTTAATAACCAAACTTATCAAAATAATAAACTACAATGTTGATGTTACTTTATTAAATACAAAAATAAAAAGCTTAAAATGCAACAGCTAGAATGAATGAAACAAATGAACTATTAACATAAATATTATTATTTGCAAGAAAATTAACTGTTCATATATTAAAAACTTAATTTAAAACACACACTTAAATAGCAGAAGAATTTTTATTTGAATTTGAATCTTTAAGAAAGAAAATATAGAATGACAAGGAAATTTTAGAAGAAGAATATGTATTAGATGAAGAGAAAGAAAAAGAAGAAAAAAAACAAGAGGCAATGAAGAGAAGAAAAGGTAAAATATAAAGAGCTTTAAGACTTAATTTTGCTACAAGATAAATGAAACAAATACCAACAATTGATAGATTAACCCATCCTGGAGTGTTATTAGCAATAAAAGCCAGAGACCAATCACATTTATTTAAAAAAGTTGTTGCTTATTGGCCAGTTAAGAATGTTTTAAGAACAATTACTTAAATATATTTAGAAAAAGCTTCCTTTGGAGGAGAAGCTGATATGTAAATCTTTGTATTCAATTTCTTTCTTAATAAATATGGATTTAAACATGTGGCAGAAAAGAAATATTTATAATTTTTATTATCTGTAATACACTTTAGTCAAATATTTCGAGTGAATTTATTTGCTAGATTATTATGTCTTTTACATGATGAACATCTCAATTTCACATAAGAAGAATCAGCCTTTCTGTTATCAGGATTAGAATATATACATAGTTAAACAAGTTTGGGTGTTAATATTGTATAAGGAGATAGTGAGTCCAAATTTCATGTACCATATTTGAGAGCATTAGAGTATATATATAATAATAATTTAGTTATATAAAAATGCATTTGGAAAATAAGTTAACTGAGGATGAAATAAAAGAACTGAGATAAGATTTGGATAATTTAAAAGAAAGTGATCCAAAAAATAAATCAGGAGTAGTTGATTTAGATTTATTTATGTCTAAAGTTCTCGATAAATATAGAAATGTTACACATAGAACAAAGTTATTTGTGATACATGCATTTTAAGCTGCTGATTTGGATGGGAATAAAAAGATTAATCATAATGAATTTTTAACTTTGTTTAGACACATTGAATATGAGAAATTCAATTTTTAAGAAGCTTTAGATTTATTTGATGAATAAGCTGATATAATTCATTAAGGTGAAAAAAATTTGTCATTTAATCGTTTTACATCTGTTTGTGTTAATTAATAAATCTTCACTGAAAATTCTCTGAATGATTTCATTGGAAAGGAAGCAAATATAGAATAAATATTCGATAATGTTGTGAAAACCTGGAATTAATACAAATTAGAGGTTTAAGGTTTGCTTAGTCAATTATAACCATTTGTAACATAAGAAATATATTAAGAATGGGTTAATATATTATATACGCTTGAAAAAAGGATTCTCCATTAGAAAACAGATTATTAAAATGTTAGACCTATTTTAATAGCACACAAAATACTCAAGTTAGAGTTGACAAGATTGCTGGATGAGGATGAATAACATTAGAACAAAGAATGATTATATAATAGCAATTTACTTTTAAATTCAGAATTGATCATTTAATATATAAAATTAAATTATCTTCTAACTGTTTATCTACAATAAATATTCTTTAAATTCTTAAATATTCATTTACAAAATTATTCATAAAGGCAAAAATGTAAGAATGAATTTTACTTGATTGTTGTTAACATAAAAATATAGATAGAGCAATAATAAACTGAGATATATGTATCTTTGAAAATTGTAAAAGTAAAAGAAGTAGTTCTCTCTTAAATATTATTCTTATTATAGATTTATAATTTATAATTTTCTTAAATTTTTCCATAGATTAATTGAATTCATATCAATAAGATATATAAATTAATATTAATAAATTTGATTAACAAAAAAAATCATTTATTATTCTCATGTAAAAGCTCTCTTAATATTATACTGCTAACAACATTTTTAAGACTTCCAAATTCTTTCAAAAAGCTTTCTTCATAACTGTTCAATTTATTTTGAAAATATTATTTACCATCATAATCTAAATTAATTTTCTTATCAATTCTTAAATATTTATATCTAATATTTTTATTATTCATCTCTTATATTATTCTATCCAATTCTTCAGATTGATTATCTAATTGTAATTATTTATTCGCAATATGAATAATATATCTAATAGTTTTATTATTACTATCTTTTCTCCATTTTGTAGTTGAAGTAGCTAATTTAAGACCATAAAACAATCCTTTTTGTGTTTCCATCTATCCTCTCTATTTAATTTCATCTAGACTTTATATAATCTAGTCTTCATCACACAAATCAATAACTTAACATTATTACAACTTTTAATTAATCATTAAGTCATAAAAATGGACAAGACTGAATTTTATGCTAGAATTAAACTTTTTCTTTTCTTTTATTTATTATAAAATACATTCTATGGTGTTCTAAAATCAGATAATATTGTACTTATAATTATTCAATACTACTACAATCCAAAATTTTGGCATCACAACAAAATACAATGTCAACCATCAACTTCTATTATTTTTCTAATTATTCTTTTTCTTCTTCTTCTTACCTTTATTTATCCTTTTTTATTTCACTTTCTGGACCATTTATAATAATTTAAGGGATTACTTATAAATCAAATTCATTTTTTTGCTGATTCTGAAATATGTTTTCTTCATTATTTTTACTCATCTATTATTCATTATTATCTTCTTAATGTTATTATTATTCTTAATTATTATCTTTATTATTCAATTCATTTTTATTTAGATTTTCATTCTCTTACACTTATTGTGGTATTTTCAAGTTATCGATATTTTCATCATCTTTATCCAAATTTTAGTTTTAATTCTCATTTTCTTATTTTGCTCTTACTTCATCTTTTTTTGTACTATAACAATTAATTTAATCATACTTGTGCTTATATTGCATTTTTTCAGCTTTTGTTCTTGCTTTTTGAACTGAGGAAGATGGTTTTAATTCAGGAGATAATTTATCTTATGGATCATCAGAATTGAGAGATTCTCTTTATTCACCAGTTGAAGACTTAATTTTGGAAGATTAATTAGATTTTTTTTATTTTTTTGTTGTATTGACATAATCTGAATCTTCATCATTTTCATTTTTCTTAACTTTCTTACTTCTTGTTGTTCCTAATTTTTAATCAATTATTGGTTTGCTCTCTTTCATGACATCTTTGATGGTTTAAGTTTTTCTAGGTGGCATTGGCAAATTAAAATGTATTTAATTATTTAGTTTCCTTTTTTTCTAAACGGCTCTTTTTTAAATTGATTAGCACACAAATATTTTGTCAATTTTATTATTATTAAATAAAAATAAGAAATTCTATTATTATTAAATTATGATGCAAGTATTAATCAATATTAATATTAATAATCTAATTAATAATTTTACATCTGCCTTACTTATCAAAATAAGCTAAAATTTATAAGAGATTGTTAAATTGAATCAATAAAAAAAATATATTTAATCACTCTATATATGTCATGATAATCTTAAGAAAAATATTGTAAAGTCATTTTTGTTTAACAAAGAATATCAGAACTAATAAAGTTTTTTCATTAAAGGAGGTTTTAAGATGGAAAAATAGGATAATTGCATGTAAATAAAATATTGGAGATGTAATAACAAAAGAATATTCAAATAGTGAATTCTTTCCTTCAATAATTGTATAACAGCCTAAATAGTTTAGATATACATAAAAATACAAAAGAATTAATAAGAAACTAAAAACCTTACTGATTGTGAATAAAAACATTAACTAAAACATAGGAATAAGTTAGACAAGTACACAAATAGTATAATATTCCTAAATATAGATTAAGTATTTAGATTTATAAAAATATCTTTAGAATGTATTCAATTAGTTATTTGCATCCTTGAATAATAAATTAATTAAATTAGAGGAGAAATTCAAATCAATAGATCAAACAATATCACCAATATTATTTATTATGGTTTCAATAATAGCGATGGATAATTGTTTAGATTATTTATTAAGTTTATTAAAAAAGCATTAATTAAGGATAAAAAGGACTTATTAATGATTTACATATATTGTCATCAGATGCTCTTGAGAGTATTGTGAATGGTAATAACACATTGAACACAAAAAATCTAAATATTTCATTTTATTTGAATGTTAGTACTATGTATGTTCTCACAGATCCTATTCAGATTATAATATTTTGAGACATTAATTAATTAAATTCATCGATGTTTCAAAGTCTAAAGATCCATTCTGTATCAAAATTTTAGGAAGTGATAAACCTAAATTGTATTCAAGAGCAAGAAGAGCAGAAGTTGAATTATTGAATTTGATTTTTAACAATAATTATTTAAAATGAGAAAATAAGCAGAATTTGAACTCTATAAGCGTCTCAAATTACTTGGAGAAGGTTCTTTTGGAAAAGCTTATTTAGTTGAATTTCTTCAAGACAAGTAGAAAAGATACTTTAGAATATTAGGTCACTATGGGTGACTAAATATATGGATTTAGCAGCCATGACAACTTAAGAGAGAGAAGAAACTTTGAGAGAAGCTAAAATACTTGAAATTTTACAGCATCCAAACATTGTGAGATTTAAAGAAGTCTATAGAACAAAAAAAGGACGTTTGTGTATAGTTATGGAGTATGCAGATGGTAAATTTGATAATTATAAACAGGTGGTGATTTGGCTTAAAAAGTTAAAGAAGCAAAAGGAAAATATTTACCTGAAACTTAAATTTTAGATTGGTTTACTTAAATTTGTTTGGCAATCAAACATGTTCATGATAGGAAGATCATTCACAGAGATTTAAAATGCTAAAACATTTTTTTAACTAAAACAGGACAAGTTAAATTAGGAGATTTTGGTATTGCAAGAGTTCTAAAGAAAACTATTGAGAAGGCTAAAACTATGGTGGGGACTCCATATTACATAAGTCCTGAAATCATTGAAGGAAAACCCTATACATTTATGACTGACATTTGGTCATTGGGTGTAATCCTCTATGAATTATGTGCTTTATAACCTCCCTTTAGAGCAGAATCTCTTCACTTTCTAGCTTTGAATATTGTCAAGGGTTAATATAAACCAATTCCAAATCATTATTCTAAAGAATTAAGATCATTAGTTGCTTCGTTACTTCAAGTTGATTATAGACGAAGACCAACAATACAAGAAATTCTCAGTAACTATTCTACTAATTTATAGAAATGCCTGTTATAATAAATAGAATTAAAAGCTTCCTTAGTGAAACTATTTAACGATAAGAATTCTCTCATACTATTCTCCATAATAGAGTAATTTAATTGTATTTATTAATAAGAATTTTGAAATCAAAGGAAATTTTGATCAAATCAATCTCATTTTGAATGAAAAACCATGTCCACCTTCACTTATGGAATAAAACCAAAAAAATCTTTAAGAATTTCCAGAAATTATCAAAAAACCCTAACAATAATAACAAGATCCTTCTGCCATAATAAAGCCTCCCTAATTATAAAAATAACCTTCATCCAGACAATAATAAGAACCTCCATCTTCCAGATAAATTTAATAATAAGAATAACCAAAAATAACTGAATTGCCTAAACCCATTTCTTGGGAAGTCCCTAAATAGATTGAGATTCCAAAACAGATAGAAATCCCAAAAAAATTAGAGCCAATTGTTAAAAATTCTCCTATCATTTAAAAAAAGGACTCTTAGAAAGAAATAATTACAGAAGAAAAAAAATTATCTCCATTATTGCTCTAATAATAAATTCGACCTAAAAGCGATTAAGATAAAGGATAATAAAAAAGTGAACCTAATAGATTTGATGGTTAACCATAAAAAAAGCATTCAAATAGTGAATAAGCTTTGAATGAATAAAAAGTTGAATAATTCATTTCACCAAAAGTTCTTTAAAAACCAACAGATTAACCAAGGTATAAATATTTATAAAATAAAAGACCTCCTACTGCTCCTAAAGACAAACACCCACCTCCTAATAGTCAAAGACCTTAAAGTTCAAGATAATAAGTAGTTGATTAAAAGAAGCCTGAAAAAAAAGTTATTGAGAAAAAAAGACCTACAAGTGTTGATAAGTCTCCTCCTGTTAAATATTAGGATGAATAACCTTAAGCTTATAATAATAACTAACGTCAAGAAGAAAGGATTAGATAGTTAAAAATGAAATAATTTCAATAATAGGGAAAGATGGAAATGGAAAAAAAAGAAAGAGAAAAAGAAAAAGAAAGAGAGAGAGAAAAAGAAAGAGAAAGAGAAAGAGAAAAAGAAAGAGAAAGAGAAAGAGAAAGAGAAAGAGAAAGAGAAAGAGAAAGAGAAAGAGAGTTAATTGAAAAATAGAAATTACTTGAAAAATAATAATCATAAGAGAAAAAACGAATTCAAAATGATAGGGCTTTAGATAATAATTTATTGTAAAATTAATACAAAGTAGAACCAAAACCACAAGAAAAATCACCTTAATTTGGAGGAAAACAATAAAAAGATTCAAGAGTATAAATTAAACCAAAATCTGATCTATTGGAATGTGTGTAACAGAAAAATAAAGATTTAGATCTTATGCTTTAAGAATTATAAGGAATAGTAATTATAAAAATCTATTTTATTTAGATTGGAGGGGATAATAATTAAATAGATAAGATATCCAATTAAAATGGAAAAGAAAATGTTCAAGATTACAATTCTCTACCAGTGACATAAATAGAAGATAGAGAAGATGATGAAGATGAATCTTGTGATAAAAATGTCTAGAAACAAAAATAAGCTATCAAACCTATCTCTGAGATAGAAGAGGAATGTTTAGAATTGTTAAATAAACAGGATTTAAACAAATGCAGCACAATTCTTATTAAAATTGAAAAATCCATAGGTAAAGAGAAGATGAAAAAGACAATTGACATTTTGCGTAAGGCTGTAAGACTTTGTAAATAATCAATATTAGTTAGAGAAGATGAGCCTTGAAGTTATTGAATAAAACTATGGTCCAAATTATGAAAAATTATTACCATTTTTAACATTAGAAGAAAGAAAGAAATGTGCACCACTTCTTATAACTCACATAATTGCTGATTGATGAATTTAATAGATTAGTTATTCAAATTCTTCTTTTCAATTTTATATATATTCTTTATACTATATATATATAAAAATAAAAAAATTCGAGCTTGGCAGTACTCGAAACTGCAACCGCCTGATCCGTAGTCAGGCGCACTACCAATTGTGCTACAAGCCCATATTATATTATTATTGATTGATTGAAATATAAACTATTCCATTAATAATAATGATACAGTATCTTTTAAATTCTAAAATATAATATTGGTATCAAAAATCAATAAAATTTAAATATTAATATACTTACATTTATTATGAACCTTTTGGATGTTTTTCATCTAAAACATCGAAAATTCTATAATCAGACTTAACTATAGAAAATTATAATGAAATAATTTACTTNTTAATTGAAAAATAGAAATTACTTGAAAAATAATAATCATAAGAGAAAAAACGAATTCAAAATGATAGGGCTTTAGATAATAATTTATTGTAAAATTAATACAAAGTAGAACCAAAACCACAAGAAAAATCACCTTAATTTGGAGGAAAACAATAAAAAGATTCAAGAGTATAAATTAAACCAAAATCTGATCTATTGGAATGTGTGTAACAGAAAAATAAAGATTTAGATCTTATGCTTTAAGAATTATAAGGAATAGTAATTATAAAAATCTATTTTATTTAGATTGGAGGGGATAATAATTAAATAGATAAGATATCCAATTAAAATGGAAAAGAAAATGTTCAAGATTACAATTCTCTACCAGTGACATAAATAGAAGATAGAGAAGATGATGAAGATGAATCTTGTGATAAAAATGTCTAGAAACAAAAATAAGCTATCAAACCTATCTCTGAGATAGAAGAGGAATGTTTAGAATTGTTAAATAAACAGGATTTAAACAAATGCAGCACAATTCTTATTAAAATTGAAAAATCCATAGGTAAAGAGAAGATGAAAAAGACAATTGACATTTTGCGTAAGGCTGTAAGACTTTGTAAATAATCAATATTAGTTAGAGAAGATGAGCCTTGAAGTTATTGAATAAAACTATGGTCCAAATTATGAAAAATTATTACCATTTTTAACATTAGAAGAAAGAAAGAAATGTGCACCACTTCTTATAACTCACATAATTGCTGATTGATGAATTTAATAGATTAGTTATTCAAATTCTTCTTTTCAATTTTATATATATTCTTTATACTATATATATATAAAAATAAAAAAATTCGAGCTTGGCAGTACTCGAAACTGCAACCGCCTGATCCGTAGTCAGGCGCACTACCAATTGTGCTACAAGCCCATATTATATTATTATTGATTGATTGAAATATAAACTATTCCATTAATAATAATGATACAGTATCTTTTAAATTCTAAAATATAATATTGGTATCAAAAATCAATAAAATTTAAATATTAATATACTTACATTTATTATGAACCTTTTGGATGTTTTTCATCTAAAACATCGAAAATTCTATAATCAGACTTAACTATAGAAAATTATAATGAAATAATTTACTTTTATACTCAACTTAAGGTTCCAATTTTGGTGGTCCTTCTTCCTAATATTCGATTTAAACTGCTAGATTTAAGTCTTTTTACACTTATAATACTTCTGTTAGGAATTCAGTAACATCATTAATCAACATAGCTTCTACTTTAATCGCTGCCAAAAAGGTCAAATGATTAGAGATATTATTAATTTTCTTGTGTACTCTTAACAATATAGTTGCTGTAATTGAAATGATAATATTTCCTCTTTCAGAAGTAGCTTTAATGGATTGTTATTATTAATAAATAATTAGATCCCAAGCCCTATAAAGAGTTTCTGAAGGTAATACATCTGAAAATAGATTGAAAAACAATTCAAATAGTTCATTTTCCACTTCAATTCCATAAAGGAACATCTTATGAAAGAGATCTGGGTGTTTCTTGTTAAGATAAACCCTTAATTTAGCACATTATTCTAAGAATAATCTATTTTATAGAATTTAATCTTCATATAAAGGATAATCAATAAGAACCTAATTATGAAAGCCAACCAATAACCAGAAGGCTCTACTTTCATTAATTAAATCAGAAGGAGTCTATTTAGTTTCATTTGCGAATTCAGTATAATCATTGTATCTTACATGATAGTAGATTTGCATAGCTAACATTTTTTTGGCTAAAGTAAATAGATGATGGATATAAATTTAATTAGGGATCAATCCTAAATTTCCTTGATATAATAAGAAGCAAACCAAAAGATTCTTTAATTGATGATAAAATTGTTCATTGCCAAATCCTTTCCTACTATCCTCTTGTCTCAAATAGATGTCTATTTATTAAAGTAAGGTTTTTTTTAAATTTTATTTAAGTTGAGATATTTTATAATAGAGAGAAACACTTTCATTCATACCATCCTCTTTATCTAGATTAATTTTATAGTTTAAACTCAGAACTTTTTTGATTGGCTCAAATGATATTTACAATAATTAAAACCATAATTTGTTTCTTAGATAATATGGAATTCCCATTAAAAATAGTCCATTAACTAATTCTTACACTTATGGATTTTTGATATTGTAAAAATTCATAGATTCTAAACGATATGATACAAGTTCATATTATTTAATTTATTTTTCCATTAAACCAAAATTATGACATAAATTTAAAATAACCTTTCTAATAAAGACCATTTATAATTAATGCATTTATTTATTAAGAGTTTCTGGATTTTTTTATTATAAAAATAGAATATAACTTAACATTTACATACTTTATTTCATACAAATATTGCTTTCTTCTAATGTGATTAGGATAAATTTCATAATATCTTTATTCATTTTTGGAATTTAAATAGTATTTAAATAGATAGGATCTGAAAAAGCAAGAGAATGTTCAACTATATATTCTAATTCTTCTTCATAAGATGAGGGATTATGCATCATGATAGATGGTTTGACATGAATATCAATTTCTAAATATATGATACTCTCTTTGGATTCAGTTTTTAATGAATTGGTCTAAACTAATTTTAAAGGTATCCACATTGATCTTCCTTATTAAGATTATTGAAGTAATTCTTTAACAATAATTTTAAAGGGAATAGTTGCTGTATCATAAAAAGCATTGACCATATCTTTAAATTAAATTGAAATATGATCTTAACTATTAATATTTGAAATTATAAAAGAACATGGTTTTCTTTCTTATTATTTAGATAATATTTTATTCTCAAAGTTTTATTCTCTCAATAACCAATTATAAAAATGATCTGTCTTTTGTTATCCTAAATATGCTTCCATTGTTAATTTAGAATCCTATTCTACAGATTATAATTCAACAAATAGTGTAGGTTTAATTAAATTAATATCAACAGCAATATTAATTGATTTAATTAGAATTGTAAATATTAATTCCCTAACTTTTTAAGTGTTTTGTATTTCTTCACTTTTTTCTAACCAATCTGCCATCATAGGTCTTAACCATTCTGATAATTCAAAATTTAGTACTGATTTGGATCCTAGAAATTAACGCCATTTCATTTTTTTATTTTCATCTTATTATCTAATTTAATCTAATTTTTTTCTCTCTTCATCAGCCATTTAATTCATTCTTTCTTCTCTTTTAAAGAATTAAACACTCTTATTTAACCATTTCTTTTATAAAATATTTCTTATTATTTTGATATCTATTTCCATTAAGAATTTAGCTTCTTCTTTTCCTAATTTAGCAGCCTTTTTTCTTTATTATATAACCTGTATTGAGTAGGTCTCTAATTTTTAAGCAAATAATAGAAAATAATTCTCTTTTACAAGTGACAATGATTCTTAAATAATGGTAGGCAATTTTAGAATTTTATTCATAGTAATATGACACTTAAAATAATCATAAAACTTTTAACTTTCATCATCACCTGTAAAATATATCCATACAGGACTATGTTTAATAAAATTGAACATAAGTCTTACAGGAAACTTTTAATAACTTACATCCCATTTGAAATCTTTATTGGCATCTTCAAGATGTTAAATATTAAATGTTTTAATAACACCAAAAGTTTTTATAATTACATTACCTTTCTTAGATTATCCAAGTGTAGTTTTTTACAATTAACATTATCTTTATGTCACAGATCCAAATATACCACCTTTCTTATAACATGAATAATCTAAAAGTTATTCATCAAGTGAAAGAACATGTTGTGTACTTAAATGTTGAGGCAAATCTTATGGATCTTCATCAATATATTTTTATAGTTATTCTGCAATCTTTTAACGAGCATTTCCAGCTTATATTGATCTTTCTTCATGTAATTTTATTACTTCAAAAGCACCAACTATATTTTCTATATATTTATCTTCTTAATATAACCAATTTTTTGTGATTTCTTTCTTATAACAATTCATTAATTATATATAATGTAAGTATAGAAAAAAGGTCAATAGTAATCATTTGCAGAATATGTTAAATAAATAACTAGTTAATCTGTAAATAGATTCTAACAAACATCTAATAAACAATTTCGATCAACTAATCTTCCTCAATTACTTAGTGACATGGATCAATCACCATATTTGCTAACTAGTTTAGATAAAGCTAAATTTCCTTAGGTAACTAAAATGAATAAGACTTCTTATTTGAATTACAGCTCTAGTGAATAAAAAAATTTTGAAGAATTAGCATCCAAATTTGTAAAGCAGTTAGAATAACAAACTTTGAGAATTGATAAAGACACTCCAAGAATAAATCTTATGCGCTTTTAATTAAATATATAAAAGTCAAAGAGACATCTATAAAGAAAGAGTCCAATGCCTTTCTGATTTAATATTATATACTTATTAGATATATCTATTGTATACTAATATAAACATATATTATCAGAGAATTGTAATCTTTTTTTAAAGGCTCAGCGTCTAATGACTAGCCAAGTGAGATATCATCATAAATATATTTATTTTAATTAAATTATTTAAAATAATAAACACCGGTATGACAGATTTCGCATTAACAACATTCAGTAGTAAAGGAAAACTATTATAAATTGAATATGCTCTTAATGCTGTTGCAAAAGGAGACACAGCTATTGGAATTAAAGCTAAAAATGGTGTTGTTTTGGTAGTAGAAAAGAAACAATCATCAATTTTGGTTGAAGAATCCAGTGTTTAAAAGGTTTCACTATTGACAGATAATATTGCAGCCACATATGCAGGATTGGGTCCAGATTTCAGAGTCCTTGCATAATAAGCTAGAAAATTGGTTAAAAAATATGATCTTAAATATCAAGAGGAAATATTTGTATAAACATTAAGCAGAGAATTAGCAGAAGTATATAATAAATTTATAAATTAGGATGTATAAGTGGCAACTTAAAGAGGAGGTATTAGACCATTTGGAGTTTCAATTTTGATTGCAGGATATGATGAAGAAGGTCCCCATTTAGTTTAACTTGATCCAAGTGGAGCTTATTATAGTTGGAAGGCTACTGCAATTGGAAAGTAAGCAAAGAATGCAAAGGCATTTTTAGAAAAGAGATATAATGCAGATATGGAGATTGAAGATGCCATAAATACAGCATTATTGACTTTGAAAGAAGGGTTTGAAGGTATAAGATAAATATAATTTTTAATTAGGTTAGATAACCCCTACAAATATAGAAGTAGGAGTGATTAGAGATGATCATGTGTTTAGAATATTGCCTCCATCATAGGTAAAGGATTATTTGGAAGAGTTAGAATGAAATATATAATTATTAATATGAATTTTCAAGAATAACTTTAGTAAATTATTTAGGGAATATTCTCTCAAAATAATTAGAGTAGAAAATAAGGGGAAGATCGGTTAGCTTAACTTAGAGAAGCTTAACCAAATGAATTTGTAATGCAAATGCTCAATCTTTGTAGACATGAGGAATTAAAAATTAGGCAATTTGCTCCAGTTTACTTGAGATATAGTCTATCGAGGTTTGCTCCAAAGAGTCATAAGAATGTGTGGAATTAATTGATTGTAGAAACCAAAGAAATTGTAAAGTTGCATCTATTTTAATTTATTGAAGTGGAAAATAGTCATATAGTCAGAAATTAATTATGTGATACAATAGGAGAAATAGGTGGATCTTTGTATGAAAATGATAACCATAATGAATGGCCAAATTTACTACCAACATTATGGTAAATGTTTTTGTCATCAAATAATGATATAATAGAATGTGGTTTTAAAATTCTAGGGAATCTATTTATGTATTCTATTGATTAATTTGATAAATATTAACAAGATCTTCATACTTTATTTGTTTAAGGATTGGTAAGTCCATAAATTAAAATTAAATCATCTACTATGCATGCTTTAGGCAATTATATTAAATATTCATTACCTATATAATATAAGATCTTTTAAGATTTAATATCAAATATGATGAAATCTGCACTTGAAATTACAATTTAAGATCAATCATTAGGTGAAGGTATTATGGAAGTCTTTTCAAATATAGTGGATTCTAAACCTAAATTTTTAAGAAAGTAGTTTAATATATTCTTTAATGGAATTTATAGTATGTTTAGAGAATCCTAAATAGAGAATGGTGTTAAGAGAATTGGAACTGAAACTTTATTGAGTATGGTTGAAAAGTTTCCAGGATTGTTTAAATTTGAAAAAATCTATTTAATGTAAGTGGTTGAAATGATATTCTTTCATATGATATAAATAAGTTCTACTATTACTGATGAATGGATGAAACCTCCAGAAGGATTTAATGATGATATAGAATAAGATGAAGATTGTGAGACAACAAGATTTGGAATGTCTAGTATAGATAGATTAATAGAATCATTAGGTAAAAAGGAAATGTTACCTCTTTTAAATCCAATAGTAAGTGAATTATTAAGACATTAAGATTGGAGATGTAAACATGCTGCCATAATGGGTTTATCTCAAGTAGGTGAATATATTGATAATATTGTTGATATCAAATCAACAATAGAATTGATATTACCTATGTTAAATGATAATAATTCAATGATACGATATGCTGTATGTCATGCTATTGGATAGATTGCAGATGATATGAAACCTAAATTCTAAGAATCTTACTTGCATATTGTTGTACCATAATTCTTGAATCGTTTAACTGTAGAGGATGTTCCAAGAGTAAATTCTCATATTTTAGCTGCTCTTACAAATTTTGTAGAGGGAACTGAAAAAGGTATAGAGGCTTATTTGCCTAATTTAATTTAGTTATCAATTAAATTTTTGAACACAGGTATTTCTATTGAAAAAGAAAATGCCATTAGTGTTATTGCAGCAACAGCAGAATCAAGTAAATTATTTTTTATTCCATATGTAAATGAATTACTTCCATTATTATTCTAAATATTTTCAACTCATCAAACAAAATAATATAGATAATTGAAAGGTTAAGCAATTGAAACTATTACTTTAATAGCTTCAGCAGTAGGAGAGTAAGTGTTTCTACCTTTTTTAGAATAGACTGTTTAGATTTTAATTCAAGTATAAACTAGTAATTTGGAAGCTATTGATCCATAAAAGTCTTATGTACTTTCAGGATGGTAGAGATTGGCTTTAGTTTGTCCGTAACAATTAGCAAAATATCTTGGATAAATTGTACCTTCCTTATTTCAATTAATCTAATAAGTGTTTAATATCAATACTACAGAATCAAATAAAGAATTGCATACATATGATAATGAGGAAGCTGAAGTTGCAATTCATATGTTATCTGTCTTTATTGAAGAACTTAAACAATCATTCTTTCCTTTTGTAGAGAAGTGTATACAATTAATTGTACCATTATCTTAATTTAATTCTGATGAAAACATTCGAAGTGCTGCTTGCAAATGTTTAGTCAGTTTGGTTAAGAATGTTAAAGAAACTAACAATCCATAATAATTGATAAATGGTGCTAAGTATTTCCTTGGAATCATTTTAGAAGCAGCATTTAAAGAATCTGATCCCTCTGTGATTATTGAATAAATTGATTGCATTAAAGAAATAATTGATATTGTTTCTTAGCCATTTATGACAACAGAGGAAGTCACAGAATTATCAGATAAAGTATTTAAATTATTGTTAGAATCAGATAAAAGAAGGGCTGAGAATGAGAATTTAGCTAAGGAAGAAGATGTAGATGAAGATGAAAAGAATGCTATAAAGGAAGATACTGAAACAGAAGAGAATTTACATGGAAAGATTGCTGAATGTATTGGTTCTTTATTCAAAACTCATAAAGAATTTGTCTTACCTCTCTATGAAATTATATGCAATCAAATATTACAAAAAGTTCTTGATTAGCATAAATCTGCTAAAATGCATCAATTTGGACTTTGTCTAATAGATTATATGATTGAGTTTTTGGGATTCCCATATATCCAAAACCATTTCATTGATCTTGCTTAAGCCTTAACTATCTATGCAGTTGATAAAATATGCTCAGTCAGATAGGTGGCTGTATATGGAATAGGTTTAATGGCTATAAACACTCCTTAAGAATTGTATTTATAAGTCTCGTAATCTCTATTAAAAGCATTAGTTGATTCTTTGAAAGCACAAAAAGATTAAGATGATAATGAAAAACACTTTGGATAAGCAAGAGATCATTCAATCTCTGCTTTAGGTAAAATTATTAAATCTTAACCACAATCATTAGGATAAGATTTAATATAGGGTATAGAAACATGGTTATATTTATTGCCTTTGCAATATGATAAAAAATAAGCTTATATTTAACATAATCAATTGGCTGAATTTATAATTTAAAATGGAGAATAATTCGTTAATGGTAAATCTGATAATGCATTATAAGTACTATTTTATTTTAATATTATTTAGATTCTCAAAGTATTTGCTAATTGTTATAAATCAAAGTGGTCTACAACATTTATAGATTCATAGATAGTTAATGCTCTTAGGATCTTTGAATAGTTAGATTCAGTGAAAGTATTTCTACAATAAATATTTTAAAAATTGAGTCCTGAAGATTAAAAGAAATTATTAGATATACCTAAATGATAAATAGTTTTTTGTGTATTTGTTAATATTAATATTAATAATATTAAATGAATTCATTTCTTTCCACCCTCATCTGGTAACTCAGCCTACCAATTAGTAAGATTATCATTTATCAATTACAGAATTGTAGTTACATCTTTATATTGATCTTCTTCCATATCATCCAACTCTTTAATTGCCTTATATATAATTTATAATAAATACTTCATCTTTTACAGTTTTAGCCAATTCACATGCTTTTGCAACATCACTCATAATTTCATAACAAAAGACTGAGTAATTTAGAGTAACTCCTAATCTTAATAAATTAGTTTTTGGAAACTTATCCTTATCAATTAATTCTAATGCTGTTTGATAAGCTTATTAAGCTTATTAAATTGCTTTCTCTTAAGCTTTTTATTAAGAATATTCTGAAATGTATCGATTATAATCTCCTTTCATTTTGTGATAAAATACTCTAGCCTCTGTATTAGTTGTCTTCTTCAATAAAGTATGATCTATCAATTACAAAACCTCATTGCAATAATAATCTAATTCCTTCTCTACTCTTGCCTTATAATATTAAAGTACTTCCTAATATTTCACAATCTATCACTTATTGATTTTACTCTTACCTTTTATTTCTCCTTAATCTCATAAGCAGTAATTGCTCTCCAAGCAGTTCTCCTCTATCCCACTGTATTTTTATATGCTATTGAAAGTAGATTTCTCTCTTCATTATTCAAATCTTTAGTGATTTCTGCTACCTTCTTCATGTTCTCTACCTACTCTTGTAAATTAGTAATTACCATGTCTTCCCATCTTTCAGTTTACTCAGCCAATCTAGCCATGTATGTGTATTCGTCTCTTTTATCTGACATAATAAATTATTTAGATATATTAATTAATTTCTGAGTCTCCAGAAGAAGTAAAAAAAGAAATTAAATTCTAAATTCTCATTTATTAAATTAAAATGCTTTAATAAGTAGCCATAATAATTGTCAACAATCATTTCACTTTTTTTTTGCCATACTACTTGGAAAACGAAGTTCTAAAGAAAAATAATAATAAATCTATACAATTAACTGCTGCTTATTTAATTAAATTTTATTATAATGGTTGAGGTTTTTAAATTTGTTATTTGGATTAAGAATTTGGTCTTTATTTATTTTGGATCTAATAAAGATAATAATGATAAATAATTACTTTAGGTAAAGTAGGTATTCCATTAGGAATAGATGATTTAGGTTTAATTTATTAAACTACTCTTTTTGAACTTTATTATTATTATTATTATTATGTTTGTTTTTTCTCATAAATCTTTTTGTCCATACTTAAACTTATATCTCCTTCATTAGTGTCTTCTTAAACAAAATTCTTTTCTTCATCTGTATTTTCTCCTTCATCAAATCCTTCAGCCACTTCTTCATCCTCATAAACCCATTCATACTCAGAGTCATCCTCTTATTATATTTGATCACCTTCCTCATATTCTTCATATTCCTCCTCTTCTTCTTCTTATTCATCAGCATTATCAAGTTCATCTTCTTCAGCTTCTTCTTCTTCACATTCAAATTCTTCCTCCTCTTCTTCTTCCTCTTCGAAATCAAACAATCCATCGACATAAAATTTAAGTGTATGTCTTACGATATCCCATATTTGACTGCAAAAATAACATAAATCGATTCACGCTCTTATCAGATGGATTGGCCTTCAAAACTACAGTGACAAATGAATGTACTTTCTTTGCCAATTTAATAAGCTTCTTCGTATTTATGCTATTGTACTGCCAACAAGAACTTAAAACTCATAGATTTATCTTCCATCATCTCCTAGATAGTTGAATCCATTAATTATATATATATATTTATATTTAAATTTTGCTTCTCATAAAACTTTCTACAACAAAGTCCAAATTGTATTTGATAATTGAACATCAGGGTGATAGAGAGCCAAAACAAATAATAAACACATGGTATTGAAGCATGGTATAAATGAAAAGATCCACATAATCCATCCTTAAAATGTCAAATATGTTGAAAATATAATGAAATAAGGAAGGCACGTGTAAATCTCCCCTATTTTATTTTTGATTGCATTCTACCTGTAGTTTAGTATTTATTGACTGCTTAAAATGAGGGAATCAAGGCTCCAACTAAACCTGTAATAACTCTAGGTGCAATTCCTAACAAGGTGCATAAGATTGAGAGAACTAATGTTCCAAATGCGATATGTGATAACTTTATTTTTGGCTATGGATTATATTAAAAAGAGTATATACATTTGGAAGATATTTCTAGAGGGGTTCATATTCATCTAATTCTGAAATTCTCAATTTAGCAATGATGGGGTCCACTTAATGCATTAATAATTAAATTAATTTAATATAAAATTTGTAAATTTACTTGATTATTGAGAGGACACAAAAAATAAATTAATGATATATATTTATTGTGAGAATTCTATTTTTAATTCTTATGATATTTATATTGCATTAATTATAAAATTCAATAGATCATTAATATTTGTTATAAGAATGTTATTATTATTATTAAATTTACTTATAATATATAATGAATAGCACCTCTGTTAAAAATTAAAATGAAACTATGTTCTTTCTTTCAACAATCAATTTGATTTTTGGGATTATAAAGTTAGAGATGTTCACAATAATATCTAATTCAATACTTTTTGGTTTGATGTTCTGTAAGTAAAATTAATGCTTATAAGAAGGTTATTTGTGGTACAAGTATAAGAGTCATAGAAAACATTTAATTTTTGAACAAGTAATTGTCATTTATTATTGTTGTTATCAATTAATATAGAGAGGAGTACCTGGAATATGGTTTAATATATTTTCAATTTAATTGGATTAACATCTAGTTTTATTTGTAACTCTCACTATTGTAATTGCATTCACATGTGCATAAGTACAACCTATGGTAGAGATTAGTACATTATAAACAATTTTAGAATAATTGATACTAATTATCATATTTCTCTATAATAAATACAATTTCACAAGTCTTAGATAATAAACACAAAATAGAATAATAAAATAGATAATGAAGAATGTTAGATATTATGCATTTGATAAATATTAAAATGAAATTGATGGAGAAAAGTTATTATAATCAGAATAAATCTTAAATTCAAATGCTACATTATTTTCTTATCGTTCTGAAAATCAGAAATTGTAATAACAAATAAGGAAGGATTTAAAAATTAAATGTTATACAATGTAATAAATAGATATTGCATAAGAATCTCAAATTTTGTCATCAAAACCTTCTGTTTTTGAAACTTTAGGTGGATTTCTGGAATTCTATTAAAAAGATAAGCATTAAATGAAAAATAAAGTAATTTTAGCATTAGAATATGATGAATTAACAGGACAAAAACAAACATACAGATTATATATAGAATAATTTAAATAATTTTAAAGAATTTATACTTTAGTTGCACTGGTTAATTTAGATGATAAAATACCATCAAAGCAAAATAAAAATATTGATAAGTTTAAAATGAGTTTATCTAAAATATTCACTCACAAATTAAAAACACCTTTAAACACTACTCTAGGGTTTTTATAGGCTTTAGTTTAAGAGAATAATACAATAGATGAATAAGTAAAAAATAGTTTTTTGAAACCTGCATTTATCAATTCAAAAATATAATATTATTAGGTTTAGGATATTTTAGATTATGTGAATTCAGTAAAATTAGTTACATATAATGTGAGTAAAGTAAATTTATATAAGACTTTATAATTAATTTATGATATGATTGAATTATAATGCAGAGCTAAAAAGATCTAAGTTATTTTTACTATAAATTCTAAACCTTTTGATGTTAATGATAGGTATTTAATTATAATATTGTAGACCAATATATTTAAATACTGATTAATTAAGATTAGAAAGAATCCTTTTTAATTTATTAAATAAATCATATAGACATACATAAATTATGGGTAAAATCCAATTAAATGTGGATGTATTGTCTGAAAATAATTAAGTTTAATTTAAAATTAATGATAATGTTTAAGGATTTAAGTAAGAATAATTTGAATAAATCAACAATTTTGCTAGATTACAAAACAAATGTATTCATGGATTCCGTAATTCAATTGTGAAAAGATCAACATTCAAATTTAGTCTAACTTTATAAATAACAAATAAATTAATTTATTTTCTAAGTGATTTTCAATGTTCCTTATAAATTAATCATGATTTAGAAGAAGGAGCAAGTTATTAATTTTTCATCAGCCTTAATTGTCAATAAGTTAATTTCCAACACTCTTTCGAGATTAGTTAAAAGAATTCGAGTTTCTAAAAAAGGAGTTCAGGTTCACTTAAATAAAATCTACCTAATCATATTTCACTATTTACAAAAAGTTAAAATTAAATATCGTATTAATTGATATTATTTTATAAGTAGGGATAAAGTATTAGAGGAATATGAGATAGAAGTTGAACCTCTTGCAAATAAGCCTCTTTAATTAAGTACATAAGTGGTTTAAAACTATCCCTAAAATGCTCTTTTTTAAAGTCATCCAATCTAATAAAGTGTTTTCCCTTTCCAAAAATCTGTATTTTAAAAAGAAATTAATGATAAATCTTTAACCATTTCTGTAGCATTTGATCATTCATTCAATGTGAAACGTGCTGCAGATTCTATAGATATAAGACAAGATATGAATTAAACTATTATGTTAGTTGATGATGAGCCATTTAATCATGATACCTTAAAATTGATGCTTAAGAGTTTAGGATTCAAAAATTTTATTAGTGCTTATCATGGTTAATAATGTATAGAATTGGTAAAAAAACATCACAAATCTATCAAAGTTATATTCATGGATTTAGATATGCCAATAATGGGAGGAGTAAAAGTATAAATATATATATATATTTTAAATAGGCAACATAAATTCTTATCCAATAAATGTAGGATGGGGAAATTGATCATATACCAATTGTTGCCTGTACTGCCCATGATGATAAAGATACATAATAGGAATGTTTTACAGCAGGTATGATTTGTATCATTGCTAAACCGGTCTTTATTAGAAGTTTACAAGAAACATTCTTGAGAATTAATGAAATCAAGGTTAAATCTTAAAACCTTGTCTTTGGATCCAAAGGAATTACTTCAAGTATTAAATGATAACATTATCAATCTCTTATATATTTTGAATATATATATATTATTCATTATTAAAAAGACAAATAATAATAAAATTATCATCATCCAAAAAGTAAACTGTTTTTAAAATTATTCAATAACAACAAAAGTTTATCGTTATCACCAAAAAAAGAAAGCTTTGGCTATATCTTTATTAAACAGAGAAAAATTGCATGTTTTAATTATTAATATTATCTAAAATTATGAAATTGAGAATTAAATTCCAATATATGTTAGGCATCATATTTCTATCTGACCTTATTAAAGGAATAATAGATAATTAAATATCTATACTAATTTGGATTTCAGTATTGCTTACTATAAAAATTGGTAATAATTCTTAAAATTATAGTCAGGATAGCTTATACTGATCGCTAAATTTAAAAGATTCTAGTAATCAACCTACTTTATCTTATTCTGTTATAGTATATTTCAACTCTCGCATTATGGAACATAGTCTTTGTGGTTTTTGTTGTGTCTTATAGAAATTTATTAAACAGAAAATAACAAAATAAAACTCTATTGTAAAATCTTGTAAGTTACACTTAGCATCATTTTGTCTTCACTTCATTATTAAGGTAATATAAAGTATTCAGAATTTCAATAAATTATATATTTTGTGGCATTTATAATCTATCAACTTTTTAAAGATGTTGTTCAAATAATTAGAATTGAAGAAGCTGAAAATGAAATACTATAAGAATTAAAGAAACAAATCATCATTAAAATATTTGATTAAAATTATGAAGATATTACACCAAATAGTTCACCACAATTAGATGCTAATCCTTACATATTATTAACCTAAAACACATAAATGGATGAAAATCAATAATTTTATATTAAATGTTATTAAGACAGAGATTTTACATCAAGTCCTGATTAAAATTCAAATTAATAATAATAGATATTATTTTAAGATTGTATTTCCTTTTTAAAATTCATTAATAATTAAGATTCACTTGATAGCTCTGAATACAATCATTATATAGCATCTTTAATTGATGTATAAAAGAATATCAAATAAAAGTTTAAAGTAATTCATAAAACAACAAGTCTAGGTAATAAGTAAATTTTAGCCTTTTGGAAGATTGATAACTTCACAGTAAAATAAACAAAATAAAAGTTTTCTCAATTTAAAAAGTAATTTACTGATCTTTTTGCTCATAAACTTAAAACTCCCTTGAATGCATCATTGGGATTTCTCTCTTAAGCCTATAATAGTATAGATGTAGATACTAAAACAAAATCCAACTTTATAAAGCCTGCTTATATTAATTCAAAATTGTAATACTTTTAAATTTCAGATTTATTGGAATTCTTAAGTCCTTAGACTGATAAAATTACTGTATAATAGAGTAAAATCAATATGAAATAATTTTTATTGTCTTTATCAGAATTAATTGAATCATAATGTATTAATAAAAGAATCTTATTTCAAGTTTTTGTAGAATAGGTTCCATTGTAATAAATTGAAAAGTATAAAATATTAATTTAATTTTTTTAGCTTTTATATAATATCAGATTTATTCAAATTAGAAAGAGTGTTATACAATATTTTAAATTAATCTTATAGACATACACCTTCTGGTGGTTAAATAATTTTGAGTTTAAGTTTAAATAAGGAACATACAGAAATAAATTTTGTTATTGATGGAAGTGGATGTGGTTTCAGTGATGAAGATATTGAGAATATTAATTTATGGATTAAATCATAATCTGATTTTCAATTTAAAAAAAAACATTTAGTTATTAAAAAAGAATTAAAAATGTCATTAGAAATTACTAATAATTTAATTAACATTTTAAGTTCTTCTGAGTAAAATTTAGAAGTAGCTTAATCTGAATAAGGTACAGAATTTAGATTTAAAATTAATATTAAAGAAAGCAAGACTATGGAAAGTTAATAAGAAATATAATCTGTTGGTTAAATGCTTAAATAGAGAAGTTTAAGAAATATGAAAAGCTCTTAAAATAATAATTGTATGATAAAATCAATATTCTCTGCTCCAGATCCATATTTATAATTAAATTCCTAAACAGTGCTTGATGAACCTTAAGCAAATTAACCATTAACAAATAAAATTAGTTTTAGTAAATGGTAAAAGAAACATAAACATTTAAGACGTGTACGTTCTTCATTAATGAATAAAGGTCTAATGGATACTGATAAATCAATTATGATTGTAGACGATGAACCATTTAATCATGATACACTTATTTTAATGATGAAAACTATGGGATATAAGTAATTCTTGAAAGCCTTTAATGGTTAATAGGCTATAGATATGATTTAATAAAATCAATTAGATATATGTTTGATTCTGATGGATTTAGATATGCCAATTATGGGAGGTATTGAAGTATCTATTTTCTTTATATTAAAAATAGGCTACAAAAATATTAATTTAAATGATGATTGATTTAGAATTAGCCTATATTCCAATAATAGGATGTACAGCTCATGATGATAAGGAAACATTAGAATAATGTATTGAAGTTGGAATGCTACATGTAGTGTTGAAACCTGTCTTTGTGAAAACATTACGAGAAGCATTTTAATATATTGTATTTAGTGAAGAGGTTAAAAAACGATCATAATATATATTACCTTCCTAATTGTAAATCTGATTAACTCATACTAATACAACTATTCCATAAATTATTATAATTAACAATAATAATATAAAGTCTAATTTCTATTATATTATTTAATATAAATGTAAACCTCATTGACATACACATTAGGATTAAAAAATGATACTAATTATTAATTTATCACTAAACATACTCTAGCAAAAAGGAGATAATTATCTGATAAATATAATGACAATTCATAAGTTGCTGTAATTTGTGAACCACATAGATTATATAAATAATCATCTAGTGGTGCTGGTTCTGAATTTCCAATGTAATAAAGTTTTATAACAAATAATTAGAGTAGTTTTTGTTTTCAGTAAAAAGGATCCTGTAGCTAGTATTTTCTAAATTTTAAAAGGGAAACTTAAAATTAATCCATAAACTACATTATATTTACTTTGCAATAATTATATTTTGTAATAAGGTATACTATTCAATTTATTGAAGAATAATCTATAGGATAAATATATGAAAAATATAAGAATCAAGATGATGGACTTTTATACATTAAATATAGTTCTTAAGAAACTTTTGGAAACTGATTGCAATTAATATAATAAATAAAATTTTAGTATATATATTAATCAGCTCTATTTAACATAAATTGGACTATCACCTGGTTGTTTGATTCCAACAATAAAATTTTTTAGTTAAATAGATTCTTGAAGTTCCTCTTGGATATCAGATCCAGCTGAAGAAGATTCTTCAAAACTGGCTTTTCTGCTTGAATTAATTTCTTTTGGAGGGGAACGAAAACTAGTTCTTTACATTTAAATAAATTTTAATCTAATTGCAGGTTTTGGTTGAAAATATTATAATGCTAAACGAGCCCCACTTTCCTCTTAAGAAAATAGAGATATCAAATATTCATAGTTTGGATCTTCTTCAAATTTTAATCCTTTTATATATTCCATAAATATAGATAATTGAATAGGCAATCCAAAAAATTTATCAATTTTTAATGCCTTTTTCATTTTTTTTATTTTTTAATATCTAATTTCTTTATCTTAATCACTTATTGAATACCAAGGTAAATTGCCTTAATGCAAATATATGAGCATATACCCTAATGATTCTAAATCATCTCTTCTAGATTATTCAATACCTTTTAAAGCATTAATTGATGCATATCGAGCAGTTCCAATCATTCCTTTATTTTCTTTATAATGAATATGATGACCATCAATAATATATTTTTTAGAAAGTCCAAAATCAATCAGATTAATCTTATTATCTTGCATAACAAAATTTTCAGGTTTTATATCACGATGGATTACTCCTAACGAATGGAGCTCCTTCAAAATTTTGATGATCTCCAATCCAATAGGTAAGATTTTATTAAAATTTCCTTACTTTTATCTATATTGTTCCAAGTTTTCTCCCATTAGATTCATTACAAAGTATGTATTATGTTAATCAGAACCAGATGCAAATAACTATGTAAATCCTTAATGCTTTTATTATTCAAATACCTTTTTTGCCTTTCAAGATTTGTAAGATTTGTATTTCTCTTTGTAGTAATTTTTTTTCCTTTCTCATAGAATTTTTAACCAGTTTACAAGCAAATATTTAACCACTAGAAATATGTTATACCTTCCAAATGTAACCAAAAGCACTATTTTATTGATGATTAGTATTATTACCCTTCACCTAACTTATCGAGAAATTAATAGGAAGAGGAAGCAGGCGACTTAATTGACCTTTTCATAATGAATGAATTTTTATTATATAATCAATTACATAATATATATGCTATTTTGATAATAGGTGATTTCAAAAATAAAAAATCTTAAACTGACCAAACACTATCTAAATTTAAAATTAGAGTGAAAACCCATATAAAATTTGCATAATATTTTAGGGAAATTAAAGAATTAATTAAGGACAACTATTAATCATTCCTGAGGTTTTGTTGTACATCCATTGATATAACAATTGGGTAGGAATGGGAAATGATTTGATGTTTGATTTGTCGCTGTTGAATTCTATAAATAATTTAACAAGCTACCCAGAGAACTCACAATATAATTTTTATAATATATATATATTAATTATCATTTTTGTTTTATTCCTCTTTGTTTACTACGCAAAGAATATAATTCCTCTAATTATTAAAAGAAATTATCAGAATAGTTCTTAATAACTCCAGCCAAATCTAATACAAATTAGGCTAACATAACCTAATTTTAATATACAATTCTGCTCTCTTATGCTTATACCTTAGAGAGCACAAATATCATGGTTTAACTTACATGTCTATGACACTCATCAACATTTTCACCAATCTAAAAAATACCTTCTGGATTATCATCCTCATTAACAGAGTTCACATCAACATTGCGTTGACTTATCATAGCATTTCTAGCACTCATTGTTAAATATCTAGGACTAATTGTTGGTTTTTATCCATTCATTCTTGGAGTAGCAGAATCAGGAGGAGCATAACGTTCATTTTTTATTTGATATAGTACAATAGTACTTCTAACATCTATTTTAGTAATATCAAGTTCAAATTATTTAGCCATTTTATTCATACTAGTATGAAATTCTCTTATATGTGTTTTGACCTCTGGATTCTTAATTTCCTTCATAAACTTCAAATTCTCACATATTCTCATTTAACCTTGATCAAATAATAAATTATCATATGTCCAAGGTCCTGCTCCAATTTTAGTAAATACAATTTAATTATCTTCAATACTAATTAAGTACCATTTTCCATCCATTTAATGTAATAATTTAAAAAATGAGCAATCTGGTAATAATTAATAAGTGAAGTAATTCTCTATCAAATAAAGAATTTAAAAGAAATATTTAATATTTGGTTTTGGAAATTTCAATATACCCATTAAAGAGAATAATATTTTACTTTCAACTTTAAATTTACTTTAAAATTTTAATTCTTTAATTAATTCAAATTTTTAACCATATTCACTCTTAAAATATTATTCTTCCTATTATTTTATATACATTTCACTAGTATCTCTTAAAACAGCATTTTAAATAAGTAAATCATGATTAGAAATATTGACATGTTTTCTTTTAAACATTTCATCTTTCTTAATTTCATTTCTAATATGAACTACATATTCTGAAGTAACATTATAAATGTTATGAGATTCCTTAATAAATTTAATTTCTAGAAATTCTTAATAATCAATAAAATAATCGCAATACAACTTCTATATTTCAAGTAATTCATCTTCAATAATTTATGCTAGATCTCCTTAAGGTTTTAATTTACGAGTAACTTAATTTGGATTGATTCCTACTCTTAATACTTTACTATATATTTGAGTTTCTATTTGAAAATCCAATTCAATAGGAATTTCTTACTTTTCATCTTATTGCACCCTAATACCTACACTTCTTGGTCTAAATTCTAAAATATCTGGGTTATCATCATTAAGAATTGCAGTTTTCTTTTATAATTGAATAGCATTGCTTAATTGAGTTCCATTTCTAATATCATATTCTGTACCCATACTACTACCTAATAGTGCTTCATCTTAAAAATTAAGTTAAAAAGCAACTCTATCTTCTGGTTTGAATTATTCCATTTCTTATTCAAATAGAGTCTTAGAAACAACTGTAAATACTTCCCAAACTAATCCTCCAATTAATGCTAATAAGAAAATAGAAAGAAAAACAAATGAACCAATAAATAACATTGGAGTTACTAGATTTTTAGTGTCAAAGGAGAGTTCAAAAACTAATTGTCCCCATGCTGATGCTGTAAATACTTATAACATCATTAAATATGATCCACCCATAGAATTAAAATCTGCATATTTACATTAACCCCATAAATATTTAAATTCATTTGGATCACATGAATTATTTGAGAAAGGATTTTGATCATCAGTAGTAATTCCTCCATATATGTAAATACCTATACAAGCATATGTAAAAAAGACAATCTATACTGGTAATATCAATCTTAATATTAAAGGTACACAAATTATGATCTTATATAATAGATTTTTCACATGAGCAAATATCTCTAATCCTCTCAACAAATATCCTACTAATTTTATTGATCTAAAGGCTCTAAATAATCTAAAAACCTTTTATATTTTTGCAATTCTCAAAATTCTATTTGCTTTAATAGATTAAACTATATTTCCAGTCACAAAACTAAATAATATATAATCAAATAGTATCTACAACAATATCAATGTAATATCAAAAACATTCCTATGAATATAATCAACTTAAATACCAACCATCTACAAAAAAGTCATATATTCCTAAACCTATTATTTTGATTAAACATTCAAAAATGAAAATGCCTAAAAATACAGTGTCTATAGTATCAAATATGGCCAGTACATCTAAATTCTCTATAAAGAATGCAGATATAATCAAACCGCAATTAATTATAGTAACAAGGAACATGAAAAAACCAAATGTCTTAGATAGTATATAATTATTACATTAGATTCTATAAATTTCTTTAATCCATATTTATTAAGAAAGTTTCTAAACGATTCCCAACATTAAAGTGGTTTTGTTCTAGGTAAAGAGATTTTCTTACTATTCTATAAGACATAGAGTAATTGATTAAATTCGTCAAATTAAATCTTATCACTATTTGATAATTATTAATTACTTGAAATCTTTATCAATTTCTGAGAAGATAATCTTAACTTCTTCATCAGTCAATTAACCTCGATAAAAGGTTTTTAAGAATTTCTTAAATTGATTTTCAGTTAAAAATCCAGCATCATTTGAATCTAATGAAATGAAACTAGCCATCATAGCAGATTTTTATTTAATGATATCTTGGATAGCAATTTACATTCTATGTCTTCTAAAACCTTCATAAACAACTGCTAAGGGAATAGGTTAAAATAGAAACAAAAAGAGAATTATGTAAATAACAAAATAGAGAGCATAAAATGTACCTTAAAATATAGGAGGAATCATAATATCAGGGTAGAAATCTAATGTAGCAGCCATAAATAACATATTAAATAATTTGAAGAAATCCCCATAATCTTGTGTTTCTAAATCCACAGTTTCCAATTATCCAATTAAATTTATTCCAATAAAAGAAAAGGTTGAAATGATAATTACATAAAGTAAAAATAACAATAATAAATCTTTGCTGGCTTTAGCTATACCCTTAAGATTTCTTCTAAGATCCTTTGAAAAAAATATCATCAATGCTGGTCTAATTAATCTACTGAATCTGATTTGAGTTTAATCAATCCTTGAATTTATAAAATCTGTTATACACACTAAGAAGAACAACATTTTCATCATTCTTTTTGTGTTAAATTGAAATCCTCCATCATTTTTTTTAGTAGCCAACAAAACCAAAGTTATTATGAAGTCTATCCCAAGGAATATTAATATGAACAATTCTATATTACTTATATCAGGTGCCTCATAAAAATCAGATTCAGGATAAGGTTTTTCAAAGAAAGTGAGAATCTGATAAAAGATTGTTAATGTTAAAAGATATCCACTCCAAATTCTGCTATTCTCAATAATCCAAAGGTATTTTAATATTACTTTATCTGCTAAATCAATATCATTTCGAATAGTTCTCAAGTAATATGCATCATATATATGTCTTTCTGCTTTTAGTTATTTATCATCAGAAGGCATATGTTTAACAATCTTTTAAATTTATGCAACAAGCATGTCATTCTTTTCTTAGAGTCTTGTATCTAATTTAGTTAGACTGATAGCATTCTACTATTTAAAGATTGCTGATCTCCTAGGATTTGGTGGTCTTGGTGGAAAATTATCACACAATTAAGGAGATTGAATACTTTCTTATTTCATTATTTGTTTTATAATAATGTCTTTCAATAATCAAGTATTTCTTCACATATCACTTCATCATCATCAATATCATAACAACATATTTGTAGAATCATGAAAGCTGTTAAAATTAATACAAAAAGTAGAGCAACAGTCAATTCATAACATTACTCTTTCACCATTAGAATGAAAGAACCAAAAAAGAAAAATCTAATTAATTAAATTATAATATTTACGCCATTGCAATCATTATTTCAGAATGTTTTACTTTTTTATGAAATAGACTAGAATGTGGTTATTATTTTTCTGATTGTAAACAAAAAACGATTAAAAATACAAATCTCACAGCAGCAGCTATAAAAAATGCCACTCCACAAAAGTAAGTTAATGGCAAAGTCATTGTACATTAATAATAATATGGATTTGACTTACTAGTTCAAATTATCAATTTACCCTTCTATGTAATAATTTGTTTACAATAACACATAACCACATAGCATACACAAAAAGGCAATACAACAACTATAAGCGGATTATGTTGATGAATTATCTTCATGTATTTCACTAGCATAATAAAAGTCATCATTATTAAGCATTTTTATAAATAATACTATAATTTGTATTTAATTAATTTCAAATATTAAATAATAAATTAATTATTCAAATAATTAGTATATTAAATGGGGTAAAATTATTTTTATATAATTTTATATCCAAATTTGATAATTGATGATAATTGAGAATAAATAATATTAAAATTAAAGATATCTATTTATTTATCAAAATAAATTCAATTTATAATCTGTTTTTTTTCTATTTCAGCTAAAACATTTAAATTTATTTCTTATAATTCTTAATTATGAAAAAATACAACATTTTTTTATTCCATCTAGAAAACTTAATCTAATATTACCTATGGTATTAATTCTTAAGATACAAAATATTATCCTTATCTTTCATAGATAATTCCATTTTCTTCCGCATAAGAAAGATAATTTTCAAAAATCTTTTGATCAATAGGATTTTAGTAAAAAAAACATAAGTTATTAATTATATGCTTTATATTTGTAGACATTCCAAAAGATTTTATAATCTTTATGATATTCTCTTATAATAAATGAGGAAATAACTAATTTGGTTCATTTGGATAAAATAATTTATCTATATTCAAAACATAAATTAGATACCAAATTTATCAGAATGAGATTTATCATTAATTTACTCAATTTCTTTTTTTTTAACAATTGGGATTGACAATTTTTGTTATCCATTTTCTTATTATTCATTTGTTGATTTTCTTATTTTTTTTGAAGCTGCAATAATTTATCTTAATTTTTGTTTTGTTCTTACTTCTATTTTAATTGGCATATATAGAATATTATATTTATTTAAATAATATATAGAGATGTAAATAATTGTCTAAAATAAAACCTTCTTTTTATTTGGATTAATTAAATAAACATTATTGAATGTATTATCTAGATAAGTAAAATATTTAGTATTATATCAATATGTATTAGTATTTAAGTTAATAATAATTTTAAGAATAAATTAATAAGAAATTAATTTATTGTATGAGTAATGCTAAACTGTAATAAAATTGGGAAAAATTACAAAAATTATGTCAACCAGGTCCAAGATCATCTTAAAAAAGAAGTTCTAGCAAAGATCAAAGATCTATTCCTAATTTATAATCAAGTAGATAATTATAAAGGAGAGCATCTCAATAGGATTTGGTATATAAAGTGGTTGAATGCAGTACTTAAGATATTGAAAATAAGAATTCAAAATAACAACTAGATTAATTATTTAGTGGTTTGAATGGATTATTGGGTTATGAATTAATAATGAAGAAGGGTAAATTAGATGAATTGTTAAAGAAACTTAAATTTTTTCTTTACTGTGATTCTTTAGAATTGAAGTCACTTTATTAAAAATTAGGGGATTATATAATAAATCCTAAACTATGTAATAAAAGTAAATAATTTTAGATAATTTAATTGTGGCTCCTCAAGAGGAATAGGCATCAAAGGAGATGTGTGAATTACTTATTTAGGAATTATAGTTATAAATTAGTAAGAGGAAATAAATAGAGTGGAATTACTAAGCATTAAAAGAGGTATTTTTAGATAATGAAAAATAAAGAAAAGGAAATAAGAATAATAAGAATAACAAGATGAAATAGCAGGTTTGAAGTAGGCAATTGTTTTATTAGAATAATAGAATCAAACAATTTAATATAAAATAAGAAATGACAATCTTTATTAATAATATGAGTATTATATTATCTATTTTATAGAGAATTGAAACGATTCAATAAATCATTGAGTCATAAAAACGATGATTTATATTTTCAGAATCTATCTTTATTAGAGAAACTTCAATCCGTATATAAGTAGGTAGATGTGTTTTAGACTGAACAATTATTATTTCCTTATATGTTCTAGAAAGAGAAGTATGATGAAACATTATAATCCATAAAAAAAATAGTAGATGATATCATTAATCTTGATATTTAAAGGCCTCAACAATTTATTGATGTGGATTACAAAGACAAAGTAACAAATATGACTCCAAGGCCAAATTATGAACATTTGATTTCAAAATATAATACCAAGAGTATTAAGTATATTCGTCAGTTATAATCTACTAATGATATTATTTCATATTTGATATAGTAATTGTATTAATATACATGATTATTAAAAAATAAGTTAAATGTTTTATATATATATAATAATCTAATTTTAATTTATAATGGTTTTTTTGATGTCCATAAATATACTATAGTTTAAATAGAATAATTAATTATTTTAAAAAATGAAACCAAGATCAAAAGTTTAGAATGATACTGGAATACCAATAAAGCCTATCACTGATATCTAAATTGGCAATTATGTTGTTGAAAAGAAGAAATTAATAGGTAGAGGATAGTATGGAATAGTTTATTAATGTTATGATTCAAGAAATAAAGAATTACTCCTTTGTGCTAAATGTGTAGATAAAAAAGGAGTTGATCCTACCTTATTGAAAAGAGAAATTGATATCTTAAATTTACTTAAACCACTTTAAAAAGAGAATGAAAATCTTGTTGAATTAGTGGATATAATTGAAGAAACTAAAGATCAAAATTTATATATAATAATGGAGAAATGCAATCAAGGAGATCTTAAAGGTTTAATGGATGCAAAATAGAAGTAATCAACTTGGTTTACAGTAAATGAGGGAATTGAAATAATCAAACAAGTAGTTAAAGGATATGAAGCCTTATTTAAAATGAAAATTATTCATAGAGACCTTAAACCAGCAAATATACTAATATCTAATGATATTTATAAGATTGCAGATTTAGGTATGGGTAGAATATTAGATGATATGGTTAATATGCATTTGATTACTAAAGTTGGTACTCCTGCATATGCTGCTCCATAATTATTTTTAGAACCTAAATTTTCATCCAAAGCAGATGTTTATTCATTAGGTGTAATATTCTATCAATTAATTTATTTTGATTTACCTATTAAGGCATCTAGTTAAGCTGAATTAGTAGAAAATCTAAGAAATTTATAAAGTAATCCAATTAAATGTCCAGCTATTTCTGCTGTAAAAGAAAATGTTCCACAAGATATTTAAATCTTAATAGAATCAATGTTAAAATATGAAGAATCAGATAGATTATCTTGGATGTAATTATTTTCATCACCTATTTTTTCATTGAATATAACTTAACCAAAGAGATCTAATCCAAAAAAGAATACATTAACAACTTAGAATTTAAGTTATTATTAGGAATTTTATAGAGTAGATTAAATTTCTGGAGCTAGTAAATCTGATAAAATTCTACATTTAATAAAAATCTTGATTACAAAAAGTGATTTAGCAGCCAAAACTTATAAATTATTATAGGATTCAAAGTATTATTTTATATTTAATTCTTAGATTTGAAAAAAACTTAATTAAATTTGATAATGATTAAATGGCTGCCCTTTTGGTTTGTCTCTCTGGATATAGATATAGAACAATAATGAATGCACTTGGATTATTAATAAATTAACAATCTTCTATTCTTCCTGAATTTAAAAAAAGATTTTCTTAAGGAGAATTAGCAGACTTCACATAAAACTAAAAATCTGAAATGAATAAATTATTAAAAGAGTACATAACAAAAATATTAAATTAAATTATTTTGCAATTTAGAGTATTAAATTTGTATTTATTATAGGAAGATGAATGTGTATTCTTAAGAAATCCTAAAAGATCAGATAACTAAGAATTCAAATCATTAAAAACTATTTTAGAAGAAGAGGATAATCCAGATTTTACATTATTTTCTAAATCATTTAGAAAAATCTATATGGGAGCCATTTAATATATCAATTGGAATAGAAATGATTAGAAAAATAAAGAGTAATATAATTTATATATATCAAATATAGGTTGATTTCTTATTTTGATAAAATTGGTACAGCAGATCTATAATTTGATATTGATAAGTTATATACAACAAAACCAACTGATATACTTAATAGATCATAAAAAATATAAAACTAATGATTATTATTAATTTAGCATTATGATTTAAATTCAAAATTACATTAATGATAATTTATCATTCAAAATTATCCAACAATTCTTAAGCTTATTTATCATTGACTTCTAATTTCCAGAAATTATTCTAATTATATTCCTACTTAACTTAATCATCATTCTAATCATCATCATTTTATTGATCTTATTCATCTTAAATTCCCTCTTCTTAAGCATTATCCTCCTATTAATCTTATTCAAATTCATTCAACACTTCTGTATTTCTTTAGACTTCCTCTCCATTTTCATTATTTCCAATATTTTTATCATTCTTCTAAAAATTATTGTTAAATTTCTAAAAATATTATTAATTAATAATAAATACTCTTAGAATGTTCAAGATATTGTCAGTTTCTTATTCATCAAGAACATCAGGTTCTTAACTTGGTCTTGGATTGGCATTACATAAATAGGGTTTCTCTATTGAATTAACAATATTTAAGATATTTTCTGTAAATGATTACCATTATTCATCTATTATTAATAATAAATTAATACTCATTCTAAGTAATTTTTAAATTTTATTATTTTATTTACTTTTTTCTTCTAAATAATTAGATATTTATGTCATAAATCCAATAAATCCTTTTTTTGTATTTTCAGTATTATGATTTTAAACAATATAATTTAAAAGATTATTATTTTCAAAAACCTATTGAAAGAATTAAAAATACTTTACATCTAGAGTGAAATCATCTTAATTAAGATCGATAATTGCCCTTAGTATTTTATCACAACATGCATGGATTTGATTATTTGATTCATACTTAATAATAATAGTCTATAATGCTTCAATTAGTCTTGAGTTTATTAAGATCTTGATAATTTTATAATCATTAGTTCTTATAAATATATTAATAATTAAATTACTGAACAAGAACTTAAATTAATTTTAGCAAATGCATTCTTGCTAATCCAAAAGGTTGAATTGAAATTCGATTAGAATTAATAAAATTACTTGTATGATAATCTTAATTCAAGAGATTTTAAGGTAATTCAGATAAGATTGATTCAAAAATTGAATAATCTTTTTCTAAATTATGAACAACTTCATCATCATCTTCTTTTTTAGTTTCTTTTGATTACATCTCTACTAAATTAATTAATAATTGATAAGGTCCTATACGTTATGTTTACAAGGCAATTTTAAAAAATAATTCAGGTTTCTTGATTATATCAATAAAAGGAATTATTTCTCCATTATTATAATATAGAGAACTCATACTCTTAGTTGTAATTTCAATCAATATATCACAAACATTATCAACTATTTCTGTATTATAAGATTTATATTATAATAATTTAATTATTCTTTCTAATAATTATTTTCTTTCTTCAAAGAATTTCTCTTCATAATTTTCTTATGATGTATCTAAAATTATTAACTTTTCAATTATTTCTGCTATATGCTTTATATCTATATGTTTTATTAAATTTGAAAGAATTGATTTGTTGTTAATAATCGTTTCCCAAACCTAATTATTTAAAAATATCATACATCAAAACCTCTCTTCTTAATTATTGCTATGAATGCTTTTGCAAAATATCCTGCTGAAGTAACATTTAGAATATCATTCTCCAAGAAAGACAACAGTTAGTTGTATAATCCTTAGCGTATTTATTAATTTTCAAATTAAATTTCCTCTTCAGGACATTCAAATAGATAATCAATTAATTTCTAATTTTAACTACCTAAAATTTCACTTGTAAGAAACGGGAATCTAAAAGTATAATTAAGAAATTACTAAATTTGAGTTTTCTTATCAATAAGTTCATCTTCAAATTAAATTATGTAATCAATCATTTTTTAATACATTTCAGGATGCTTTATGACACTAATTAATATGCTTAAATTAATACTGATCAGCAAATTTTGTAGCTCCTAATCCTTTTATTTCTTGCAATATCCCTTCAGTTGATAAAATCGTTTCTAAATCACAATCAGGATTGGCTAACAAACTATCTAATTGTTATTGCTAAGTGAAAAAACGAGCAAAGCTAACTATTTACAAATTTCTTACTTGAAAAACATTTAATTTAAATTTTTAATATTGTTATAAGATTGCAAATTTGTAATTATTATTTTTATATACACAATTACCACAACCTTGTTTCCTAAATACTTCTAATGAAATTCTTGCCTTTTTAGAAATATATTGGAGAAATTATAAAAAACATAATATTAATTTACATATTTATATATATTATTAATGCAATTTATTAGAATAAACTAATAGAGTAGCTAATTTATCATTTAAATAGAAAAACTATGAGAGGAAAGTGTAATTATTGAATTGAATTATAGTATCAATTATTAGATGTATAATTTTAGATATATATAATAACTTAGGTATTAATAATATGTGTTTATTCAGAAATTTAAAGTTATCTTCTATCATCAAATATAAAATTATATACAAATCATTATAACATCTGATATTGAATGTGTGGTCTGGATAGAAGTAATAATAAACTTAATTTGATTCTTTTATTTCCATCCAATTTAACAAATGTTCTTCTTCTCTCATTTGCTGATAAATTTTGTAACAATTCAGATTATAACTTTTATATACGTTCAATCAGCAATATATATTATATTTTATTTTCAGCAATTCTAATTTAAATAAAAATTTGAAATACTTATTTTGATTAAACATTTCAATGATAAAGTTACTTTGATAAAATCTAGTGGCTTATGGTGTATTTGGTTATTTGAATAATTTAAATTCTTTATTTTTTTAGTAATTAATAAATTGTGGTAACTTATTTTATAAACTATTATTTTTTTTATGTGTTCTAAAATTAAGCTGATTACGTTTTGAATTAAACTAGAATGATTATTTAAATTCGCATTGACTTCCTAATAAAGTGGATTAAAATAATTCAGTATTTTCAGGAGTACTTCCTAAAAGATTTTTAAGTTTTAATTTTGCAGCAGGTAGTTAATTTTCATAAATACTACAAGTATTCGAAATGGAGTTTTTACTTAAGAAAACATTACTATTCTTAGGAGAATTAAACAGACTTGAAGCATCACTTTTTCTTTTTCTATGATACGATTCACTTGAAATCAATCTTCCCATACTATCTCTTTCATTAATAAATGGCACAAAAATTTATTTTTTTTCAATTAATTGATTAAGAGGATGTTCTTAATCCTTGATTGAATCCAAAATCATAGCCTTCATAAATTTATCTGTCTTATGTAAAGCAGGAAGTTCTTTATCCTTATAGAAAACACAATAGTCCTATAAATTTTCACTATAATGCTTTTTCATATTAGTTATATAATTAAATATAATTAAATAATGACAATGTACCAGATACTCTATATTTCATCAATAAACACTATTTCTATGAAAAATAAGTATTCATCTGATAAAAATGAAGAATACATAGAATAGAAAATTCAGAATATATTTTACATATCAAATACTTAATATATATTCATTAATTCTATTTCACTTTTCTTAAGTGAAGAGAGAGAACTAGAATATTTTGAATTAATCAAATAGATAATTGGAAATATGAATCATTCTAATAAAAAGTATAAAATTAATCCTAATTATTAATGCTTATGAAATTTGTAAACAATATTATCTTAAGAAATTTGTTATTCAGTAATTATTTTTGTATAGAATTTAATGAATAAATTTAATAAGAAAGATTAAACTATAGGAATGGAATAGGAGGTTTATTTATAATCTTGATAAGTCTAAATTTAATTTTGAATATCATAATAAAGCTGATCCAATAACATTTTTTATTTCTGAATTCTTCCTTAATTATATTGAATAATGATTCATAATTGATAAAATTCAATTTTAAAACTATAGTTCTATATTAAGGCATTATAAAAAACCTATGTTTAATTCATATCGTTTATCTTTACTTATATCACCAATTTTGAATAGATTATATGAAATAGAAATATTGGCTATCTAATTATAATTCTAAATTCTTAATAATTTTTAGAGAATTCTATTATTTTAAACAGTTTTTTTATCTTTTCTTGTATATTCAAAAGTTAAATGGATTATATTCTATTAAGGTTGTCTTTTAGTATGTTATTGAACATTTAAATTGCATTAATAGACTATTTTCATATCTATATAATGAAATATAAATGATCTAACATTTAATATTAAATTGATTTATATCCTTAATTAATCATTTATTTATAAGTTAAAATATTAAATAGGTTAAGAAAAACACATTCTATAGTCTTATCAAGATTGTTGAAAAAAGTTAACTGTTTATAATATTTGTCCAGCAATTTACGTTCGAATAATCAATTAATGATAAAAAATTATTAATTATACATATAATCTATAATGTATTACTAATTAGCACAACTATCTTATTCTGGTTTACTTTTGTTGCTTCAAATTTTCTTTCTCTGTATCATTAGAAGAAGGAATTAGATTAAAAGTTAGGTTTTTTAAGAGTATATATGTTTAATAATGTAGACCACAATAAGTAAAGCAATCAGAATTGCATACATAGAAGGATATATAAATGAAGTCTTCAATTATGTTAAGTTCTAAGATTAGGAAAAGTGATTAATATGTTAGACATAGTATTTTAAAGGCTGAAGTGAAAGAGGATCATCCAGTTTTCGCTATGGCAAGTAATTCAAGTGCTTAATATTTGGATGCTATGAATAAGGAATAGAAATACTAAAAAGATAAGGTAGAATCACCTAATAGTACAATTTTGTAAATACATTCAACGAAAATAAAATCTCAAATTGAAAATCCAGAGAGTTAAAGAGATCCTTTAGAAAAGTTAATTGGAGAATAAAGTATTTAGTAAGATAAAACAGATATGATGATTTAATTAGTATATTATGTTGAGCGTATTGGATTTGAATAAGGATTAATTTTGTTGCTTTGGAATTTTGATTTAAAATTTTATATCTTCATTCCTATGTCTTTACTTACAGGAGTTTTGTTGAGATTACAAGAGTAAATAGGATACAGAATGATTTAAATGATTGTTTTAATTGTGATACATGGATTTCTTATACTTGAGATTTATCTTATAAAGACAAATGAATATGAAACAATTTGTTATTTAATTGTATTTGGATTTGAGACTATTTTCAGTGTTATATCAATAATTTTGCATAAAAAATGCCATTGATTAAATTAAGAATATATTGATATTATAAATATATATATATATATAATGAATAAATAATAGGAGTTGAATGCTTTTGAGAATGGAAAGAAATTTAAAATAAAAACTGAACGTAGTACTTAAATTGCATCTCCTAAAAACAAGGATATGGATACATAAGAAGATATTGTTAAGAAATTGACTGATAATTATAAGATGTAATAAAAAGAGATTGATAAATTATTTGTAACCATAGAGAATAAGGAAGATTAAATAAGGAAATTATAAGATTTTGTTAAGTTGTAATAAAAAGAGATAGATCGGTTAACTCACATTAATGAATACCTTATGCAAGCAAATTAGACAAAATTAAGTATATTAAGAGATGAAAGATAATTGAATTAAGGAGGTAAGACAAACTAAAAATTTAAGACTCATAAATCATTATTACCATTAGAGAAAAAGAGTAATAAAATAACAGAGGAAGGAAATACTTAATCAGTAAAATTATTTAGAAGATAAACGTTTCGAAATCCAACTTTAGTAAGGTTTCATCAAGATGATGGAGATACATTTAAAAATGATAGGAATACATCTGGAGCATCTAATTTTTATGATATTTTATAATAAGAAGATTGTTTTAGAACCAATGCAATTTTGAATATTTAATTATGTATATATAAATACTTATACTTTAGCTGATGAAGATGCTACTACTTAATATAATATAGATGGTACAGTCTAATTAATGAAAGTGCTTCTTGAATCTGAAGAAAACTTTTGTGACATAATCTAATCAATTTCAGCATAAAAATTATCATTCTTATATGATAAATTCAAAAGAATAATGTCAGATCATTAATAATTATTTATATTAGTCTTAAGACTCAAAAAAATAGTTACAGGTGCTTTGTAAATGAATTCATCAGTTCTATTAGATGATGCTTTATAAACAATCATTGATAAATGTATTGATTGTTTAGAATGTGATAGAGCATCTTGTTTTATAGTTGATTAAGCAAAAAAGGAATTATGGACTAGAGTTGCTAAAGGTACTCAAACAACTATAAGATTATAAATTGGATAAGGACTTGCAGGATTTGTTGCTTAAAATAGAATAATTTTGAATATTGAAGATGCATATAGAGATTAAAGATTCAATACCTAATAAGATGTCAAAAACAATTATAAGACAAAGACTTTATTAATATCACCTATTTTAGATGGAGATAAATGTATGGGAGTATTATAATGTGTCAATAAATCAAATGGATATTTTACTAAAGATGATGAGGCACTATTATAGATTATGGGAGAATTCAGTAAAAGTGTCTTAAAAAATGCTATGAATCATGATGCTTAGATGTTAATCTAAAATAAACTAAGACATATTATTAAAACAGGAATCATTCTTTAAAGCAAGTAAGATAATCTTATTGATTTAATTCTATCAGCAGAAGAAAGATTACGATCATTGATGAATGTAGATTTAGCCAAAGTTGTTTATTATAATCAGGTTCTATCTCACATCAATAGAGATGGCAAATTAAGTTAAACTGATACTTTATTGGGTATCATGGGACTGTGCATAAAGGATCAATAATTGGTGGCAGTGAGCAATTGTTACACTAGTCCCATATTTAATCCTAATATTGATATTGAAACAAATATGCCTATTATTTGTATGCCGTTAAAAACTTAAAATCATTAAATAATTGGAGCCATATAAGTAATTAATGTCAAAGGTATTGGTAACATTTCTTCAAACAGTGAAGCCAAGATAAATTCTATAGATTTAGATATGCTAGAACTCTTTTGTTAGTAATGTGCTTAAAGTTTGTAATAATGTAAACAATCAATCTAATGATGATATTAATTAAAATATTAAATAATAAATGGGTGATTCATAATAAAAATATGATGACAAATTGATTTGAACTGTCTTATTTAGTTGAAATTTAACCATCATAATTTTTATTACCGAATGATTCGATTTCATAATGAAAAAATCAATTGTTTCACCACTCTAATTAAAGATCTGGCTAAAACTCTTCTAATTAATAGAAAAAATATATATATAGGATTAAATATTTTAATTGAATTAAATTAAATAGATTATGGAAATATCTAAGTAATTATTTCTAATAATATTTTTAAAAAGAACAATGAAGTTCTAGGAGATAATATAGATTATTTTAGTTTAGATTATCCAATACATATTTAATAGAATATGAATAATTCATTATTTATATTAAATTTAGCCTTTTAAATTATCTTAGAATGAGAAGATCTATTAAAATGATCTATCTTAAGTATAAAAATAATTATATTAATATCTTCAGTAAGACATTTTGATCATTATATTTTAGACTATAAAGAAATGATAAAGAATCAATAGAGGACTTAAGTACACTTATAAATTTAATGGAGAAGATGTTAATCCTCTGATAAAAACTTGAATACTTCGAATAAATGTTAACCATAAGTAAATCTATAATGATAAAAAATATCATCTAATTTACTTTAACTTAGTAATATAGAAATTATATATTAATTTTTAATTTATTTCAATTGTTTTATCCTAATACAACTTTATTAATAATATATCCTTCATTATTATAATTTTATAATATGATGAAATATTTAAAAAAATAAAATATAATTAATCAACATGAGAAATAGGATTATTATTACATCTAAAATAGATGATTTAATTTCCAATCTCAAAAAGACAGATGAATCTCAACCTCCATATTTTAGAAAGTTATCTTTGAATCCTGGTTCATCTGTAGAGTCTCAAATAATAAGTCATCTAAAAATCAGATTGGATGAGGATGCATTGTAAACAAAGTTTGTATAGGATAAGACGAGATCTCTGGCAAATAAGATAAAGCAATTATAAAAGTAAACAAAATTGAAGAAGGTGTAAATGCCTTAAGAGTATGTCAGTTTTATAAATTCAATCTAAGAAAATCTGATACAATAGTAGGAAACAAAGATTAATAAAATACTTAAGAGATAATAATAATATGAGGAATAGAATAAGAGTTTTTATTAATTTCGAATAAAGGCTTTGGAGAGACAGTAATAATAGATTGAATAGAAGCATACAGAATTACCTAAAGAATTTAAATCATTTTATTAACCAATAGAGGAAGCTTCAGTGAGTTTCAATAATATGGATTAGAGAATTAAGCAATAATTGTTTAATAGAGGAAAGAGGAAGTTTTTTAGTTTTTGGAATAATAATGCAAACACTCCTAATAATTAAGGAAATACTCCAAATTAAATAAATAGTGGACTAGAAATGGTTGAAACATAATCTTAATCCTTTTTTTAGAAATAGAAAAGGAGAATCTCCATTCAAAATGCTCCAACTATTAAAATCAACAATGTTGGATGAATGAAATCTTATTACTATGTTTATACACATTGATTAACAATTTAGTAAATTGGGAATGTATAATATTAATATAATATTGATTAAATGGATTACGACGGAGAGGCTAGTCAATTTCCAGATGTCTCACGATTTAGTTTCAATCCTAATGGAGTCCTGCATCCAAAGCCAGTTTACTCTTAATGCTCATTTACAGGAGTGAAGAAAAAAAGCTTTTCATTACATGGTTCTAAGAATAAGGGATTGAGAAATCTGAGTTATAAGGTGAAAAAAATAATTGAATCAGAGTCACTGACAACTTATAGGTTCGTAGCCGATAAATTAGTATCTGAAGACAGTGAACAAAAGAATGAGGAATAGAATGTGAAGCGTCGAGTCTATGATGCACTCAATGTCTTGATTGCTGCTGAAGTAATCATAAAGAAGAAGAAGTTCTTGGTTGCAACATAAGAGACCTTTAAGAGTGGGAAGTACTAAATAATCTTAATAGGGTGCCATAACAAAGAGAAATGGCAAAAGATTAAAGAAGATTAGTAAATGAGAGCAAAGAAGCGTCAAGTATTGAGTCATAAGAAACAATACTTGATTGACTTAGTAAAGAAGATGCTATGTGTTCGTCATTTAATCACCAAGAACAATAATAATAAGAGTCTTCCTAATAGTTAGAATGCAGCTGAAGCGTATCTTTTGGTAATTAATGTAGATTCTTAAAAGATGAAAAAGTTGAACCATCTCAAGTTCTTTGTAGTTAATAAAGTATCTAAAGTGGAGTCTAATTAAACTCTTATGTTTAACCATAAATCATATTTCAATTGCCTATCCTTGCATTCTGGAGTAAACCAGAAGATGTAAAAATTCTATTATTTATATAATATAGTTGCGTATAGTGATCAAATCTTCAAAAGAAGTGACTTTGTCCACCAAAAAGAGTTGTACATTTATGACAGAAGTAGAAATACTTTAGGATGCTCAGCAATAAGCATTTTTGTCAAAAGTCTTTGATGATAAGGCTTTTGTTAATTTCTATTTGAACTTAACCAAAAATTGATCTATATATTAAAATAATTTTAAAATTTATCAAATATATGAAGAGATTTGATTTATTTTATGAGTTTTCTAATTAATAATTAGGATAAGGAGTATTTGGTTAGGTTTATTTGGCCAAAAAGAAAACCACTTAAGAGTAAGTGGCTGTCAAAGTACAAAAATTAAGCTATTGTAGATTTTACCTAAAAACAATTAATTAACTATTAGTGAAATTGAAATACTTAATGAATTAGTTAAACATTCGCATCCTGCCATTGTGAGAATAATTGATGTCTATGATTAAGGCACTCAAGTATATGTAGTTTAAGAATTCTGTAATAATGGCACTTTATATGATTTTATGAAAAAGAAACCTTAATTTATGGGTGAGGAACATTGCATTGAAATTTTAGAATAAGTTGCCCAAGGCCTAGATTATTTACATAAAATCAATATTGTACATAGAGATATTAAACCAGAAAATATTTTAAGAACTACATTTAATGGTTAGATCTATTATAAGATCTCTGATTTTGGATTAAGCAGTATAGGGGATATGAAATTAACTTCAAAATTTGGAACTGCTTATTATGTTGCTCCTGAAATTATTGATGGAAGAGTAGAATTATATGGATATGATAAATCTGTAGATATATGGGCTTTGGGATTAATGTTTGATGAATTAATACATGGTACTCCTTTCTATGATGGACTCACAGAAGATGAAGTCTTTATTAAAATTAGAAACGAACCCTATTATCCAAGAAAACATGAATATTCAGGTAGTCGTTTGCCACCAAGAAAGTAAATTGTTGTTAATATTCTTATGGGAATGATTAATAAAGAACCAAATCAAAGGAAATCTCTTACTTGGATACTTGATTAAATAAGACAATACAAATAAAGTGTTATCAATAGTTCACTTTCTCTTTTAAATTAAGCTACATTCTCTCAACCTATCTCACCACTTTTGGTTAATGATTTAGATGTTATTTAAGACAGAAAATCCATTTATTAACAAAAATGTCCTTTACACAATTAACCAGCTATTTATAGGATGCCACTTAAGTAGGAAGATAAAGATATTTCAAGGATTGTTTCAGCTTGTTCTAAATGTTTAAGAAGTATAGGGGTTTATGAATTAGATTCCTTATAAAAGAAAGTTGATGAAGCATTGCGTATACTAACTATGGAGAATTTTGATCAATTCTTTACTTAAAACTATATTAAATAGGAATTATAAGAAATGAGAGCTGAGTATTTCTTAAATTATTCCTATTTTACAATAAGGGATGATTAATTGTAATCTAAATTCGATGTCATCATGATGGAATAATAGAAAAAGGCAAAAATTGAATACAATACTAAGATTAAATAATTAATAAATTTTAGAGATAAAAATTATACATCTGATGAATAATGGTTAATATATGTTGCAGAAAAGTTGACAGATTCAACTGAAAATGAGTTTGTATTATACATAAAGGAAGATATGGCTTAATTTAGTGAACATGGAATTGAAGATTGTAGATAATTAATTTTCAATCATTTAAAAGAGGCATCAGATTAATTAAGTTCTTTGATTTGAGATAATTCAACATTATATCACTCATCTAACCATTTTATCCTTTTACCATCCTCCCATAATCCTCTCTTCATTTTACTGTTTGATTCATAATAGTTTCCTTCCCCATTCTGTTTCCCATTTTCCCATAATCCTTCATATTTCCTTCCATCTTCCCATTCATAAACTCCAAATCCATGTCTTTTATCTTAAACAAATTCTCCGTAATATGATCTACCATCTTTCCATTTATAGCATCCTTTACCATGCATACAATTATCTTACCATTCACCAATATACTATTTTATATCAAAATTAAATTACCTAACGTCCATCTTACCAGATATATGTACCATGACCATTTATATTGTTCTCTTTCCAATCTCCTTAATAATAACTACCATCTGGCCAATAATATTTCCCTTAACCTTACTTTTTGCCCAATACATAAGATCCCTAATATTTGCTACCATCTGCCCATATTTCAATACCATATCCATCTTGTAAGTCATTCTTCCAATATCCTTCATACTTAGCTCCATTAACATGTACATATATGCCATAGCCATGTGTCTAATCATCCTTCCATTCTCCTTCATCTAATAAAAACAAAATAAACCTACAAGTATCACCATCTATATGCCAGAATTTACCATTACCATTAGCTCTATTATCCTTCCATTCACCTTCATATTTAGCTCCATCTTGCAAATAGGTCAAATATCATGTATTACCTGGCCAAGTCATAATTCCAAATCCCTCTCTTTAGTTTCCCACCCATTCTCCTTCATATACTCCTTCTGTGGAGTAACGATAAGGAGGACGTTTTTCTTTCTAAGTATTATTATATAAATGAAGGACTGGTTCTTTACATTCTGTGAAGTAGCCTCTCTAATTTTGGCTCCTTCTTGAACGCACTGATTAGGGTGTGCATTCAAAATCATTTAATCTTACAACTTAAATTTCAGGCTCATTACAAATCTCTTTACAATAATTGCCCATTTATATTTAATGAATTCAAATTAAAAATATATTGATAATTATAGAATTCATTATAATTGAGAAATTTATAATTTTAACATGTAATTCTTTACAATAGACTATTCACTATGGATTGACTGAAATGAGCAAGGTAAACTTTTATAGTGGATTGGTCTCTAATCCTTTCAGATTAACAATAGTTTTAATTAATAAAATTTATCTAAAATTGAAAGAGCTTTCAAGTTTCAATTTAATAGATTTACAAAAACAATCTCTAGAAATGGTTACATTTCCATATGCCAATTCATTTACAGAATCATAAAGATATAGATTCACTAAAAGTAGAAAGATACGATATTTCAATAGGGATATTTCATTTAAGATAAAATGAATGATATTATTAAATAATAAACAGATTTCTAAATATCTGTTTGTGCCATTTGAAATTATTCTTTATGGTTGATATGACATAGGATTATAGAACTATTGATATCATATAAAATTGGATATGTAACCATAATAATCTATTCTTTTATATCTTGACTATTCAAGATATTATTATATTATTGAACATAAATTGAGTATGTTTAAAAGAGATATTTTTTCTCTGTAGAACTTCCAATAAAAAATTAAAATTATATATTAGGAAATATTAGCTATAAAAAGAACTTTTGTTAAATAAATTTTCATTTATTATAAAAATATTAATTGAGCATGAATTAAAATCTATAAATGAATTGCTTTAATCAACCAAATATACCTTAAGTGAATTTCCAATAATTCCCTAACAATACTGTTAATAAATAAAATAATGAATCTTAATCAACTAAAAAAAAATAGATGTCACCCTCACCCTAATCTGGTTTGTATTCTACTAATATAACAAACAATTATTTTCAATAAAAATAGAATTTTCCTTAAGGACATCCAACAAGATCCTAAAAATTTAATATTAATACATCTTGTTTCGGATAGCAAAAATAAGGTTCAGAAAATATTAAAAGATAAGATTACATAAATACTTTCAAACAATTAAAAGAAAACTTGAAGAATAAATACTCTTAAAGAGAGAAGAAACAATCTGAAAAGTTAAAATCCATAAATACTCAATCTGATGATTGATTATTATAGATATTTTTAATATTTCTATCATGTAATATAATATATTAATTAATAATGATTATTAATTATATTATATTAATTTTAGTAGAAATCAAAATTTATTGAAAGGGATATCGATAGAATGAGGAAAGACGAATTAAATTGCTATTTTATATATAAATATTTATATACCTTCTTGATTTAAATCATATGATTCAAATAATAGTAAAAATGGTATTTCCAAATAGTCTTTAAATTTTCTAATTTTTTCAATGCTAAAATAACCTAAAAATTGACATCTGATCTTTTTCTCTTTTGTATAGGATGTTCTAATAATAATGTTTTAACTTAGTATATTTTGAAATATTTGCAAAATTACAATTTATAAGATATTTACAGATGTTTCTATAGATGGATTACAATAATATTAAAAATTAAATTTTACATGACTATGTAATTTAATGGCATTTTTGAGGAAATCATTTAATGATATTTTCTTTAATTTGATATCCCTTTTGATATTTTAAATCAAATGAATAAATATTAATTTTCTTTATATGGATTGATATTTATCTTTGCAAATAGGATATTGATTTATACGATTAAGTATTTTTACCATCNGTAGAACTTCCAATAAAAAATTAAAATTATATATTAGGAAATATTAGCTATAAAAAGAACTTTTGTTAAATAAATTTTCATTTATTATAAAAATATTAATTGAGCATGAATTAAAATCTATAAATGAATTGCTTTAATCAACCAAATATACCTTAAGTGAATTTCCAATAATTCCCTAACAATACTGTTAATAAATAAAATAATGAATCTTAATCAACTAAAAAAAAATAGATGTCACCCTCACCCTAATCTGGTTTGTATTCTACTAATATAACAAACAATTATTTTCAATAAAAATAGAATTTTCCTTAAGGACATCCAACAAGATCCTAAAAATTTAATATTAATACATCTTGTTTCGGATAGCAAAAATAAGGTTCAGAAAATATTAAAAGATAAGATTACATAAATACTTTCAAACAATTAAAAGAAAACTTGAAGAATAAATACTCTTAAAGAGAGAAGAAACAATCTGAAAAGTTAAAATCCATAAATACTCAATCTGATGATTGATTATTATAGATATTTTTAATATTTCTATCATGTAATATAATATATTAATTAATAATGATTATTAATTATATTATATTAATTTTAGTAGAAATCAAAATTTATTGAAAGGGATATCGATAGAATGAGGAAAGACGAATTAAATTGCTATTTTATATATAAATATTTATATACCTTCTTGATTTAAATCATATGATTCAAATAATAGTAAAAATGGTATTTCCAAATAGTCTTTAAATTTTCTAATTTTTTCAATGCTAAAATAACCTAAAAATTGACATCTGATCTTTTTCTCTTTTGTATAGGATGTTCTAATAATAATGTTTTAACTTAGTATATTTTGAAATATTTGCAAAATTACAATTTATAAGATATTTACAGATGTTTCTATAGATGGATTACAATAATATTAAAAATTAAATTTTACATGACTATGTAATTTAATGGCATTTTTGAGGAAATCATTTAATGATATTTTCTTTAATTTGATATCCCTTTTGATATTTTAAATCAAATGAATAAATATTAATTTTCTTTATATGGATTGATATTTATCTTTGCAAATAGGATATTGATTTATACGATTAAGTATTTTTACCATCAATTTTATGATTTAATCATATTGAGTTTATATTATTTTTGTATTAATTCTCCTTTCATAAAAAAACTCTTTAAATAATAGTAATATGGTAGGCTTATCTCCTTAATAAATTGAAATTTCAGCCCTTATAGTTCTTTTAAGAAAATTAATCAGAAACGTATTGTTGAAAGTTTATTAATTATTTTATTAAAATTTCCTTATGAAATCATAGATAACATTCTACATTATTTTATTTTAATGAGTGGCCTGTTTCAAAAACGAATAGGCTTCTTCTTCTGTTTTGAAGAGTTTTTCACAATTTCTGAGTTACCTAACAGAAAAGTGTAAATTCTCCTCTGAAAATTACAAAATCATATATGACTATTGCAATAAGAGTTTTTTTAGAATGTCTTCCCATCTTGTGTCAGCTAAAGTTAATAAATACTACGATCGTTTTGCCTTATTATACTAATAATTGTAATAATTGATATAGAGGATTAAAAGAGTGGAGGTTACAAGTGCAGAATATTGCATGCCATCACTTTTAAAGATCCCCCAAAGTAATCTAAATATTTAAAGTGTTATTATGGTTATCATACCATCAACGTATTCTCCAGTCAAGACCAATAAATAAGTTGCTGCCATCTAATTAACGCCTTAAAGCATAGCCATTTAATTATCTACTCCTGATCTATCCTCAAAAGCAATAAAAAAGATAGTGACAGAATGATTTAATATGATGATACCCAATCTGAGATATTAATTATTTTTCCAAACGAAAATCAATTGCACAACTAAGTAAATTAACATGGATAAATTCAATGTAAATCCATAAGTATTTTTCTCATGACTTGATTATATTACTTTGACTATAAATGCAATTAGGAATCCAAAACTTAAACATATAAATGTACTAAGTCTCTTCGAATGTTAATTTGATATCTAATATGATTATTCAACTCTTGGATCTTTAAAGTATAAAAAAAGGGAATTCATTAATAAAATTTGCAAAAATAATCTAAATTAGTAGTCATTATATATAATTTATCCACCTTAATTATCAAATACATAATAATATTAGTATTTTTTGTATATGTTTTGAACCTTTGAATTCCAAATTTAAAGACCTCTATATATTAACTCTATAAATATAATCACTATCACTTTAACAGTTATAATAAATGAATTTAATAAATTTCAAAATATATAAAAGAAAAATGCATTGATTAGTTATATTTATATAATCCATACATATATATATGACAATCTATAGAGTGAAATTTATAAAAGAATAATCAAAGAATTTATTTCAATTTTTTTCAAATTTATCCTATTTTTTAATCTACTTTTTATTACCTTTAATTAATAAAATAATTGTAATTTATTATATTAAATTAGATCTTCTTCACTGAAGATAATATAATTGTGATTTAAGAAATTTTTATAGATTTTTGAAAGTGAAGAATAAATATAAATAATAAAATTAATACAATTTTGACCAGCATCTTCAAACAATTGGTTTAGGAGATTGATAATTGATGAGAAATCCTTCGTATTCTTATTATTAAAACTAAATTGAAATTAATATATAATATTTACTGAGTAATTTAAGTTAAATGCATCAAAATCTTATTAGAGCTTAATCTCATCACAATCTGTAATGACCTTACAAATTAATTTTGGAGTTAAGTAATTGTAAGGTTTTGATAAAGTCTTAAAACTTTAAGTGAGACAATCCTAAGTAAGTACAAATTGTTTATCAGCAGCCAATAATAGAAAATCCTCTAGAGTTATGTCAACAAAGTCGGAAATATTGAATGAGTATTCTTCAGGTTTTTCATTGAAGAGTATTTATAATTCTTGTTCATTTAATTTACTATCTTTATCTAGATCTGCATTAGTGAATAGTTTGGTTAATACTTTTAAATGATCAGTCGCATAGATGGATAGAAGATATTGAAATAGACATTTATGTAGATAAGTCATATTCTTGGATTTTGTAATATTTATAAAGGGTTACAAATAATCTTTAGGTTAAATCTATTTCATATTCATTAAATAAGGATGAAGCAAACATTTATCTAATGTCAATCTCTCATTAGGGTTATGTCTAAGCATATCAATTATAAGAGGATAGATATCTAATTATTATTTAGCATAAACTTTTTCTGGTTTGAATTTGTTAATTTCTTCAATATCAAAAGGAAATTATTAATTTAATAATTATAAAACAATGATAGCCAATGCCCAAACATCATTTGATTAACTTCTATTTTTGGTTTGTATATTTTAGAATTTACCTGTATCTTTTTAATGATTATGATTAGGTGAATTAGGTGGTTCATAATTTAATGAATTTTTAGGATACATAAATTAATAGATGCTTCTAATCTCTGATAATTTGATAAAGGGTGTAGAAGTATCATCAAATATTGAAAAACTATCAATAGTTAATTCATCATGGCTGTAACCTAATTAATGTATATATGCTATGGCTTCTACCATTTAATAAAATATAGATCCAATAGTCTAATATTCCAATTTGTTTGACTCTAGAAACTTTGAGAGTGTTCCACCTTGACAATACTCATAAACAACTTAATAATTTCTTTTATGTGAATCGATATGAATATCTACAATTTTAACTATATGCATATGGTTCTAAAATGGATATTTTTATAGAAAATTACTAATTGAAGTTCATCTAACATGTCAATATATTGTTGATTTCTATTCTCAAATTTAAGCATTTCTACTAGCACCAATTGTCCAGTCTCATTGTGTTACATGACCGTTTTACTATGATTATCTTAAATAATTAGACAAAACATTTACTGTGATTTTATCCAGAAACAACAGAATATTTTCTAGAGGCTGGAGATTAGATTGATTTTGTGCCTGGTTTTGTACTCATTCTTTACATGGGAATATTTAGTAATGATCCGTTTCTGGTTTTCTCTTATTATTATGATGTTGATTAGACAATCATTGTTTTAGGTGTTGAGTTCAAAGATGGAGAAACTCTTTAAACTGGAGTTGTTGCTTAATTTGGTGATGCTTTTTTGACAGGGGTTGTTGCTTGATTAGGTGAAACACGACGAACTGGTGTAGTAATTCTTTGAATCGAAGTTGGCTCTTAAAATTACACTGTAACAGTTTTTTGTTCCCTTGTAGTTAGTGGCTACTAAGGTGGCATGGTTACAGATTAATGTTTATGTTGCTTTACTTTCTTTGGTTGACTTTATGAGGTACAAACTCCCATTTATTTATATCAATTATCAAATTTAAATTATAAATTAAATCAATCATTTAATCACCAATTTGTATAAATAGTTTTGGTATTAAACATATATATATATATATTTTATTAAGAATATATTCATTTAGAATGTAAAATTGTTAAGAATTGAAAAGATTAATAAAAATCTTATTATTAATATAAAATATATTAAGATCTCTATAATAATATATAATTCTATCATACATGTTAAAGTGTAAAATGATCAATTGCATATATGGTTCTAAAGATCTACCATACAATTAGCTAATTTACAAGTAGTTATACTTCCTATACTATTACATTAATCATTTTTAGTTAAATCTATAAATAAGTAATTTCCTGCTCCTTGTAAATTGACTTCACAATATCCACTACCACATTATGGTTGTACATATGTCTCATACATATTCATTGTTATTAAATTTATTTATTTAAGAGCTACTGGATGATTGGTATTAAAATAGCATTTTAATTTGTATTATAAATTTATATTGTTACTAGTTCTAATGATATAAATTGGAGTCAAGGGAGATTATTTACCAAAGATTTCTGCATATAATACAGTCATTTATAACATGCCATTACTTTCATAATCAGTCCATGTTAGAGTAGCTAATCCCTAATATTATAATTATAAATATTTCAAATGAATTTGGTTGAAATTAATAAAATTATACTATGTATAATAATATTCTGAAAAAGTCTTCAATCTTACATAGTAAATATCTAGCAAATCCAAAATTTTAGTCATAGTATTACTCTTTAATTAAAAGCTTAATTAAGTATTATCTCTAATATTTTAAATTGATTCATATATTATTCTCTCTAAATAATATGGATGTGAATATTAACTAATTAATATTTCCGCATATGATATATATAAATCCAAAATTTAATGTAATTCATCATTCTATCTTGATAATACATCAAGATTGTACAATCTTAACATATTAGTTATACTTCTCTCTCCATTTATTAAATCACTTAATAAAATACTTGTTTTTTGTATAACATCTATTGTCAAATCAGAAACATGTCTATAATAATATACTTTTTATTCTGTAAATATATTTTCATAACAAGATTAAACATATTAAAGTGGTGTATAAGGAACAGCTGTACAATATGTATTCATAGCTCCATTACTTCTACATGCTGCTACTTCATCTATTAAATGACAATATTATCCATAACAAGATCCATACCATTAACAATAACCACTTTATCTACACATTCCTTCATCATTAAATTAATTACAAGGAATCTCTCCCAAATTCAAACTATCTGAAACTTGAAACAATATAAAAATAAAACAAATCATTATTAATAATGGTTTTACTATAATGTATACTAAAATACTAAATAAAATAACTCATTATGAATAACAGATATACAATTATAAACTTTAATCTACTTGGAAATGGACTTCATTTTCTTTATTGATTAAGTAAGTTTAACCGAAATTAAGTTCGTGTTGTCCTTCTTCATTTATTAATTTTCCATATCCTTAGATACACAATAAGATAGAATTTTATTTAATTTTAAATACTTTAGATTTCTCTTAAGGTTTTAATTCCAAATAATCCTATATTATTATTACAAATGTATACACATGCAAATTCTTAGTACTTAGTTATGTATTATTTAAATGAATATTCATTAGATTCTTCAATAATTGGTTAGACATAGTTGGGTTATTTCATTTCACAAATTAAGATCTCTTTCATTGTCTCTACATCTTTCTATTTAGGAGTGAATCCACATCTAACAACATTATCAGAATTTGCCATTGTTTCTATAATATTACCTTTCAAATAAGCATGAATTAATCCAGCCTCTAATACTACTGCTTAACCTGGTTATAATATTAAATGATTCATCAACAAAAGAAATAAATAGCCAACATCATATTTTTCTATTTTTGATCCTGGATCTAGACTAGGATTACATTTTATTGGCCATTAATAATTATCTAAGAGATATTTAACTTCATCTTGAGTCAATGATAATAATGTAGCTACTATTTATTTCAATATGTCTTAAGCCTATTAATTTTGTGCAACTACAAATTGATTCCACAAATTTTCACCAATTTTCTATATCACACAAGGATTCTAGGAGAATAATCTTATATTTAATACTCTTTCAATATTCTGAATGATAGTTTATTAGTCAGTAAAACCTACTAAAGCTTCGAAATTAGTTAATGCAATTGCCATTTCTGGTTTATGATTATCATCAGGATATAGATTTGGTTTTGTTGCATGTAGAACTTTAGCTTACTCTTTATTGGGATGTATTTAAATGGAAAGTGGCTTTATCATTTAAACATTATACTTAATCAACAGATAATACTTTAAATAGATATGGGAGATCTAAATTAACCTTTTCACCATTCTCATATAAAGAAGGTAATGATGGATGACTTCCCATCCAAAATTCAGCAAATGGTTTTATTTCATTTGATATCTTTTGTGTCAATTTATACACTAAACAATCTGGATTAGTTGATAACATTCCCCAAGCATAATTTTATGCTTAACCATGAAGTCTTTATATAATTTTTTATTACATAAATATTTATATTTTATAATACTTTACACTTATGGTTGATGTGGTTTAATCATATACATAATTCCTTATTATAAATTTTGTACACTTATATTGATGATTATTTATATAATATTGATTATGTTTTATTATAATGTTAATTTCTTTTTAATAGTGTAAGTATTGTTTAAGAATCTTAAAATATAATATCTCCCGATTGTTAATGAGTAGTATTTTAAAATTTTAAAAGAGCGGGAAATGAAAAGGTACTTAATTTGAAATACATATTTGAGCGCATTAAAAAATTTGAAAATTAAAAATAATGTTCACAGGCACTATTTCAGTAATATATGGTCCAATGGTAATAAATTTTAGTAATGTAGTTTTCTGGTAAAACAAGTGAACTAATGAGATTAGTTAAGAGATTTACAATTTCAGAAAGAAAATGTGTAGTCTTAAATTATGCTAATGATAACAGATATTCAGATGATTAATGTATTTCTAGTCATGATAAGTAATTATTTAATATTAAATAATTAGATAATATTTAAAAGCCATAAAAGTAACTAAATTATTTGATGCTTTTGAGAAATGTAAAGATCATGATGTTGTAGCTATTGATGAAGGTTAATTCTTTAGTGATGTAAATTAATATATAATATACTCTTAGATAGTTGAATTTAGTGAAGCTATGGCAAATTTAGGCAAAATAGTAATTGTTGCAGCTCTTGATGGTACATTTGATAGAAAACCTTTTCGTAATATTTTGAGTTTGATTCCATTGGCTGAACGTATAACCAAATTAACTGCTGTTTGTTGGTTTTGTAAGAAAGAAAATGCTTCATTTACTAAAAGAACTGTTTAATCTTAAGAAAGTATAAAAATATAAATATAATTAAGTTGAATTAATAGGAGGAGAAGATTGTTATAAACCTGCATGTAGAGCATGTTTCAATTTGACAGAGAATTAATTTATTAAACATACTCTTCCACAAATCCCAATTTACTCAACTGATGAAAGATTATTTGGTTAACAAAATTTGATTTGTTGAAACACTATAATTAATTAATATTTTATAATATAATGAATTTAAATTTATTAGTTTTATTTATTCTTAATTAACATAAAAGTATGAGAGATATATGGTACTTTATTATTAATGAATAACTAAATAAATTAATAATAGAATTTAGAATTTTAAATCATTAAAATAGATAAAATTATAGATAATATTTTAATAATATTTATTATTAAGGATATTATTTCAATAATATATGAACATATAGTTAAGAATATGAATTTTATATTTTATTATAAAATTAATTTTTATATTTTATTATAAAATTAATGAATAAAGCTATCAGAGTAAGGTATTCGAGTCTTGATGAATCTCGAACCAATACTAAAAGATATTAAACTGTTTATACAGTCACTGATTCAATAAAAACTTAAGTAAACAATCTTAAGTTCAATCATCATCCTTTAAGTTATTACATATCAAGAATTTGTAAAGATATAAAAGAAATGCGTAAATATCGTACTGATGCTTACATTAAAAATTAACTTACCAAAATCTATGCTTAAACTATTCATCTAAAAGAAATTCATGATGTGTTCAAAGTGCCTATTTAATATATCAACGAAGATCTTATTCTCTCCAGATGCACTTTATAATTGATTTCTTAAATGCCACATCAATATACTCTTCGTCCTCAATAATAACTTACTCATTTTATTTAATGGATGGCCTATTTCGATGAATAGGTCTATTTAGAAATGCAGAGAATTCATGAAGGGTATTTATTTCAAATCTAAAGAAATATTCAAGATCAATACACAACAAATGTAATTAAACAATAATAAATTAAACATCAAATACATCCTAGAAAAAAAGATATGTATAATTATGTGAATAGACTCATAACGAAGCCATCTTTTAGAACTATGAGTAGAATATCTGTCTTGGAGAATTATGAGACTAAATTTGGTGAATTTTAATTAATTACACCATATGCTCGAAGTTATGCTAAACAGTTAGATACTATTTCTTAAAATCTCAACACAATTGAATGAATATTCTTAGCAAATCAATATAATCAATCATTAAAATATCTAATAGATCTAATAAAAATTTATTTTAGGTTCTATGTTATTTATAATGATGAAACATTTTCATCTATATACTAATGTTTTCTACTCATATAATAATATAGTATAAATATAATTTCAAATACTTTTATTATTTACATAAGAATTCTATCCTTTAAATTTCAGTATTGATTAATTATGAAAATGATCCAATTTATGATTATTTATTTTGATTAGAATAATAATTGTATAAACGATTTTTCTCTCCATCTATAATATTATATTGGTATATTAAAATATACTTAATAATGGTATTTTTCGTATAACATTTTTATTTTTTCATAATATATGTGATTATTCATAAATATTCATCCACATAATCTTTTTTGTAATTATCTACTAAAATATTATTTTTGTTTATTATGTTTTAATTCTAAAATATTATTAAACCCAAAAAAAAATGAATTTTTAATGACTTAGCATTATTAATATTAATTATTATAACAGACATATGGATACTTCATTTGCAGGATTTACTTTTGGTGCAGATGAACTAGGAATCAATGGTAGTTTTAGTGCATAGAAACATCCAAGAATAAGCAAATGTTCACCATTTTATCGAATGAATAAACCTTAAACGTAAATTTCAAGATCTTAATGTAAGTGAGTAGAAACCACGATTAAGATTGCACTCTCCCAATAAAGAAAATGAATTAATGCAAATTCGCAAGCCAGTTAGAGTTACTACATCTCCACATTCTTAACATTATTAGATGAGTTACAAAGAAATCTGTGCTCATTTGATTTAACTTTTTAAAAGTTAGACTAAATTATATGAATAATTAATGATAGCAGATAATTTAAATATCAGGAATCAACTTCAAAAAGTTTAACTAAAACATGATTACTACTGCAAATTGTATAATTAATAATGAATACTATGACAATTAATTAGAATTTATCAACAATTTTATATTATTGATCTCCTAATCATTTTATATTATTAAATTCTTATTGTTTTATAAATTGAAGGTATCAAACTAAATGATTATTTTATGAATAATAAATTAATATAGACTCTGAAAAATAAACTTTAAATTCAGGACAGCTAAGTTAAACTACTCTAATTCTATAAAAAGTACTGTTTACCAACATCTGAAACCTCCAGTATTATAAGTATATTCTAAATTAGATTCCATAAAGTCTTTATAATTCAAGGCTTATTTTAATTTGATAATGAATAAATCCTTTTTCTTTGGAGGACCCTTTTGTATTAAATATGGCATAAATATGGTTTCAAATCCAGCCACTATTATGTACTCTCCTTTTTTTTTCGTTGGGTACGGAGTTTGTAATCAATAAATTATAAAATAGGTTACTCTGCCTATGTATACTTTGAAGGTTTGAGGAACAGAAATCTATCTGAAATCAACATATTAGCTTTGAGAGAAATATCTCTATAAACATATGAACATTTGTTATATTTGGATGCTGAATTTCATTTAAATACATCATCTAGATCAAATATTTACTCTCTTTATAAAGCATAAAAAGGAATAGAATCAAATTTAAGATCTTTGAATTAATACTTCTTACCTCTTTTAGCAGACATTTCATTAACAACAGCCATACTCTGTTTTAATTTTGGTTGGCCATTCTTTACATCATTTTTGGTAACTTTTACTGCTTATACTGCATTTACAATTCGTTATTCAAATGTATGATTTTTGGATATATGCTTAAAATAGTATAGAAGAAAAATAATATCACAAAGAAAGAAACAAGAAAAGTTAGCTGATTTTACAATATCACAAGCTTTAGATAATCTATTCACAGTTAAATATTTTAGTGCAGAAAAATATGAATTAAAAAGATACAATAATTTATTAGAAGTAAATAATAGTATTAAATTAATAAGAAATTACAAAAATTATCAATAGACACTTTTAAAACATTGGCTACTCTTAATGCTATTTAAAGATTAATACTCTCTATGGGATTGACAGTCAATTTAGTCTTAGGAGTTAGTGGTGTATAAGCTGGTGTCATCACTCCAGGAGATCTTATACTTATACAATCTCTAATGCTTTAATTAATTCAGCCATTATTTCAATTAGGAATGATGCATAGAGAATGGGTTGAATCTGCAATTGACATGAAAGATCTGCTGTAGATAATGACAAGAGTTCCTAAAATATAGGAATTACCAAATGCAAAGGATTTCATCTACAAAACAGGTTCAATCCATATTTAAGATATCTCATTTGAACATATTTAAAATAAATAACTGTTTAAGAATTTTAATTTATAAATTAAAGGAGGTGAATGGATTGTTATTGTAGGTGAAAGTGGGATAGGAAAATCTACATTGTTTAATTTAATTGTAAATAATAAAGATTAAAAAATTAGTTTAGATTGTTGGACCCTTCTGAAGGAAATATATCAATTGATGATTAAAATATTAAAACTTTGAAATTGGAATCATTTCGAAAATATTTTGGAATTGTAGCATAACAATCATATTTTTTTAATGATTCCATTAAAAATAATCTATTATATGGTCTTGATTTGATTTATGATCTTACACCTGAGATGATCAAGTAAAAAGAAGAAGAGATGAAGAGTCTTTGTAAATAATTGAAATTGTCTAAATTGATTGAATCATTACCAAATCAATATGATACTTAAATGGGAGATTAAGCAAGTAATGAATATTATAGTATATTTAGATAAATTTTCTGGAGGTGAAAAATAGAGATTATAAATAGTAAGATGTTTATTAAGAGGTGCCAAAATATTATTATTGGATGAACCTACATCTGCTTTGGATTAAAATAATGAATAATTCTTCATTGAGACATTAGAATAAGTTTTAAAGATTCAAGATCTTACAGTTTTGATCATTACTCATAGATTGCATTTAACTAAAGTAGCAGACAAGATACTGTATTTGGGATAGAATTGTCAATATGAATATGTATATATTATATAAATTCTAAAATATAGGGTACTCATGATTAATTGATTAAGAATCATTAATCTTATAATAAGTATTGGGAAAAGTATTAGAAATAATGAAAATTGAATTATATTTATGCATTATACCAAATTGAATAAAAAATTAAAAGAATAAATTATATTATTTTATGAATCCTAATTTTGATAATAGTTTCCATTAAAAAGATGATATTATGCAGAACTTTCCATAATCAGAATAGTGTTAATCACATCACAATAATTTCAGTGTTGACAATGATATTATGAGAACATATAGTTTAGGTACTCCAAAAGTGAATTTTGAGAGATGGAATACTCAGACTCAAACAGAAGTGATTAAGTAGGAATGCAATCTAGATAATCCTTTCATGTAGAATTAAGTAATTACACTAAATTTATTATATAGCATGTAGAATCTGAGTTCTAAATTAATGTTGATAATATCTTACAAATTAATCAGAATTGTATAAAATTCATTTGAAATTAAAGTTAATGATACTAAATTGATTGATTTGAACAAAGATATTAAATCCAATTCTGACATTACTTTAAAAGAGGATCCTTAATTATATTGTCAATATGAAAGAAATTATGAATCCCATAATACTGATTTAATTGTAATTCCAACTCCATAATCAAAAAATAAACTCAAAGCTGTTGGAAATATGTTTATGGGAATATGGAGATTACAATAAAATATTGTTGAACCTATCACATCTACAGTAAAATAGAACTAAATAAAATTAGGAATAATTTTATGATAATTTTGGATCTACTTAGCGTTATTTTAATAACAAAAACAATTATAAATAGATTCATCCAGCTACAGATTCTTAGGATCTTCAATTAATGGATATTTTTAATTAATTTAAATTAGTATGTCTCTTTACTTAATATTCTACATCTGGTTCAAATGAAGACATTTAAAATATGATAAAGATTCTATAAAGAGATCCAAAACGGTAATTATTAATATTATTCTAGTAATCTGACTAATCCTCAAGATCCAAATCACATCATAAATTCATTAAATTAATATGGTCAAAATGCCCTTTATATTGCATCCAAGAATGGGAATATTCAAGTTATTAAATTTTTATTATCTCTTGAATGCAATATACATATCAAAAGTCGCATATTTGATGATCTCACAGAAAGTCCATTAGAAGTTTCATCAAGATGGCATCATTTAGAATGTGTTAAATTGCTCTTGAATTCTGGCTTATATAGTAATTAAGAATTGAGATCAGCAATTAAGGTAACTGAAAATTAAGAAATCATCAATTTGTTGAAATTAAATATGACCTCTTCTCTTTTCTCCTGTTGTCTATGAATTTAGAATATGATTAAATAGAATTTATATCATATATAGTATTATTTAATTCAATTAAGATTTTTGTTGTCGTTTTATTTTATGAATTTCTTATATTTACTTGAAATTTTAGATAAATAATTTAAGTTTGGTCAATAGAAAATTGATTGATTTTAGATAACTATGCTTTGAATTAATGAATTTTCATTTTACAATTTGAGATAGAAGTGATTATTTGATAAAATTTTATATAGGATTGTTTAGCTTAAATATTCTTTATGGAAAGACATACTTTAAGATATTATAATAATACTTTTATAAAAGGAATAGTACTACTTAAATATATATATCTTTCAATTATTAAAAATAAAAGATTAAATAATAATTAATTTATTTTACATAACAAATAATAAGAACATATAAATACAATTCAATTTTGTTTCAGTATTTCTTATAATTTTTAGTCATTGAGTTCTATTTATTATTTTTCAAGAACTTCAATGTCTATATTCTCTTCAACAACTTCTTTTTGTACATAATCAGGAGGATATGTCAAGAATGGGATTTCACCTCTTTACCAATCCATTAAAATCAATTTAGCTGTTGATTTAGTATCAGCTTCGCCACCCTATAAATAGAATTAGATTATTTACCTTTGCTAATTTTCCTTTTTTGATAGCTACTTTCTTTAAAAAATCGTGTTCATCTACCCAATCATCAATATCATAAATTCTCTTTAAATCTGAAGCCTTTGCTTTTTCCAATAATGCTGGAATGTAATATTCAGGATCTTCCAACTTTTCTGCTCTAACACAACCTTTCAATACAACTTCAACATCATCTTTTCCCTCATGTTAATAAACTACTCCTGGACAATCAATTAAATAAATTCTTTTTGTCAATGCTACATATTGCCACACTCTAGTTTCTCCTGGAACTGGAGCAGCCTTACATACCTTTCTTTTTTTTAATGAATTAATAACAGAACTCTTTCCAACATTTGGATACCCAACAAAACCTATAGAAATAGTTTATTTATCTCTATGGAATTTGTCAAATTATCTCAATAGATTTATGAATGGACCCTTACCAAATGCTTTATTCACATTTGCATGATAGGCAACAGTTGGATACTCTTTTGAAAGATATTAAACCCATCTAGATGTTAACCATGTAGGTATTAAATCGCATTTATTTATGAGCATCACTAAATGTTTATGTGGGCAATTCTTTTTAATATGGTTTTCTAAATGATATGATCTTGTTCCCATTGGATCTCTCGCATCAAGTATACAAACCAATACATCAGATGAATCAATCACCTTATATAATTCTTCCCAAATTCTCTTTGATTAACCAGCTGTTAATCTTTTATCTCTACTCTCCTTTTATACCATCTCTACAGGATTCAAATTCAAATCTTTCTCAAATACATATGTCTACTCCTTTTGTTCAGCATGATCTGCCAATCCTTCCATTGTTTCTACATTTAATTTTATTCTCTTTCTTTTTGATTTAGGTCCATATGTATCCTATATGTTTGTAAAGTATATATACTTCATAACTCTCCAATTCCAAAAGTGGTACATTTTTATTCTTTTTTTATGCCTCTACTAATAAAGACAAAGGCAATTGTTTGGCCTTGATCAAAACACTTCTAGGATCATGTGTTCTATTAGCCATTTCTTATCTTAATTTATCAAGCTATTATTGATCAATGGTTCTGATATTTCCAAACCATTTTCTATTGGGATCTACTCTTGCAGGTTGTGTTGCTTATTTCCACATTTCCTCTCTAGACATTCAAATTAATGAATACTTATTAGGTTTTTCATTGTATAGATTCAATCTCTGAATTGTTTATTTAGATCTGAAAAATTAATGTTTAGCATTCAATTATTTTTCAGGTAATTTTCTATCTGGATTAGTAGAGGCTCCACTCTTTGATCCTTTTTAGGATGACTTAAATTTTGTATTCATCTTCTTTTTAAAGAACTACTCCTTGCTACGCTTAACCATTAAATAATAATTAATTATTAAATTAAACTTTTATATAATTTATATAAGCAAATAAATTTATAAATATTTATCACTAAATTTTAAATGTTTTTTCACAATTCGGACAATAACATGATTTACTTAATCGATAGTCTTAAATAAATCTAAATTCACAATTTGGACATTTATTTAAATTTTCTTAATATTTTTCAATAATTTATTTTAATTATTTTTACATCAAAATTCTTACAAATTATTAACCTTATGGTAATGATAATAATATTTATTGTTTTATATTAAGTCCACATAAACATTAAGGTGATTTTTTCTTCTATTCAATCTGATATAGTATCATTTCAGAAAGACATTCTTGATGATAATAATGATAGCAAATAAACTTGATTGCTTTAACCTAGATTTCAGATTTACAATAGTAACATATGGGACTATAAGTTTACATAAAGTAAGATTATGTGCAATTAAGGGAATTATTTTTTGTTGATATATAACTTGAAGTAGGTCTTTATCTTTAAATTCTTTATTATTCATAGTTTTTATTAATTGTAGGTACTCTAAATTCATCTTAACTTAAATCTAATTGCTATTTCCTTACTATATCTTAATAATATTAATATTATTTGTTTAATTATTTATATTATAATCTTTGTTATTTTAATACTAGATCTATTTAATCTGAAAGACATTTTGGTTTATTCTATAATTAGAATTAATTATTTAAATCAATTTTCTATGTTATTTATTTATCAACTTCTGTATTCCACTTAGAACTATTGTAACCTTGAATTTATTCATTCTCACATTCTTATTTATATTTTAAGTTCTGATAATGAGATATCAAAATCTAAGGTGCTTTAACATTTGTAGTTTACTCACCATCATTCATAGATATGGATCTCAATTTTATTTATTGTTATTGATGTAGTTGATTATCTCTATATTCTAATACATTTTAGTTGGGTTACTTAATAAAAGTATTTTTATTATCCATCTAAATTGGAAATTGAGTTGGATAATTGAGATTATTGCTTTACAATTTAAAATAATGTGAATTTCTAATGGCCATTCCAATATCAATTATCTATATTAAATTATAAATTAAAATAGATAAAATAATATCACTTTTAAGAGATTTAAACTTTATTAATACTTTATTAATACTTTTATGTTGATAGAAATTGGATTATCATAAAGAAATAATAATATATAGAGAAATCTTTATTTATTAATATGGATTCAAAAATTCTAAATAAAATACTTATGCTTATAAAGATATCTATAGAATTATTTAAACTTGATTATTTTATATTTATGAAGTAGGTTTAATTTACAATATATTTTGGCAGAAATAGTTGAAGTGAGATTTTTGGTATTAAGTATATAATTAGAGAAAAGTAGTTTTTATATATAACTAAAAATTAGATTATATTAATGGACATATACAATTAAATTTTAAAAAGAATTTTCAATTTTATAGTTTGAGTAAACAATATAAAAAAGAGGAAGAGTTTATGATTATTTGTGTTAATAAATTGAAATCAGAATTTTTAAGTTTAAATTTATGCCATAGGATAATGAAAACCATATATATATATATTTTTAAGTAGAAGTAATTTCAAGAATTAAAGACTGAAGGATAAGATGAAATCTATTAGATTATTAAAATTTAGATCATATTATTAGTAAGATGGAATTAGTAAATTTATGTTATATGAAATATTATTTATACTCACATTCATTTACTAAATTTTAATAATGATTTTCATATTCATTTTCATATTTAATATTTTATCCAATCATGAATAAATATACATTAAATTTCAAAGATAAAGAGATTGAATCTAGCTATCAAAATATAACTTAACAAGGTTTTAGAATGTTCACTCTTAATATAGTGACATTTGGACTTCTTGCTGTTGTAATAATAAAAATTGTTGAGAGCATTTTAGTAGAGTAATATCAATATATTTACAAATACTGCTTGCTTATTTGCTACTTGCTAATTTAATATGGAATCATTAAGAAATACACAAAATATATAAGAATTTCTATCATTCTATTGAATCACATCTTAGCACTATTTTTTAGTCTCTAAATATCAGAATTGGATGATTCTTACAATAATTTCCTTAAGGGAGCTAATGTTATGGGTGCAAACTTCTTAATGTTTATTTCAGGAGAGTTTATTGATGCAGCTCTCTCAGCAATAACTATAGGTTTGATGAGAATTATTTTTGTTTAAGTTCAAACTAATTAAGTTTAGTTCTCAACCATAATTAGTTCAGTGCTTGTTATCTTTTATACAATTCGTTACTTGTATCATTATCATAAAGCAATGCGTAATCAATACTTATATACATTGAATGATTCTCATTGGTAAAAAATCTTAAGTTCAATTGCATTTAAACAACCATACGTGGTATTTTCTTTTATAGAGGATACCTTATAATTTACTCTGAAATCAGAAGCTTAATGTTAAAGATTTTTTAATAGATAATTTGATGGATCGACTTTTATAAGAGATTCAGTATACAAGGGAACTAAATTAGAGAATTTCTTATTTAAACAAATATAAAAGTATCGTGTAGATAGAGCATCTGTTTTTAATAAGACTTTAGTAGTGGAATACTTAAAAAAAATGATAAGAATTGAATGCTCTATTTATTATGGAAACAAACCAACAATACTTCTACTAATGAGAGATTTCTTAAATGAAAAAAAACCTGATACATCAATTTATGAATTGAGACATAGAAATTTTATAAGACTTCTTCTTAAAGTCTTAAATCATTTAGATAGATTATCTTCATTTAAATGTCGTCTATTGGAAAGAAAACTTTTAATTTTACAATTGTTTGAGGATCTTAGACATTCGAAGTTACGTGAAACTGAAATTAACATCTATAATTTGGCACATATCTTACACAATCTATATTCTCATTTGTCAGTTAAGGCTTTTGTCATTGGAAACAGTAATTTAAATACTATTTCAAATATCTTTATGTTGATTATGATGATAGTTGCAGAGAATTCAAAAGGAACATATCTTTCTATTAATTTAATAAATGAAGAAGATAGTTAGAAATAGCTTTCCATGTCAGGTAATTTTGAAATAGAAAAGATAAAAAGAACATTATAACAAATATAAGATTACATTTAATTGATTAGTTCATTTTAGAAAATAGAATAGTATAAAATTTAGTTCAATTTAAATTAGTAAATATATATACCATTTTAACTCAATGAAATAAATGCAAGAAGTCTTAAACATATTGATTTATAATGATCTTTTGTTATTTGTTTCAATAAAATTATATTTTTAAATTATTGTTGATTATTGTTTACATCAAATAAAAGAAATTAACTTCACTTTTAAAGAGTGAAACAAGTTTACAATATATTCTTATCATCTCCCTCTCTAAGAATTTTATAGATTACTAAAAAAAGAATTAAAGGAATAAATAGTATCATTGAAATTCTTATTGAAGAATGTGTAATTCTATGAGATTAGATTATAAAAATGAGGAGTACATAAAACAACAAATTAGATAATTATTTATATAGTAATCTATAGAAATTGAAAGAAATAAAAAATTATAGATGTGATTATATAAATTTATAATTGATTATGTAATAGTAATTAGAATAAAGTGTAAGAAGGTTAGGAGATTATTAATTTGACTCAAAATATCTATTAGGAGAAGGGGCTTTTGGGAAGGTTTATAGAGGAAGTAAATTGTCTACAAATTAGGAAGTAGCTATTAAAAAAATAGATAGCTCAATGATCAATAAAGATCAATATTTAATTGATGCATTAAGTATCTATGTAGAATGAAAATGTTTTAGATTTTGAGATCCAAATAATGAAGTAACTTGATCATCCTAATATTGTGAAGTTTATAGATAAATTTAATACAGATCGTTCAATCTATATAGTCACAGAGTATTGTGCAGATGGAGATCTGAGAAATATAATGAAGGGAAGATGTATTCCTGAATCTGAAGTTAATTAGATTTTCTGTTAATTGGCTAGTGGATTTAAAGAGTTGGTAAAGGCAAATATCATACATCGAGATTTGAAGCCAGCAAATATTATGAATCATAGAGGAGTAGTAAAGATAGCAGATTTTGGATTTGCAAAAATAGTTGATAATTTTAGTGGAGATTTGTTAAGAACTTGTGTAGGTTCACCATTATATATGGCTCCTTAAATATTAAAGAGGGAAAAATATACAACAAAATCAGATATATGGTCATTAGGTGTAATTTATTATGAGATGATATATGGTATGGCTCCATGGACAGGTGTAGATGAGAAAAGTTTAACTGTGAATGTGATGAAATAGCCTTTAAGATTTCCAGTTGGAACTATTTTATCTGATTTTGGAAAAAACTTTTTGAGTAGAGCTTTGGAAAAGGAAGAGAGTAAAAGAATGGAATGGTCAGAATTATTTAATATGTTTGAATCAATAAAAAAGAATTTAGATACTATTTAATTTAATGTAAATATGAATGGTAGTTATATATTGGATTAACCTTAAATATAATAAAATTAACCTCAACAAATATAATAAAGTGATGCTTCTTTCCAAAGATTTTAAAGTCAATTGAATAATTATAATTTGTAAAGGATGTAAATCATTTTTTCTCATTTTGTTAATGTGGAAATGACTTAACATATATCAACTATTTCTTAACATTAAAAGAAGGAGATGTATTTTGAATTGCTTTGTTTATTATCAGCCAAATTTATAGCCAATTCATTTAAATTACTATAGTCCAATATCCTTTCATTATTTGAATAATATAAAAAGACAACTGAATATATAAGATTTATTAGTTAAATGTAATAGGAGAGTCAATTGGCATCTGAACTATTTAATAATACAATTTAGTATTTTGATAGAATAGGATTACTGTCTAATCTTAGATTATCTGCTGATTTTTGTTAATTTATAGAAGGAGGAGATTTAGCATTAAATTAATTAATTTCAGTAGAAAAGATAATCAAAGAGAGAGTGATAAACATTTCTAAATAAGTCTTGTAAAGTGTAAAAGAAAATGATGTCTTTTGTTTATTAGATTACATGATGGAGATGTGTTTAACAAGAAGTAAAATAATGAATGGAAATACGAATATAGATTTTTCATTGATATATGAAAAAAAGTAAACATCAGATTATTAAGCCTAATTAAATTTTAAATTAAATGAGTTATATAGTTTTTGAATTTTATCATGGTTCCATAAATTTATTTTATTATTAAAATACTGAAGTTTAATCTTCCTTTATAGTAGATGAACCATTGTTCTACTTTAATCCATTTACCCTAGCAGATTTGTCTATAGCTTCTTCCAACTTTTTATGTTCTCTTTAATTCTTATAATAATAATAACCTAAAAATCCCAATCCCATTATAAATATTAATCCAATTAAACCAATCAAATAAAATAATTAATACTCTGTTTCATAGAAATATGTCTTAACTATCTCTATATTTACTATTTGTGTGTGTCTTACTACTAAATCTTAAACATCTTTTCCTGTAGTGTTATATTGAACAGTGTATGTAAAAGTTTGACCAACTTTAAATAATATTAATTATTTTACTATCAGTTTAATAATAGAGACATTTCAAATTAATAGGTTCAATCTAGAAACGAGTAAGAAAAGCACTTTGAGCAGTTATCCCAAAAAAGAAATCATCATATTAATATTCTTTAGTAATATCATTTAAATCTTCCAATTTGTATGATTGATTAAAAAATACAAAGTCTCGTAAACCCAAATGTTTAAATATTTAATCTTTATGATGATTCATTACATAATCATACCCATTTGAAAATAAAATTAAATGCTAATTCACTCCTTAAACAATAACAAAATCTTCTGTTGCATCTAAATCAATAATGCGATGATTTATTTTCTTTTTTCTAATAAGAAAGTAATTTCCATCATTTAAATCAACATTGTATTCAAGTACATAATAATGATTCATTGATTAATAGGCCATAAATACATTTCGTCCATTTCTAGTGTCAACTGATATTCCACCTGATTAATAACTGATCCAAGATCTCAATCCAAAATTTATATATTAATCTAAATGAACATCTACCAATAATAAACCACATTATTTGTCCAATAAAAATATTGAATAGTATTTCTATGTTGTTCCATGTTTTACAATAGCAAAATCAACAATTTCAATTTAAGAATTCAAACCTAGATCTTTTAATTTCAAATTCTTAATGAATTTTAAATCCTTTAATATAATCTTATAAACATCTAATCCATCTTGTCCAACAGCACTAAATACTAAACCATCTATTTCCTTTGTTAATCCTCTATACAATCTTTTTCTCCAATCAGTTATTTAATATACTTCAAGTGCATTGGCTTTCTATTCCATTTATTTCATGCTAAAAACTTGAGCACTATCACTAAATAGCAAAAAAACTTAATCAGAAGAAGGAGCAAATAATAATTATGGTAATTCATTCTTAGCAACTAATGAAGGAGCAATGATTTGAAGATCTACTTTCCATAAGATCCTAGCAAATTATTATCCTTTCTCTAAAAAATCATGTTCAAAAACAGAATCATAATTAAATTTAAGAAGATATGCAACTGAATCTGAAGTAATTGCTAACATTCCATCTGTTATATGAATCATTGACACAAATTAACGAAAGTTGAGAATAGTGTCTTATTCAAAATCTACTTCTGATAAATCTTAAGGTTGAATGATTGTGAATTCTTGAGTTTCAAATTAAACTTGTAATGAAGTTAATTCACAACCTTTGCTAAGATTATGTGATTGTAAAATTGCATCTCGAGCATCATTGAAAATTATAGTTCTCCGTTCATATGGATGTATTGTCATAAATATTGGAGGCTCATTAATCTCAGTGATAGTGATCTCTATTGATGGACCTATAAAATAGATGATTAAAGAAATTTATAAAAAGTTCATAAAATTAATTCATTATTAATTAGATTCTTTAAAATTTCCTTTAGTTAAATGTTAAATCATATGATCTAAAAATGATTATCATATTCATTATAAAAATATATTATTTGTGTAAATAATATTTTCTTAATTCAAAATCTTTCACTTTCATATATGTTTAGTAGTACGATCCCTTTTTATAGTTTAAAAAGGGAAACTTGATCATAAAAATAATTATTATTATTATTTATATGTTCATTTAATATTGACTGTCGACGAATTTATATAGTTGATGAAGTCGAAACTCATATTGATAAAAATAATAAGTCATAATTGTGTATAATAGGAAGTTTTGTTTAGCAATTAAATCAATTTCATTTATCTAATTTTTTTATGGGATAAGCTTAAGTGTTTTGATAAAAATAATAGTTAATTATCTTGGAATAATATATATCCTTGAATGTACATTAAAATAATATGAAATATATAAATAATTCAAAATATATTCATAATCCTCTTATTATGTATTAAGAATATAAAAATTTTAGTGTTCTTTATATTATTAAATCTTTCCTATAAATTATTATTTCTCTTTATGCTAAATAACTCCAATTATTTGTTTGAAAATATCTAACAAATTACAATTTCAAATGTATTCATCGCTTATAACGAAAATTTTGGAAAAATAGAAAATTGGTATATCAATTCTTAGAGGGTTTTGTAAATTGTGTAATTTATTTTTAATAGCTTTATTAAGACATGGTAATAATTTTAAATTATAAATAAGATTATTTACAAAACTCTTTTATTATAAAATTCTACAAGTCTTTTTTTAGAATTGTTGAAGTGTCAAAAAATAAATTTATTTTACAAATTTTGATTTTTTAAATAATTTAAAAGTAATTTAAGTTAGAAATATTTAGTAAGGTGTTTGATATTGAAAAACAATTATAAGAAAAGTGAAAGATAATTTTGAATAATTTAGGAAGCATTTAAATCTTTTCATGACAATTTAGGATTTAGAATTGTTGAATAATAAAGTATTTACTATAATTTATCTTTCTATTTAACTTCTTGGGCATAAAAAAATCAATCAATTTTTAATGATGTAAGAAATTCATATAATTAAGAAAAGTAAAATTAATAAATCAAAAAAGTGATTTATGATGAATGCTAATACTTTATTACATAATTTAAGAAATTATGAATTTTATTAATCAGATTTTTTAAGATCATTAAATAAAAATAAATTATATAATTGTATAAAATCAATTAAAAAATATAGATAAAGAATAGTTAAATGTTAATATAACCACTTATTATAATTATCAAATATATTAATGGTATAATTAACATTATATTACTTATTAGATCTTTTATTAATGCAATGATATGTACTTTATGAAAAACTTAAAATAATTTTATTCAATAGATTATTTGNATAATAGGAAGTTTTGTTTAGCAATTAAATCAATTTCATTTATCTAATTTTTTTATGGGATAAGCTTAAGTGTTTTGATAAAAATAATAGTTAATTATCTTGGAATAATATATATCCTTGAATGTACATTAAAATAATATGAAATATATAAATAATTCAAAATATATTCATAATCCTCTTATTATGTATTAAGAATATAAAAATTTTAGTGTTCTTTATATTATTAAATCTTTCCTATAAATTATTATTTCTCTTTATGCTAAATAACTCCAATTATTTGTTTGAAAATATCTAACAAATTACAATTTCAAATGTATTCATCGCTTATAACGAAAATTTTGGAAAAATAGAAAATTGGTATATCAATTCTTAGAGGGTTTTGTAAATTGTGTAATTTATTTTTAATAGCTTTATTAAGACATGGTAATAATTTTAAATTATAAATAAGATTATTTACAAAACTCTTTTATTATAAAATTCTACAAGTCTTTTTTTAGAATTGTTGAAGTGTCAAAAAATAAATTTATTTTACAAATTTTGATTTTTTAAATAATTTAAAAGTAATTTAAGTTAGAAATATTTAGTAAGGTGTTTGATATTGAAAAACAATTATAAGAAAAGTGAAAGATAATTTTGAATAATTTAGGAAGCATTTAAATCTTTTCATGACAATTTAGGATTTAGAATTGTTGAATAATAAAGTATTTACTATAATTTATCTTTCTATTTAACTTCTTGGGCATAAAAAAATCAATCAATTTTTAATGATGTAAGAAATTCATATAATTAAGAAAAGTAAAATTAATAAATCAAAAAAGTGATTTATGATGAATGCTAATACTTTATTACATAATTTAAGAAATTATGAATTTTATTAATCAGATTTTTTAAGATCATTAAATAAAAATAAATTATATAATTGTATAAAATCAATTAAAAAATATAGATAAAGAATAGTTAAATGTTAATATAACCACTTATTATAATTATCAAATATATTAATGGTATAATTAACATTATATTACTTATTAGATCTTTTATTAATGCAATGATATGTACTTTATGAAAAACTTAAAATAATTTTATTCAATAGATTATTTGTTATATTTAATTATTGTAAGTACAGATAGTATCAATTAACAAATAGAAAATGGACTGCTAAATGTTTTAACTATTATATTGGAGTCTCTTGATATAATTTCATATCGTCGAAATCTTCAAAATGTTTCAAGGCCTATTCTGCTGTGATTCTTTTACTTGGATCCTATTCCAACATTTAAAGTAAGATTCTTGCAAACTCTCCTTGTATCTCTTACTTTATTACTTCACTTAGATCTCCTATTAGTTGTTAGTCAATTATTTAATTGCTATTTTCCTATAACAAATTCTTTCCTGTTATTCTATAAATTATATAATGAGATCTTACAATTTAAATAGTACAACGCCACAACTGAACATATCACATAATTCATTGTAATTATTTTTTTGATCAAATGTAATTATTTCTGGAGCAATGTATCCTGGTGTACCACATCTTGGTCTGTTTGTAGATACATCATCTATTTTAACTGCAAATCCAAAATCAGAAATCACAATATCAAGTAAAGAATCCTTCTTTCTTAACAAAATATTCTCAGGTTTAATGTCTCTATGAACAAATCCTTAACTATGTATATAGGCTAAACCTGAGAGCAGTTACTAAGATAAAGAAATAATATTACACACATTACTGCAATAATTTCAGAGCTATCCAAAGAGTTATTTTCCAAATATTCTTTTAATTAACCTCCTTCACAATACTCCATTATCAATAGCCAATACTTCTTGTGTTAGAAAATACTCTTTAACTAAACAACATTTCTATGTTTTAAGGATTACAATGCCACGATTTCGTCTTGAATGTCCTAGTTGTAAATATAAAATTCAATACATCCAAAGAAGTCATCAAATCGTTTCTTAAGGTCTTTGTTGCATACATTTTTCCATCTTGTATATTTTTAATGAGCAGGACCTATAATAAATCATTACAGCCTTACCTTTCCAAAGTTACCTTCTCCAATAATTGTTTATGGTTTGTAAAAGGTATTGATATTCTTATAAACTACTTTGCCATCTAGCTTTTCTTTCAGAAACAGACAATCTAAGTGAGAAACAAGAAAATATTTCTCTTTCTTGGCAATATCAATGGTGAATCCTTTGAATTGTTTATGCTAATCCAATTTCCATTCTAAAATTGTGGATAGTCCTATTGTAATGTCATATTTTATGTTGCTCTAATCCTAAAGATTAGATTCATATCCCATACTTTGCCTATTTGGATTGAAGATTCAGTTAAGTAAAGAAAATAATGCTAATCAAAAAGACATTTCCTTCTTTTACAGATCATCAATTTAATTAATAACAAAGTGTCTTCATATTTGATGAATTTCATTAATGTTACAATTCAACCAAACCAACTGAAAGCTAATACCAGAAAATAAATCTGATTAATATTATAAGATAGGTAGTATGAATTATAAGAATTACAGAATATTTTTAGATTATTTCTAATAGATTTGTGAGTAATCAATATGATTTTAATTTGTTAATTGCATAATCAAGAAAGATGCCAAATGCAATTAAATTGAATTTAAATATCGGAATTTCTGAATAATAATATTTACAATAATATTATTTTAATAAGATTTAATGTCTGGCCTCTTCTATAATATAGGTTATTTCGGAGCCAAGTATCCATGTCTTGTATTTGTAATTTGCATGACAGTGACAGGCATAATGTCTTTAGGACTATACAATTTGACTGTATTAACAGATCCTTAGTGTAAAATATTTAATAATATTTTTTAGCATTATGGGTATCATCAAGTAGTAGAACCTATTAAGAATAAGAGAGTTCTGCAGAAAATTATGGTCCTTTCTATAGAACCAATTAATTTATATTAGCCTATTAAGATGAAAATTGGGTGAATGTATTTCAAAAAGATGGATTAAAAGTGATATACTTTTTATAGAACATTATAAGAAACAGAAAAGTCTTAATAGGAGGAAAGAATACAACACTTGATGATTTGTGTTACAGACCAATATCTGCAAAGGGATGTTATGTACCAAGTCCAATGGATATTTGGTTACAGGATCCTTCCCTATTAGATGTTTGATAATAATAATATTATTATAATAGAAAGATGAGGACATACAATTCACAACACTTTGTACAGAATCAATTGATGTAAACCAAACTAATATCCCATGCAGTGATAAGAATGGTATTCCAATAATTTTAGAATCAGTATTTGGTGGAATGTATAATCATTTATAAGTAAATTAGAAATTGTGAATAAAGAGTTAATGATACTTAACCATGTGATCATTGTTATATTCAAGCTAAGACTATGGCAGTAACTTATCTATTGATGAATGATGAATTTACTAAGAAAGATGCTGAATAATGGGAGAAGGAAGTTTGGATGGATACTTTGGATGCATTAAATAAAAGAGATTATGCTAAATTATATAAGTATTATGATAAATCTTTAATGCCTGCTCCTCGAGAATAATTATTAGATTAATATAGAGTGGCTTTTATGGCAGAGAGATCAGTATCAGATGAAATTGATGATGAAACTAATCAAAATGCTTGGATTGTTGTAGTTTCATATTTTATGATGTTTATGTATATTGGATTTGCAATTGGTTAATTTCCAAGTAAAATTTATAATGGATTTACATTGGGTTTGGGTGGTATTTTCATTGTAGCTGTCTCAATGATAAGTAGTATTGGAATGGTCTCTTATTTTAGCATTGGTTTGACTATGATAAGTTTAGAAGTAAGAAAATTAATAATTTTTTAAAGGTTATTCCTTTTTTAATATTGGCTATTGGAGTTGATAATATGTTTATTATTACTCACAATTATAAAAAATAGAAGCATCCAACAGTACCTGAAAGAATGGGTTATACATTAAAGTAAGTAGGTCCAAGTATTACAATTGCAGCAATTTGTGAGACTCTAGCATTTTTAGTAGGATCTTTAACTAAGATGCCAGCTCTATAATCCTTTTGTATTTAAGCAGCAGTTGGTGTATTTATAGATTATTTGTTGTAAATCACTATGTTTGTTGCCTTTCTCACATTAGATGAATAGCGTAAAAAACATAAAAGATATGATTTAATGATTTGTAAATAGGATCCAAATTATTCAATTAAAGAAGATAGAAAACTCATTTAAACATTCTTTAAAAAACATTACTCTCCATTTATATAGAAACCTGCTTGTGTGATTACTACAATAGTAATCTTTGTTGCATTATTTGCTATTAGTTGTGTTGGAATAACCAAATTATAAGTAGGTTTAGATGAATAAGTATCTATGGTTGAGGGATCAAATCTATTTAATTATATGACACTAGAAAAGAAATACATTGAAATAGGACCATTGGCTTATTTAATTTTAGAGAATCTAGATTATTAAAATTAACATGATTTAGATTTAGTTGCAAATTTGTCTAATTCTCTATCTTAATTGAATGAAACAGTTCAACCTCCAATATATAGTTGGGTGGCTTCTTTCAATCTATTTATTAGAGAAAAGGCTGAATGGACTACAGCTTGTGAAACCTAGGATATTGCACTTTATGATTTACCTACTTAATTAAAGAGATTCTTAGGAGTTAGAATAAATTCTCCATGTTGTCAAAGATATGGTATTTGTGGTGAAACTTTTGAGGCTGATATAGTACTCAATGAATAAGGTTATGTCAAAACTAGTAGACTCAGATTTTAACATAGACCTATACATAATTCAGCAGGATATATTTTATCATTAGAATAAACTAGATAAGTTATAGATAAAGTAGTTAAAGATGCCAAACTTAAAGATAATCAAAAAGTCTATCCTTATTCAATGCCTTATGTTTTTTATGATCAATATTCTTATATTCGTGCAGTGGCTATTACAAATGTACTTCTAGCATTAGCAACTATCTTTTTCACAATGACACTTGTTTAAGATGTTGTTTGTGCTGTTATAGTTGTGTTGTTTGTGTTTCTGATTGCCTTCAATCTGATTGGAACTATCTGGTTAACCAACGTTATTTTTGGAGGTTTTATTGTAAAGATACATTGTTATTTTAGATTGAAATTAATGCAGTGAGTGTTGTAAACTTAGTTACTTGTATTGGTTTAGCAGTTGAATTTGTAGCTCATATTGTTATTAAATTCAGATTATGTGAAGGTAAAAGATGGGAAAGAGTTACTGGAGCTATGTCAACAATGGGAACATCTGTTTTTGTTGGGATTGCTTGTACTAAATTTATTGGAGTGGCTGTCCTTGGATTTGCTCCATCCACTCTTTTTAAACTTTACTATTTTAGAATGTATATTTTGATGGTTGTCTTGGGAGCTTTCAATGTAAATTTATTTATTATCCTACTCTTAGGGTTTAGTATTACTACCAATATTCTTGGGTCTATTTGGACCATAATTTAGTATTATGAAAGTAAGAGTTAAATCCCTTATAAATTAATCTGAAGGCACTAATTTATCATCTTAGGCTTAAGCTAAAAAGAAAGCAATTTATAATTGAAAAAATTGTTATATGTTAAATTATATAAAATTAATTTTTATCTTCAGTGTAATCTCTTTAAATTTTCATTATTAAATTCACATATAATGAATAGATTTACGCTCAGATTTGAAGATGCTGCTCTAGAATAACAATATGAATAAAACTAATTTGAAATGTATAGAACTAAATCGAATTACTACTTTTTACTTATCTTTCTAGTAATTTGTGTTCTCTAGTTCATTTCAGAATGGTTATATTGCTCATTGTAAACTGGACTTGCCTGGAAGTTAATCAATATCTCCTTGATATTGTTTACTTTAATTTTTCTTTGCAAGTATCCTCAATTTGTAAAATATGCTATATTCCTCGAAAATCTAATCTTGATTTCTCAAAAGTTATAACACTTTTATTCACATATTGATCATGAAGATTAAATAACAGATCTAATTACCCTCACAGATTTAGAATATCACTTACATATTTTGTAAGTTTTTGATATTGGTTGTCTTTAAATTGTATTATCTTTGGCTAACAACATTTTAATGGAATACTTAATAAGTACTCGAATCAACATCATGTATATTCTAAATTACATTTTATGTGCTTCTATTAAAATAATAATAACATATCTCTTCAAAGAATGGAGTAGAAAACAATTTACACTTTTTTTAAAAGACTAAATCTGGTAACAGTAGCTGCCAAATATAATCTAAAAACCATTTTTCAAATTTACTTTAGACACTTTTACAAAGCAATTTAGAACGATTTTATGCAATCAAATTGACAAGTTTCCTTCATATGATGAAAATTTTTGTGATGGATGCAATTTAAGATCATTCCTTCGATTTTGTTATAGAGATTAGAAAACATTAGAGTAAAAATTACTTGATGATTATATACATAAGAAAAATACATAAGTAAATAATAATCAAGATGTCTTTTACAGCCATAATCTAAAACATTATTCCATTCGTATATGCAATCTTAATGTAGAAAGATTTAAATGTTTAATTATTTTAGAAGATTATTAACATAAATAAAAATAATCGATATCAAATAAGTTATTCAAGAAACAATTATTAAAATCAATGTCTTCTAGTTCTAATCATATAAGTAATAAATTTTTTAAATTGGGCATGTACACAATACTATCAATTAATAATGAACAAATTGGGATAGTAAACATGTATTTACTACTTGAAAGATTGTCCTCTTATTATAATTTTTTGAACTTACAATTGTTACCTATCCAAGGATAGAATTGTAAGTAGTTTCTAATAAGAACATACAGCTAATAATTAGTTAGTTTTATGGTATGTATCTTTAATATTTTCATTTAAATATAAAAGAGTATAAATAAGAAGATACTTCTTAAAATTGAAATCCTTGAAAGGGATACTATAAGTATTTAAATAGATGGAGTTGATCCTAAAGTATTTTTAGAAGAGTATAAAATGAATCTATTCTTGGTTTAAGTTGAAAAACAGCTTTTGATATCTCCAATTCGGGATTCGTTAAAGTTTTTATTTTAATCTTTAAAGGACAAAGAAGTATTGGAGATGAAATATTATTAAAACGATTTATGATTTCTTCCATTCAATTTAATTTTAATCTTATTTTTTTCAATGATATGAGTCACTTTGATAATTGAGATATACATTTTGGTTTATTAAAAAAGAAAAATAAATGATGAAATAATAAGTAAAACCAATTATCAGCATTCAAGTGTTTTAAGTCTTGAGAATCTTTTCTATCTTGACATTAATTGTTATTCAGGATGAATGATTTCAGTACTAACTCTTCCTTCAAAGTCTACAATTTCTAAGGCAGTATTGAATTCTACTTTTTTTTTTTTGGCATATAGTAAATCAAGATCTTTGGATGATTTTCTATCCTTATCAATAGAGGGTTATAGAATAGTATTAGAATGAATTAATCTATTGGTATGTTAATATTTTTATTTTGTTTCGGGAAGGAAGTAAACTTCTTCAACAGCATTGTCACGAACAAACTTGGAATTTATTTTTGGAAGCACCAAAAATTTAGTATGTTGTGTTTTTTACATTTCTCTTTTTTATTCAGTCTATTTAGTCAAAAGAGAAATGCTTTCAGATTTGAACCTTAAATTCTAATCTGGAATGGCGTCAAAGTTATTTAAAAAACTAGCTGGATCGAAATCAAGGTCTCTTTAATTAGATTTGTATTTAAATTCATCTTTTTGTGATGCAAGATGTAATGATCTTGCTGGTTTTAGATATGAGTGCATTTCTCTTATAAAAATTAATTGAGATATGATAATAGAAATCATTCAAATTCTGTAAGTTATGTAGGATTACTTAAATGAAATCGACGAGTAGTTTTTTTGCTTAATCTTCTATGTTCTTTATGATCATTCAGGGATTCCTTAATTATTGAATTAGTCGTTTCATCTACAATGTCAACCATTTTTGAGAAATCAACTCTTCTATGTCTCATTCTCAATTTCTTTAATATTTCCTCACTACCTTTTGGACTTAAACCATTCTTTTCATAATATATTGGATTCTTAAATAAATCTTTGAATGTTAGATCAGGCATTAAATTTATTTATTATTGTCTTGGAGTAAGAAACTTTTCTTCAATCATAGGTAGTTTAATATAAGGAGATGATTATTAAACCATTGGTAAAAGGTGATTTGAATTTTTTCTGAATTAATGTTTGTTAGTCAATACAGGAGTCTCCAATAAATAATTAGGTGAAGTAGCTTCACTTTAAATGCCATTGATTTGATGACGTTCATTATAAGATTCATGTGTTAGGAAGTTTAAAGGAGGAATAGTATTTAATTTGCGATGCATTTTCTAAATTTTGATTGTTTAATCTGATTGGGAAAAATTAATTTTAATGGTGAATATATCAACAACGCAATCTAAAATCATGATTATTATGTTTAATTAAACACCATTACTATCATTATATCTATTAATTTTTTACTTTACTAACTACTCATTAAAAATTTATATATATATATATATATTTGAAATATATAAATGCAACCAGTCCAACCAATTGCAGAAGGATAACGCACTAGAACTATCTACACTTTAATTAAAGATTAAAAATACAAAGATGCCATCAGTTATTTGAATTATGAATTACAATTCTGTCCAAAAAGTAGAGCACTTTCACTTTTAGCATATTGTCATTATATGAATTAAGATTTTTCATAAGCTGTAGCTATGTAAATATTATATTCTCTAATCTAGTTATGAACAATTAGTCAAATATTATCCAGAAATTGATGATTATAAAATCTATTTAGCTCAATCCTATTACAAAGATAGTAAACATTTAATTCATTTTCAAATATAGGTCTCTATGATGAAGCCCTTAAGATTTGTGCTTCTGTTGAAAACCCTCAATATTAAGGCAAAATCTTGTAATTACAAGCTTTAATTCGATATGAGAAGAATGAATTTCAACATGCAAAAACATTACTCAAATAAAATGATATGGATGATCCTGATTCAATAATAAATGAAGCTTGTATTCTATTTAAAGAAAATAAATTTGAAGAAGCAAGATAAAGATTTTAAGATGCAATGAATCTAACAGGTTATTCTTGTGAATTGTCATATAACATTGCACTTTGTTATTATAAATAAAAATAATTGGCATAATCATTGAAATTCATTGCAGAAATTATTGAAAGAGGAGTAAGAGAACATCCATAATTGGGTGTTGGATCAAATGCTGAAGGAATTGAAGTTAAAAGTGTTGGAAATTCATAAGCATTAAAAGAATCAGCTCTAATTGAAGCTTTTAATTTAAAAGCTGCAATTGAATATACAATTAAAAATTATTCTGCTGCCAAAGAAGCTTTAATTGATATGCCTCCAAGAGAAGAAGATGAATTAGATCCAGTCTCTTTAATGAATTAAGCATTAATGAATATAGAAGAGAAAACAGCTGAAGGATTTAAAAAATTGAATCATTTATTATAAAATCCTCCATTTCCACCTGAAACTTTTTCAAATCTATTATTATTGTATTGCAAATATGGATATTTTGATATGGCTGCAGATATCTTAGCAGAAAATGCTGATCTCACATTTAATACTATCAGTTAAGATGATTTTGAATTTGTCGATGCTCTCATATTAACAGCTAGTAGTCCAGAGGAATCATTCAGAAAATTCTAAATATTATCTAATAAACATATTGACACACTTAGAAGAATTACAAAATCAATTTAAGATGCACGACTCAATAGAGATAATGAAGGTATAAAGAAATCATTGAAAGATTTTGATGAATGTCTTGAAAAATATATTCCTGTTTTAATGGCTTAGGCTAAAATATATTGGGATAAAGATAATTATTAATAAGTTGAAAAATTATTTAGATAATCAGCAGAATTTTGTGCAGATCATGATGTTTGGAAATTGAATGTTGCTCATGTTTTTTATGTTTAAGATAATAAATATAGAGAAGCAATTAGATATTATGAACCAATTGTTAAAAAAAATAATGATAATCTATTATCATTAACAGCAATTGTAATTGCTAATTTATGTGTCAGTTACATTATGGTTAATTAAAATGAAGATGCTGAAGAATTAATGAGAAAATTAGAAGCTGAAGAATAAAAATCATAATATTCTGAACCTGATAAACCTGTTTATCATCTTTGTATTGTAAATTTAGTCATTGGAACATTATATTGTTCAAAAAATAATTATGAATTTGGTGTTTCTAGAGTTATCAAATCTTTGGAACCATATAATAAAAAAGTAGATATATTTATATATATTATAGATTAACACAGACACATGGTATTATGCTAAAAGATGTTTCCTTGCACTTATTGAAGTACTAGCAAAACACATGATTATATTAAAAGATACATCTTATAGTGAAATATTGGATTTCTTAGATGCAGCTGATTCTTGTGGTAAAGCAATTCCATCTGTAATTATATAATATTATATTTAGGTGATCAATCCTCTTGAGTAGATGGATGAGAAACATACAGTCTCTTATGAAGCAAGAATGATCAAGAGAATGTTTTTGAAATTAAGAACATGATAAATATATAATTTATTAAATTTAATGTATAAATCTATGTGAATAAATAAAAGATAATTTAAATTGATAATTAATTAATTAAAATTAATTTTATTTTTATAAAAATATTATAATCTCAAAAAAATTAAATCATTTTTAATACGACTAATTATGATATTAATTAATTAATTATTATGATATTTAAAACGATAATATTTCCAATAATAATTTTAGATTAACAATGTAATCTATGTGTTTTTTTGCTATTCCTTAGTTCCATGTTTTAACAAGCTTATTTTGTTTGATTTATTTTGCAATTCAATTAGAAAAGTAAAAATTTCATTTATAAAAGTTATTCTGATGAGTTGCCCTCTTAATTACTTTTAATCATACAATTTTTAATTTGTTTGATTATTTTAGGACTAACATTCGTCAGACCTTAACGAAAAATAAAGAAACCATATATAATTTGCTTAGTCTTTCTGTTTGTTGGCATTTCACTTTATTTAATAATAGTGAATATCAGAAGGGTAGACTGTTTGGTGCTAATTATATTCGAATTTTTATCGATTGGGATGATTTCCTCTTTGGTCTTATTCTCAAATAAGTAAATTGGAATAGCTATTCAAATTTAAGTATACATAATTGCCATTTGTTTAGACTTAATGTCTTTTTATTTATAGTAATAATTTCATTTTGATTTAGTTATTATATGGATAAATTTAACTTAAACAGATCCATTTCGATATTAGGCTCTAGTGTAATGGAGATTATTACTTTAATATTATGCATAATATGTCAACTCAATCCATAGAAAAGATTTGCAAATGAAGTACATCTTGTAATAGGATTTTATATCTTTTGTGAACTTTTTGTTAGTTGCACTTTTGTTGCAGAATGTGTAAATGTAAATATACAAATTCAATTGTATTAGTAAGGAATTAATATTTACTTATTTGGATTAACAATTTTGAAAATATCTAATATTTTTTTGGATCTAATACTTTATTCCTTTGTGAAATTGAACTACCCTGAAAATTAAATAAAACCAGGAAGAGTCGATATTGAGAATCCTCCATAGAATACATATATAAAAAGTGTGGCAACTAGAGAGACATTTAGTGAAGATTAAAATGCTTTAAAGAAAAGTGTACAGGAACCAATTCATTTAGTAAGATAGGCTTGTCCATCGATTTAATGGATCTAGCATTTACTAAAAATATATTGAATGATCTTACTTAATATTATTAATTAAATAATTTTGATATTAATTGATTATAATTAGAAGATTGGTAAATAATAATAAATGAGAAATTAGAGAAGAATTGAAGAGGATTAAATAATTTAATAATGATATTGTTAATTCATTAAAATTCAAATAGTTCTTATTCAATTTAAAGAGGTGGATATAATAGATTAATGAATTTCTCATTTCTGATTTTCTATTTTTTAAAATATTCAATCACGTACTCTAAGAAGTGATATTTACAAATAATTACTTTTGCTTATGCCATTGCTCAATGATTCAAGATATTTGATATAGCTTATTTCATTATTTGTAATGGTTAATGATTCTGAGTTTTTACGAGGTACTTATTCTTATTCTTTTTATTATCTTTGTTGGATGATTTCTTTGGTTAATAATTGTTTTTAACCAGATTTTTGAAAAACTTGATTGAATTTTTTGATCTTCTTTTTTATTTATTTGTATAATATAGCAGATTCTGTTGACTTTTGAATTTATTACTTCATATTGATTGCAATGTTTGTCTTGATATTTTATCCATTACATAATAGTTCTTTGATAATTAGTAATACTTCATCCTTCTCATTAAGTTGGGTTTCGAATGTAGATGCAATTCCTTAATTAAATTTAACAGATAGTACCTTGGATGTCTTACTATTGTGTTTAAATCTAGTATTAATGACCATCTTGATCTATGAGGATATTATTTGAAATTTAGATAGTGACTTCTTTTTTAAATTTAAGTCCTTATCGTTGAGCATAAATAAAATCTCTGCAAAGCGGGAATAGCATTAAGAAAAATTAAAAGAAATTTAAATCTTATTTATTAAATCGGATTCAAAGTAAAGTGTTTGATTTATTGTATTAGTGTTAAGGTTCTCATCATATTAAGATCAAAACAGACCATCATAAAATGGACTTCATATTGCTGATTTAGAGGAAGGTATCACAGAAGAATAATTATATGTTGAATTTAGAAAGTTTGGATAAATTAATTTCGTAAAATTGCATAGGTATGAATATGAAATCTTAAAATAGATATCCTTTTATTGGAAAGTCAAAGCATTTTGCTTTCATATATTTCTCATCTCAAGAAGAAGCTCGTAAAGCAAAAGAAGCAATGAATTATAAATAACTCTTAAGAGATCCTATGCGTATCACTTACATCCAAGAATACGATAAGGATGCTAACTTATTCTTTGCTGGCTTTGAATTGACAGTAACATTAAAACAACTTGAAGAATTCTTTTTAAAATGGGGTCAAGTTGTCAGTGTGAAATTATCTACTGATGAGAATAAGAAAAGTAGAGGTATAATAATGATATTTATGTTTAGGTTATGGATGGGTTTAATATGAGAAGAAGGAATAAGCTAATGCATTGTTGGCTGATAGTACAGATGGTACAATAGTATACAATGAGAAAACAAAGATCATTGTCAAAAGATTTGTTAGAAAAGGCACAACAGACAGAGAAGATAAAAGAAATAATCTTTACATTAAGAACTTCTGGCCATCCCTTGATAATTATGATTTGGATAATGCAGAAGTTCGTGAATCATTAGTAAATTTAAGGTTCATCATTCTAGGAAAAAGAAATGAGAGCTAAATTAGATGAATGGTTTAGTGGTTATGGATAAATCGTTTCAATTTTAGTCAAAATAGATGTTGAAAGAAAAGCACCATTTGCATTTGTTAGTTTCAATAGACATCAAGATGCTAAGGAAGCTTAAAGAACACTTGGTACTACTTAAAAGAAGGATCCCTTGAGTACTGGTAGAATGATGTATGTTGGATGGGCATAGACTAAGACAGATAGAAAATAATAAAGAGACAATAATATATTTGCTAAATATATCTATGCTGATCATCTCTCAAGAAATGTCACTGAAGAAATGATCAGAACTACTCTTAAAGAATGTGGATATGGTGATATTCAAATGGTAATCATATAATTCTATCATATTAGATTAGATTAGAAAAAATGTAATAAGGTTTTTAATAAATTATCAGAATTGGATATATTTTCTTTGAATAAGCTTCAGAAGCTAATAAATTGGTTAAGAGTTTCAAGGAAAACGAAAAGTTTGAAGAAATTAAAAAACTTTTTGATCCAAATGTTGAAACAGCTGGTGGTAAATACTTTTAACATCTTTTCCCTTAATAATCATAATAAAGAGGATAAAGAAGAAATAATTTAAGATAATCACCCAATAGAAGAATGTATTCTATTCCATAAGGTCCTACTCCATTTGGTTAAAGAATGCCTTTCCCTCCTTATCAAATGTAATAGAGAATGTAAGGTGGACCTGGAGGAATGAGAAGACCTTTCCCATAATAAATACCAGGATTCCCTTAACCTGTTAGACCTAATATTCCTCCTCCTGTTCAATAGCCTGATTTCAAATAATAAGCACTTCCTTAAGATATCCCATTCAATAAGAGATAAGATTTAGTAGATTTGTTGAATAATTTAGAAGCTTTCAAAGCTAAACCTTAAGATGAATAACTTAGATAAATTTAGTATAATATTATGACTATAATTTTAGACAAATGCTTTATTATAGAATTAAGACTAGACTTAATACTGATACAGAAGCACATTGGAAGAGAATAAGTGAAATTTTGTCAGATCCAACAAATTACTCAATTGATGAAATCATTGAAATGTTTAAAGAAGAAGAATAATTTAATTCATTTGTAGATGAAGCCATTGATTAATTAAAAGAAGCATCATGTTGGTGATCATTTTATATATTGTTCATTAAATAAATATTAATAATATCAATTAATAATGTAAAAAAAAATTGATTCAATTTGCACTCAAAATAATATTATTTATTGGAATGAAGACTAATTTGATGAAGTATCCAACAGCTCCCATTACTACAAATCCAATAGCACATGATGTTGCAATTTTTATATATTCTAATTTCAATATTATGAATACCTCTTTTATCTGGTTTTGTACATTTTCTAATAAATCTGTAACTTTCTTATCCAAAACTTTATACATCAGTCAATATTCCATTGATTCCATTAAGAGTTTCTTAACTCATTTTATTTTAATTATTGATTTACAATATAATAATACTTAAATGATATAATTGCAATATACGTGTAATAATTATTTATATATATATATAAATATAAATAATCATTTTGGAAATATGTGATTATCAATCTTGTTCCTGTTTACAAATTTCTATTCCCTATATTGACTTGGAGCTTATTCAATAGGGTTATTGTAAAATTGTCCTACGGTTACAATAGTTACTTACCATATCCTTTATATTAAGCATCATCCAATTCTTTCTTTCGATTTAAAACTCTACTATTTTATCTAGTGTTTATATTCTCAGTCTCTTGGAGATCGGCATTGAAGATGTTCGAGTTCTTATTTTTCATAGAAGTGATTTTATGCTATTATACTATTGAATAGGATTTTATCTATTACATTAACTAAATTGACTGAGAGCATCATCCTATTATTATTATTATTCATAAGGATTAGATTTCTAATATGAAACACCTTAATGGACAGTATCTCCATTATAAGTATTCTGATTATTCTAAGCACCATAAGCAACTCCAGTGATTGGATTATATTGTGAAACTGGTGGTTTTGCTGAATAGACTTTGTTGCCATTATTTCCTTATTTATACTAAGAATATAAAATAAATTATATACCTTTTAATAGAGTGCTTCATCATCATTAGGTTATTGATAATGATCATATTTATTAGATTATTACAATAGTTATGGTTATTAATAATCATGATTATGATTGTCTTAATTATTATAATTATAAGCTCCATATGGTTTCCCATATTGATCAAGTGAATCTTAATAATACTGTTCTGATTGTTTATGTTAGACTCCAACTCCAGCCTATTCTTATTTCCTAACCATCTCTTAGTAGTACATTTATTTCATATAATCATCATCTTATTTTTACTGATATTATCATTATATACTTCATTCTAATAGATATTTCCTGGATAAGCAACATTATTTGTATTCCTTTAGTCTTAACCAACTTTGCCAGCAATTTTCAAATCTTCCTTTCTAGTTTAATCTATGTCCCAACCTATTTTGAATCCTTGTCTGTTATTCACATTATCTATTGTATCAATTAAATAAGGATACCATTATAAGTTCTAATCGAATTCTTCTTCTCCCCATCAAATATTACTTGATTCTATGGTCCTGTTCTTGACTAATAATAATTTAAATATTTTTAAAACCATTGCTTATCTTCTATTATTTAAATTTTTTATAAATAATTAATTATAACCAAAAAATTCAAATATATTTATTAAATTAACATCATTAATAATAATCACTATTTTTAATATGATTATGTTTTCTTTATTACTTTATATTCACTTCCTTCAATTTTCACAGAATCTATTAAATAGATTATAATCTTATTAAAAATTTCTCAAAATAATACTCCTTATCATTGAATTTCTTAATAGACCATTTAACTTCATTTATTCTCCTAGATTGACTAGATTTTTATTAAAAAATGACTCTTATTATAATTATTATTACTAACAATCATAGTCTATAATAATTGTAATATAATATTATAGCAAATCCATTCATCTAATATTGCACTGATAATTCCATAGCTTGTTTCATCCATAAATCACCTACTAAAAATATTCAATCAAAGTAGAAACCCATATTATTATTAAAATATAATTAAATGAGATTAGGTTTATATAATCTAATGTATCAAACCTCAAAACAGATTCCAGAATAATAACATTAAATTTACAAGTTCTTCAAATATTTCTATCCTATTTATTATATCTTTGAATCTTGATTCATAATTTTTAGAATAGCTTTTCAACTATTTTCTTAATATAGTTTTTTTTATGTCTAGGTTATAATTCCTTCCTTTCACTTTCACTTAATGATGATGAATGAAGGATCTCATTTGTATAACTTTTATGTAATTTATAAATCTTTTAGCTTTATTATTGCTAAAATTGAACTCTTTACTTAAAATTATCAAAGTATCTTTATATAAATGGTTAAATTATTGACTTCGATTTAATAGCATTCATATAAACATTTAAGAATTCAGCCCTAATTACAAAAAATGAGTATGAGTAATCTTTAATTCAAAATGATTAATATTAAAAAATTAATTAATGAAATTTCTAGTGTTGAATTTCATTTCTTATTCATTACTTGCATTTCAAAATTTATTTAAGATTCCTCTTATAAATTATTATAGTATTATTCTATTTATACTACTATTTTATATTAATTTTGAGTTCATTTTTTGTAACTTCTTTATCAAATTCTTTTAGTTTATATTCTATCTAAATTAGGGTTTCCATAAAATTGGAATAACAACAATCAGATATTTTATTTAGAATATCTTATTTCTCTTCCTCCAAATATTCTAATTGAAATAATATATCAATTTATAAATTTGGTTCTGTCATCAAGAACACAATTAAAAATGTAGATTATTCATCTAAAAAACTCTTTAAATCTAAATGAAATCTCTTTTGAATAATATAATATGGATATATATCTTACAAATATAAAGACTAATATTTAATTGAAATCAATATAGGATTTCCTTAGAATTATTTTACTTATTATTATTCAAAATCATGATTGTGAATAATCATTTTTGTTGCTTAAAATAATTAATTTGTGTTTGAATACATTAAATTTTCATTATTAAAACCATATAAAATGATCACTATTTATTTATAAACTTTAATTCAATGTTAATCTTAGCCGCTGTCTACAATTCTAACAATCTATTATTCAAATTTAATTCATCTCCCTAATCAGTTTGATTTCTAAGATTATTCAATTATATTACTTTAAAAAATTCACATGCATCTCTTTCAATTCAGACCATAATTTTATAGATTATAGCATCACAGAAACTGAACCCCCAGTTCCTTAAACACTCTCTAAACCTAAAATCAACTTTTTTAATTCTCTCAACTTTTATAATCCCTTAAATAAGGTATCCACTCCTTCATCACCTAAAGGATTGCTAAATATAATTTTATAATTACTGATCTAAAATCAATTTTACTTCTTCTAATTGCACTGCTTCTCCAAAACAATTATACAATAATTCCATTCCATTTAATCCTATCTGATTAGATCTAAAGTTCATATTAATAATTCTCAATTTCCTCTGAGTTGTCATAAATCTATTCACATATCTCAATCCATAAGAAGTACAATTAACACTTATATAATAATTAATAAATCATACTTTTCAATCCAAAGTTTTAATTCTCTCAATTGTTATTACATCTCATGAATTGCCTTAGCCAAAAATCTTACACCATCATCATCAATCTTATTCTTAGATAAATCAATCACCAATATACAAAGCTTAGGTAATTTTAATAATGCCTATCCCAAAGCTTCACAACCTTTCTTAGTAATTGAATTATTCCATAATACCAAATTCAATTATTTCAATTTTTAACATTTCTATAACCCTTTTGCAAACTCTTCCATTCCTATATCTTTTATTTAACAACTCCATAAAATCAATTCACAATACTCTAATTCTGATATGCTTTCTCCTAATTCATACAATCCTTCATTATGCATTGGATTGCTAATATATATATCTAATCTTCATACTTTGAAAAGTTAATGATCAAATGACTTAAATTTGGTAATTTCTTTAGTGATTAATTAACCATCTTTGATAACACTTGATTCATATAATTGCTTTCTAAATTGAGATCCAATTTCTTTAATTTTGGCATTGCACAAATCACTGTAAAAAAAGCTTCGCAACATTCCATAGGAAGATGGTTTCTTCATTTATTAACATACATATACAATCCAAAATCCAAACGAAGTTCTTCCATTTATGACAAATTCTCTAGAAGAGGTAAAGAATTATTGATTCCTTCATCTGAAAGCATATTATTTGATATTTCTAAGTTTAATCTTTTCAAACCCACCATCTTCATTATTGCCTTTGACAACATCAACAAACCCAAATTTCCTAATCTATTACTTTGATTTTAGACATATTTCAATACTTCCATAATTGCAAAGATAATTCTTTTAGATTTTAAGCTCTACTTAATAATTTCTCTAATGGAGCAACTGTTCTTACATTTAAATGACTCATCTCTAATTTTATTTGCAAAGTGACCATCTAAAAATTCTTCACTTATTGTGTGATTGTCTCTAAAACCTTAAGTAACTCATCTTGTGATTTATTTTACATCCCATTTAAATCTAATTGAACATCTTCCTTATTCTTAATATCTAATTAAAAATCTTCAAATTATGTTATGGACTGTAAATGTTAATGATTTATTTTTGCAGGCTAATCAATATAATTCCTAATTATACCTATTTTACTTCAAGATATGATCTTTCATGAATAATTTCATTTAATTATATAAAGTCATATCTTTCATCTGGTGAAATTTCCAACATTAATTTTAAAATCTTTGAAATCCCTTTAATACGAGGATAAGTTTCCTTGATCTTTCTTCTTAATTCTTTTAAATAATTAAACAACTTTATTTCATCATCAAATAACTCTTCTCTTTGCTATTTATTTAAATCTTATCATTTACCTATTTGTTAATTACTTAAGTGGTAGCAAACAAAAGAAAAACTAATCCTAATGAGAATACATCACTCTTATAAGGATTATATTTTGCTTATGGTTTTCTCCTTTTAAATGCTGCATAGATTTCTGGAGATTGATACCCTATAGTCCCTCCAATAGTACGAGATCTCGATTCCTCATCTATAATTTCAGTACCAAAACCCACCTTGCTTGGTATAATAATAAAATTACATCACAAACTTTAAAAATTAAATTCTCATCATTTACTAGTATAATATTTTCAGGCTTTATGTCTCTATGAGCTATTTTCATCTCTTATAAATGTTTATGAGCCTTAATCATTGAGATATAAAAATTAGCCACATCTTATTCTTTAAATCTAAAATCTGGATCAGACTATTTCTTAGATTTAATGTATTGAGATAAATTGGTTATTCCCAATTCCATCACAATACACCCAAAAGTGATAGACTGCATTAAAATGGCATATTCTTACTTTATCCTATGTAGTAACTTTCTCATAGTAGAAGCTATCCTCAAATGCAATTATATTAGGATGAGGATTAGTCTTAATTTTTTACAAAATCTAAATTTCTTATGAAAACCTTTCTTTTAATTAGGAATCAATCAAAACTTGTTTGATACAGTATTTTTGATTCGATATTACATTTTCAGCCAAATAGACTTCATTCCATGTTCTAGCTATAATACTCAAATATTTATATTCTCCAGGCAACATTTTTGTTATTATTATAAAATGTAATATTAATATCTAATTGTATATAATTCACTTTAATCAATTAACCTGATCATTTATAATTCAATTTAATTTCCATTAAATTATCATGACTAATTTAAGCTAAAAACATAAACATTAAATTTATTATATATAAAAGAAGTCTAATTAAATTAAAAATACTTACATTAGTACTTGAAGCAGCTCTTTAATTTATAAACATTTGTGAAGCAAATATTATAAATAGTCTTTATCATTATATTACATCATTTACAAATATTATATTTGCCATGTTAGCATTTTAATCATAGTAGAATTATTATTTTTATATCCTAAAGTTAAATTATAAAAAAAGGAAAAATCCTATTATATTCTCTAAATTAGAGTCAATATGATTATTAATTTTCTAATAAATATTAATTGAATAATTTTAAACTTTTCTAATTATACACTTTTTTATCTATTTTAGATTTAATTGATGGCATAATGATATATATATAATATATTTAATTTAGTTTATGTAATAAAAAATTTTATATTTTAAATGGATAACAGTGTGAATGAAAACTCAAAATATTTTCTTATCTTTTGGATAGATAGTTTCATCTGTAAAATTCATTGTATTCATTTTTTAGTCAACATGTTATTAATTAGTTCTAAAAGTATGAGGCATTAATAATTTGGAAGCTCTATTTTAAGGTAAATATTATATTCTCAATTCCAAATTAAGTCTTTCATTATTTGTATGTTGATATTGTTTAAATTGATAGACAATTAGGATTCCTAGGAGTAGGATGAATGATAATATTAAAATCAATATTATCAAATTTGTTGATATCGAAAATGGCATTTGATTGAAGAGAACCTCAAATTCTGTTGATTACCAATTAAGTTGTGTCTTATAAAGTAATTTATATTTTTATCGAATGAATTTTTGATCAGCTAAAATTTCTATTGAATTTATTTACACTCGATATAGCATTTAATTGAATATGGTTAAATTAAAGGATGAAATTTGAATAAATAGTTAGATGTAGTACCATAAATATAATTCTATGATGTTACAAACTGTTTGACTGAACCTAAACGAAATGAGACACTTTTCAATTATTTCTTATACTAAATAAAATGATGATTGTATGTTCCCTAAACCAAAACATAGTTTTCATTTACATCAATATCTATGATTCGATTAGAAATATTATATCTGGCAATAGAACTCCATTTCTTATTATAAGGTTCAATATTATAGTGAATCAAATAATAATAATGTGTACTTTTATAAGCCACAAAGACATTAGATTCATCAAAAAGATCAATTACAATACCATCAGATCTAGGGCCAATCTATTTTAATAATAATTTGTAAGTAATTTATTATTCTCTAAGTATGGACAATTCAACTACTACAATTCCATTTATTTTGCATAAGATAAATATAAGAAATTTCCTATCATTAAACTGATAGATAGCAAAGTCTCTGAAATCTATTTATTGGATTCCAATTGTTACAGTATTTAATGTATTCAATAGTGTTTGATTACGATAAATATCCAAGCCATCAGTTCCAACTGCAGATATTAAAAAAGAATTTATTATTTTTGAATAGTAACGATTATTTCTACCTTAAAAAGTGGGAATCAATTTCCATACATTTCCTTATTATATATCTACTGAATAAGCAATCTTTGGATATATAATAATTAATTATTAAGGTGAATAAAGCAATTAAGGTAATATTTCCTATTCAATATTAATACTTAATTTCTATAGAGTGGTTGTATTAGTAGAATTATAAAAGTATAATAAATTGGAATTTGCAGTAAGACCTATCTAAACTTCATCATTTATAGTGATCATATCTATAAGTAAATCATTGGTATCAGAATCTGTGTATTCTGATAATCGATGAATTGTTTACTCTTGGAACTGAATAGTAGGACTAAGGAGAGAACACTATGCTTCTTCACTTGATCTAGAGACTTATTTGAATTGAGTACTCTAACAAAATCAATTCAGCCTCCAAGGCATCGTTAATATTGAAGAGTGTTTTGACCTCTCCATAGTTGACGGTATATTGAAAGATGGCCTTTACAACAAACGGAATCAGTATAAAAAGCGTGATCATTCTTAAAGGAAAAATTGGATATAATTTTATAATTTTTATGTATTCATAAGGTGAATTCCTATTTAAAGATGTAAGCATATTTCGCAACGTCATCCTATTTAAAGGATAATAGCTTTTGTATTACATCTTTTCCATCAATCTACATGAATACTGTAAAATACTGATTGTTCTATCTATCCCTTGATCTGATCTCCCCTTTTCGTAGTATTTTAATGAGAATCTCTAATCCTTTCTTAAGATGATGAGATGATATTTCTTTCTCTTATGCTAATTCCAACATTCCTAAAATCCTATTAATGAGTTTATTTTTGACCATCTGATTTACATCCTCATTAGTCCCATGTTAAATTGCATTTCCAATCATTTCTAAAGCATCTCCTCTTATTTCTGAATTCTCATCTAATAAAGAATTAAATAATGATATCAAGAAATTCTAATTAGATAAGACTTTAAATAAGGTTTCAGTAGCTGCAAATGTTTATATCATGTTTCCACTCTTTTCACGACTTTTTGGGTCAAGAATATTTCTGATTTAAGATAAGAATCCACATTCTAATAAGTAGCGAATTTATTCTTGATTGCCTTGGAAAATACATTCAAATATTCTCAAAATAGAAACAAAGTTGCATTAATGCATCAATTAAATCAATTTTTTGATAATACCTTATTCAATAAGTATATTTATTCGAGTAGGTTCACCATCCAACATATATCCAAGAGCCCAGATTGAATCATTCATCATTTTTATATTAATTTGTGTAGGTTCATACATTAGAACTTTGATGAATAAATTAAAGGCTGGTTTAATCAATTCAAATTTTGGACTAGGTCTTCCAATACACATATTGGCTAAACACCATACATAAGTTGTTTCGTATCTTTATTCCATTTTCATTATAATTGTATCTAAATTACAGAGTTAAAGTATGGAATCTCTATATTAGATTGAATCTCCTGCCAATTTGCCTAATATGATCATTATCAAGATTGATAATTCTGGATTATCATTTTGAAAGATGGAGAAAGCCAATTAAACAATTCCATTTTCAAAGATTATTCTTGAAATATGACTTTTTCCTCCTGCAAAAATGGAGATAATTTCTAATATATACAATTAATATAACATGTTGCTTCCAATTTAATAATGTAGGTACTTCCATATTGGATTAAATAAAATAGAAGTGGTACGAGTTCATTAGTAAATATTTGTTCTTAATCAAAATTCTTATTAAATTATTGAAAGAATAATACAGACAAGGTCTTTCTCAATTAAATTAATGCTTTATGAGTTTCTAGAAAATTCTCAGATTTAATTATTTCAAGTGCATTCTTGATGGTAATTTGTTCATTTGAAGTATTAAATATAAGTAATAATTGATCTTTAAGTTATTTTGATATCTATTCTTATTCAAGCATCTCTTGATAATTGTAGATTTGTTAAATTTTTTGAGTGACATTTAATTTCTGACTATTTTTCATATTTTAGTTTGTGTATTAGATATATAAAAAGATTTTATTAATATTCCATAAATATTTAGATCTGCTTATTCATATTATTTGATTTGCTATTAATTTATGACGTTGGAATTTGATAGTAAATATTGTATCCTTATAATAAATACACTACGTCATTTATTTAGATTTATGGATAAAATATAATGAATATGTTAATGATGGAAGTTAAAAATGTGAAAATATCAATGAAAAATATTTAAGTTATTATTATTAAATGTAAAAAGTTGCTTTGGCTCTATACGAGTACATTAATAAGAAATATGTGACCAAGATGATACGAAGATCGGAAGAGCTCTATTCAAGGCAGGTAGAAAAGCTATATGATAGTGTAGATAGAATTCGAGATGGGAGAATCTGTGAATTTGAAAGGAATAGCATCTGCTGAATTACATAATGGAATTCATTCATATCTCTCTTACTCACAAATATTGGGAGAGTATGCAAACCGTCCAGGGAACTGGATATTCATCATAATCAATATAGTTTGTTTATCGATAATTGATTTAAAGGGCGAAGACTTTTCACTATTCTATCAATTTGTCATTCCTTTATTGGTGGGTATAGCCATG